GATGACTACACAGGGAAATCATCTGCCTCGAAGAGATTGCGCCAGTACATGCAAAAAGGGTCTCAAGGTGGACATTGTAACTTCTGGTCAAATCTAGACCAATTGCTTCGAATCATCCCACAAGAAGTACTAGCAAGTGCTGACAAGGCCGCTGCTGACCATGGAATTACCTCTACCAGCGCAATTGCCTTGTCTGAAGCTTTGCAAGAAGGCCTCAACTCGAGAGAAGAACCGCGTTCAAATCTTGCCATCGGATGGAAATCCTATACTCAGATAGGAACATGGCTTGCAACATTGGTCCCCCAGGAGCAAAAGTCCGAATTCATCGCGAAGAGACTGTCTCCTTTGGTGGTGCAGTATGTGAAAATTGACCCAGAGCTGACACAATGGTCACTTCCGGCCGAGTTAGCCGAAGGAATTTGTGTGGATTATGTCTTCACTCTGGCTTCCACTAAGCAAGCCCAGGAACTGCAATCATTGTGTACATTCCTTTCCGATGGACTACTAGAAGCTGTGAAGCTGTCATCTCCAGAACAATCAAAGGACTTCCTTGAATCTCAAGACTCAATATGTGCTCAAGCCAAACGCCTCTTGGATTTGAAGTCTGCTGTTCTCTCACGGGTTGCAGATATCGAGGTCGAGTCCCAAGTATCGGAGGTCTTTGAAAGAACAAGCACTTCTCTTCTTGAAGGTTGTCTCGAAGCCCTACGCAGCCGTAATGGGAAACCATATGGAGCGGCCGCCACGGTAGTGGAGTGTGTTCGCAGCCTGCCATCTGTCGCCAAAAGGTCTCAAGACCTCCAATACTTTGTGCAAAACGATGCACCGGAGCTTTTGCTTTCGCCTTCTGCTGATCGGTTGATTTCAATCATCTTGCAATGTCGCGAGTGGGATGGATTTGCATCTAGTTTCGAGAACGTTGTTGAGCGAGCCTTGGCCCTGGAACTAGAGCCATCCAATGTGCATGTACTCCAAAGCTTACTTTCCTCTCTCGATTTCAACCATGCTGAGCACAAAGACAAGATCAACTCGCTTGTTGTGCGGGCTCTTGGAAAAGCTTGCCAAGGAAGCCATGTCCATTGGCCTATCATCACTGCAGTCCTTCAGAACAAAACATCACACGGCGTATTGATGGATCAGATATTCTTATCTTTGATCGAGGCGCTATCTTCAGATGATAAAGTCTTTTATGCCTTGCATGGGCTTTCTCATATCGGAAAGTCTGCACCATCTTCAGTTCGGGTGTTCCAAAATGGACCTCTTGGATCGAAGTTAGCAGGAAAGCTACTTTTCCTCACAGAATCACCATCTGAAGAGGTAGCAAGCTTGGCGGAAGCGTTGCTGAAATCATTGAAAGAATCTGGTGTTGGCGATACGAGTGCTAAGTCGGGCATCGAAATTCTCCAACATGGATTCAGTCATGTGGACGAAGAATCATTGTCGTGAGTACTCCATTACCGCTATATTCTGCTGCAAATTGTGCTGACTTGGGTTCAGGATTGAATCACTTCTTGCTATCGCAGAGGAATTGCTGCCAGGTCTTACGGCTGAACGCGCAACTAATACCGCGAAGGATATTCTGCCCTCTCGTCGTTCATGGGAGGAGTCTCTCACACCCTTTCTCCAACTTCCACCTCGCCCTTCCATTGCTATAACAAGCCCCCTAGGAGGTGCTGTTCACTTGATCCAGCGTGAACTATCCGACTCCTTTAAAGCTTTATGGCCGACTATTCCTCGCGATTCAGACCATCGGTCTTCTGCATTCCGTCTCGCAATCTTCACCATCAGCATTCTCTCTACTTCCGAGTTATCGAAACATCTGGACCAGGAGGACCTAGAGACTTTGTTCCATTTCTTGCCCTTGGCAATTCAACTTATAGATGACGATTTGAGTATCGAGAATTGCAATGGCATCTCAGGTCTCGAGTTGGCTGACCAACGAGAAGAGTACATGGAGATTGTTTTCGCTGGTCGAAAGGTGCTCGGTAACTGGATTCGTGACAATGAACCAGTCAACTTCGCACCCGAGAGAACCATTTCCTCTTCTTTTGCCGAGTTCTGGGAAACCAGACTAGAGGAACTAAAGGGTACATCCCCCTTGGACTATCGGGTTGGTGAAGCCTTCGTCAAGATAATGGCTGTTACGGATTCATTGCAAAAATCCAAGTCATCGGAGGACGTTGCAAAGATCTGCAGAGAGGCTCGAACAGCAAATCTCATCCGCTCGGCATCATTGTTTGCCGTATTGAGAAACTCCATACTTTCAAATCCCATCGGAAACAGAATCTGCAATGAGCTAGTCGCCGATTCCACTGGACTCAAGCCCCAGGATCCTTCCCAAGTTGGTAAGTGCCCGGCAACACATTAGCAAATATATCACCGATACTAACTGTGCGTAGGATTGCGGAAGCTGGCTCTGTTGAATATTCTATTATCAGGAGAAGAAGACGTTGTCTCCACCATTCCGACACAGCGATTAATCTTCCTCACCAAGAACTTGATTGAATGTCTTCAATCCGGCTCAATGGCTCTTGGTTTGAAATCTGAAGTCATCCAAACTTTGTCTATTGTTCTTCCAGCTCTCGGGGAAATCTATGGATCCCATTGGGAAGAAAGCATGGGCATTCTAAACTCTGTGTTGCGGGAAACTAATGGAGGCGAAGAGGCTCTGCCATTGCTAGTGTCATCTTTCAGACTCTTCGCACGATTGAAGTCTACGGCGGAAAGTGACAGCAATGACGATGTCCAGGATGCTTGGTTAGATCGAAAGGCCGGTCTTTTCAATGCCCTGGCCTCCACTATTGACAGTTTTGGTAAGCACTTTAGGTTTCCCTCATGACTGATATGTCTAACGAAATATAGATTCTTCAACCACATTCCATCAACCTCGGGATGTTGCTGTTGACTTGTTACGACGCCTGATCAACACTATCCCCATTGACAGCTTGGAGGATGTCAGTGAAACTTTCCACCTTCTGACTGCGCACAGTCGAGCAGTTCAGCGAACTGCTTACACCATTCTCCATCACTATATTCCCCATGCCCAGGAGAAGGTATCCTTTGAGGTCGCCCTATCAAAGACTGCAGTCAGTCTTCCTGATGAGCTCGTGTCTCTATTGCTTGAGCCGCCGACAATGAAAATGGTCTCTGCTGCCTACGGAGATGACAAGATGTGGACCAGTATGCGGGCGTACCTGCTCAGCTGGAAGGTTGTATTTGACCATTTCTCAACTGCTGTAAGTTTTGACGCTTCCACGACTGATTTTACATAAATTTGCTAACGGTCCACTCAGTCGCTTCCTGTTCAAGAATACTACCTGTCAAGCATCAGAGAGAACAATATCCTCATCCCACTGCTGGAATTCACGTTCGACTTCCTTCAAAAATCACACGGAAAGATGATTGATGCATCCAAACTTAATATTCGATCATTTGAGCCAGATGAGTCTGAGAGTGCCGAAAAGGAGACACAATGGCTCCTGGTACATTTGTACTACCTGTGCCTGAGATACTCTGCCAACATGACCAAGAATTGGTGGATTGACACCAAGAAACGCATCAAGGGTCCGGTGGAAACCTGGTCGGAAAGATACGTAAGTAATTTTGGGTGGTCGGCCGTCTGAAAGCAGCAACCATAGCTAATATTGTTTCCAGATCTCCCCACTCGTCGTTGAAGATGCACTCAAAAGCGTGACCGAATGGATTGCCACCCAGGATGCAAACGAAGAGCGCGCACTGGAGGTGAAGATTTCCCCGAAGACAGGTGAAATCATTGCCAGCATTCCAGTCGACGAAGAGTCACCTCCAGTTGCCATTTCTATCACTCTCCCACCCGCGTACCCGCTTCAACCCGCGTTGGTTGTCGGTCGCAGTCGTGTTCTTGTGGACGAGAAGAAATGGAAGAGCTGGCTGCTGACGATCCAGGGTGTGATTATGTTTGCCAACGGCAACCTAGTTGACGGGTTGTTGGCCTTCCGACGGAACGTCCAAGGTGCTCTGAAGGGCCAGAGCGAGTGTGCTATCTGTTACTCTGTCATTTCAACAGACATGCAGACACCGAACAAGCGGTGTGCTACTTGCAAGAACACCTTCCACTCCGTCTGTCTGTTCCGCTGGTTCAAGAGCAGCAACCAGAGCACTTGTCCTCTTTGCCGAAACAACTTTGTTTATGTTTAGATACTTTGTTTAAGATCACTTGTACATAGAAAAGTGACATGACATGATAAACATAGGACGGGAAGTATCCCGGGATCCGATATCTTATTTTCAGTACAACGCTCAGATTCCATCAGGAATAAAAGGACCACTCACTCTGCATACTGTACCCTATAGCTGAGACCAATGAAACAAGTACGTTTCGAGCCATCCTCAATTGGGAAGTTGACCCGACGGGCAGCTTCAGTGTGCATGTTGAGACCAACTTTACAATTAGGGCTCTATATCTGCCTATTGCCCTGGGAATGGATATATGTTTTTGCCGAAATGTACATGAAGAATTACAGTTCGCCAAAACAAGTTAGAGCAAGTCAGAAAGATCTGACGATTTTATTTCCTATAACAACGCGGAGAACTACCCCAAGGTATATGCAGGCGGGTCGCCTTTCCTACTCCATATCCAATGACCTACCATGTTTAAGCTTGTCTACCCTTGCTCAAGCCTATACAAGCGTTGATTCAGGCTAATTGCGGGGTTCCTGTTCCATTTCTTCACGGCTGAACCTGGCAATCCTACCCACAACACAGATGAGCTTTCATACTCAAACGACCATTAGGCAAAAAGCCCCGCTCGGTCGAAAGGAACAATCTTGGAAATTTCCTCCTTGATGAGCTGCTATACGGCAAAGTGCAATGGTCTTCTGACTCCAATTGTTAAGGACACATTCTAATCTACATAAAGCAACTGGTCTCCGCAGTACAAAACATCAAATCTACTTGCACACATAAGCATATTCAAGGCAAAGCCTAGCTTGATCCAATTTCGATTGATATTCATTGACGCCATGGTCTCTAAAATCTTGACATTCTCCATCCTTGTCGGCAGCGCCCTTGCTGTCCCGGTTGAGGTTGACGTCGAGAAACGTATCAACTGCCCGGGCGTCCACATCTTTGGTGCGCGCGAGACCTCCGTATCCCCCGGATACGGTTCATCCAGCACGGTCGTCAATGGCCTCCTCAATGCCTACTCGGGGTCTACAGCCGAGCCCATTAGCTACCCCGCATGCGGTGGGCAGTCGTCCTGCGGCAGCGTGAGCTACTCAAACTCAGTTGCCCAGGGCATCGCAGCTGTTGCCTCGGCTGTGAACTCCTATAACACACAGTGTCCATCGACTAAGCTTGTTCTGGTCGGATATTCCCAGGTGAGCTATATCCCCTCGGTCATTCAAAACAAAAGACCAACTTCTTACGATAACCTAGGGTGGTGAAATCATGGACGCAGCCTTGTGCGGCGGCGGCGTGCCCAACCAAGGATACACCAACACCGCAGTGCAGCTGTCGACCTCTGCTGTGAACATGGTCAAGGCAGCTATCTTCATGGGCGATCCACTGTATGTGGCAGGATTGCCGTACGATGTTGGAACTTGTGCTGCTGGGGGCGTATGGTCTTCCCTATTTCCCCCCTAAAGTTGGGAGCTTTGAATCTAATGCTCAAGATATAGTTCGACGCACGTCCTTCTGGCTTCTCTTGTCCATCGGCTAGTAAGATTCAATCATACTGCGACTCCTCGGACCCATACTGCTGCAACGGCAGTAACGATGCGACCCACCAGGGATACGGAGCTGAGTATGGCACACAGGCCATTGCCTTTGTCAAGAGTAAGTTGGCCTAAGTGCAGATCTGGTGCCAGCTCTACTATTACGTATATATCGGTGGTAAATGTTGAGCTCGAGATATTTAAAGTATATCCTTTCTGTAGTTGTCTTCGTTGAACATCCTGGTTTTATAAGCTTTTAAGTACGTCAGGACCTTTAACAATGAAGATTAGGGTTATAGTCACCGAGTCGATCAAATGAGAAATATAGGCGACGATGTAGATTGATTTGGCAAAAATATATACAATTGAATACAATTGAGACTGAGTTGGAAATATTAATATTTTAGACGGGGGAAATCCATGTCCTGGGCAAATAGCTACCCCACCACGGAAGCCCAAGCTCCAAGCTTCCTCCATTCCCCATGGCCTCTCACATTCCCAACCTAAACACTCTCCGACGAGGCCGAGGCCAAGGCCGTGGCATAGGTCGCGTGGAAGAAACTGGACCTTCTAGATTCCCTGGACTCCCTTCTGGAAAAGACCGCATCGTTCAAGGCACGGACAATGACGCAAGCGTATCCCGCCTCAGCGCCGTCGAGCTAGGATACCTAGAGGATGCATACGCAGCAGCATTGGCACCTGTCGGGGCAGCGACGCGGAGATTGCCAATTATTAATAGAGGTGAGTTGGATTTCTCAAACCATGCTATCCCTAATGAGAAAAGAGCCTATGGCTGACCGGGGCATCTGCCCGCGCACCAGGAACCTACGCCCGCACAACAGCGATCGACCAGCTCGTGGCCCGTTTCCTCGGCCCGAGCTCAGCGGAAAATATACACAAGAAGCAAATTATATCTCTAGGCGCTGGCTCGGACACACGCGTCTTCCGGCTTCTCTCGTCACGCCAACCCCCGGATTTCGTTTACCACGAGCTCGATTTCGCCGTCAACACGGCAGAGAAGATCCGTGCGATTAGGTCGGCACCTGTACTACAGAGCGCGCTTGGGATTGACTCGACGGAGGTTTCGTCGGAAAAGGATACTCGAGTTACCGTGTCGGAGGCCGGGGACGCGCTTCATTCGCCCTCGTACCATGTCCACCCGGTTGATCTACGGTCGCTGTCGACATGCAGTGACCCTGCTGGAGTACTGCCAGGCGTGGAGACGGAATTGCCGACTCTGCTGATCTCTGAGTGCTGTTTGGTCTACCTATCGCCCATTGAAGCGGAACAGGTGGTTGCGTTCTTCACGCAGCGCCTTTTTGGTCATGGGAATCCAGTATCTGGGCCTGGAGATATATTGCAGGCGGCGCAGCCGAATGTCGCTCCGCTCGGATTGATTCTTTATGAGCCCATTCGGCCGAATGATGCATTTGGTCGTACGATGGTGTCGAACCTTGCGGCGCGGGGCATCCAACTGAAGACCCTACCTACGTATGCGTCGCTTGAGGCGCAGAGAGGCCGATTCCAAGATCAGGGCTTTGGGGATGGCCAGGCTGCGGCTGATATTGAGTTTATCTGGAAGCGGTGGGTTAAGAATGACGAGAAAGAAAGAGTTGCTGGACTGGAGATGCTCGATGAGATGGAGGAGTGGGAGTTGCTTGCACGGCATTATTGTATTGCTTGGGGATGGAGAGACCGTCATGATGTCCTGGCTTTTGCTGGGTGGAAGGACCTCGAAGGCCAACCAGGCGAGTAGCTTCATTTGTGAATATTTGATGTCTGATGATACAGCTCTATAACGAAAGGTCATGATGAATGTCTGAAAATACAAACCAGAATACCTTTGGGGCAAGAAGCCCTGTCCAACACGATGCAGTATCTACGGAGCAAATTTAGAGGGCGATGTAGTGCCGCCAAATAACTTTGAACTGTAGTGAGCGAGGCTGACTAGGTTCTAACTTCTGCATATTACTTCTTCCCTGGTCCAACCTCACAGTCAGGGGGATTGAGTATACAATATAAGGGTGTGACCGTGCCAATGTGACTTGTCATATACTGTCAGATGCACTGGGGCCCCGCGAAATCTTTAGGCTGAGTGGATACTCAACATGCGAGGAACATCAACAGTCCTTGCAGCAAACTCAAAAGAGACTTCCTGTTTATCGTGCGTGATGCATTACCTTTCTCGATTTCCAGTCCTAGCACCCATTGTCGTTACAGCTGTATGTGATCAGCTGACGCAAGGCTACTGTTTTAGGGCCACTGGAATATCCGACAAATAACTAGCTCATCACAAATCAAAGTCCGAAGAAGTACAATAAGAAAGAGTACTTATAGAGTCTTTGTCCTTGACGACGTAGGTCCGGAAAAATGGAATTATCATATATACTTGGCCCAAGCGATCATATGCCGACATTCGACACCTGCATCACGAACTAAATCAGCTCCATGCTGCTTGCATCGATATCCCTACCTACTTTTTAATACAATTTGTGCAACTCTTGGCCCCTCTTGTGCATAGCATCTGATGGAGTACGTGATTAAAGTGATCATAGCCGTAATCCTGTGGATTCCTTGTTATGCCATCAAAAAACCCCATATTCTCCTAGGCCAAGCTTTAACTAAGACATGAAGAGGCACATTGACAGTCGGGGCAGCACGTTCCAAGGCTTCGGATATCCTGGGCCATTTGATTCCGTGTCTATCAAAGAGAAGCGACAGTTCACTAGCCAACTAGTTAGTTAATGATCAACAGGTCCAGACCGGAACTGTGTGGTGGGTTTGATTGGGATTAACGTGCTACCAGGCTAAAGGAGAAATGTATCCGACTTGAGACTATTAGCCTGGTTTCCCCATTCATGTGCTTCGGTGGAGTTCTCTCCTTTTGATGTACGTATATTCAAAGTACGATGCATTCTGGGTTGACTTGATTTTATTTTCCCAAACATTTATTGCAATGGAAAGATGCAAGTTCCAGGTTAGAGAGGGTTGAGATATCATGTGATAAAGATATCCCAAGGTTCCCAAAAGGTTACGCCGAGCAACGCGTTCTTCCTCCACTCTCCTCCAACTTTCTGCCCTCCAGGGCTCATTTATGAAATTACAATTTGCTTTTTCGCCGTTGAAAGAGTTCGGGAGATAACTCCACAAAACCCTATCTCTTAGCTTATTGGTCTTGCACCCCCTGCCAAGCAGGAACCATCGGGGTAATGGTGCTCATCATTGGCTGCAGGCTATCATCGCCCCTGACACTAGGTGTCTAGTGGTTCCATGTGGCTGTCCACTAGTGGAGTTTGCTTCAGGGGCACAGCTTTTGGTACTCCCATCATTCCTGTTTCGGGGGAGCAATCATGGAAATTATGGGCAATCACGGACGAGCCGTCCATAAAAGTCGGACCTGCTCTGGAAGTCTGCCCTGTGCCGGAATTGCGCGCAGATCATCCCAGATCTAACGCTTTTATAGCCTAGCACACTCGTGGACCTAAGCCAGGACCCTGCTCACCTAGTGACCGTGTCCCTTTTCTTGGGGCTTTTCCCCGTTTCTTTCCTTTCCCTCGTCTTGACCTTCATTCTCTGTGAGCACTGTGTCTGTCCTTGGCCATCGGCCGTAAATTTTTTTTTGTCACTCGTTTGACTTAGCCATTCGCTTCATATATTCATTCGTTGATTAATATTTATCAATTTGCAAAGTCTTTCCCCCTGACACAATGAAGTTCCAGATCACATCCTTCCGCGCAGCCGCGCTTGTCGCCCTCATTGCGAGCGCTGAAGCTGCCAAACATAGCCATGGCAAGAGCCATAACCATGTGGCTTTGCAAAAGAGGAGTGGGAAGTGCGAGTTCCCCTCCGACGCCGGCCTGGTTGAGATCACCCCCAATGAGCAAAACGCCGGTTGGGCTATGAGCCCCGATGAGCCTTGCGAACCTGGCAACTATTGCCCTTACGCTTGCCCTCCCGGTCAGGTGTCTATGCAGTGGGATCCCAAGGCGACTTCCTACTCTTACCCTATGTCCATGAGGGGTGGTCTGTACTGTGACGATGACGGCAAAATCCAGAAACCATTCCCCAACCGTGACTACTGTGAGTCGGCCACTGGTGTTCTCAAGGCCCACAACAAGGCCGGAAAGTCTGTCTCTTTCTGCCAGACTGTGCTGCCCGGAAACGAGGCCATGCTTATCCCCACCATGGTTGATTCGCTCGCCGATCTGGCCGTGCCCGGCATGTCCTACTGGTGCTCCACTGCTGCCCAGTACTACATTAACGCTCCTGGTGTCACCGCGGAGGAAGGCTGTGTCTGGGGTAGCTCCGAGAACCCTGTCGGTAACTGGTCCCCGTACACTGCTGGTGCCAACACCGACACCGATGGCAACACCTTCCTGAAGATTGGCTGGAACCCTATCTACCTGGAACCCACTACACCCTTCCGCAATGTCATGCCTGGCTTCGGTGTCGAGATTGAGTGTGAGGGTGACGGATGCCATGGCCTGCCCTGCAAGATCGACCCTGCTGTCAACAATGTCAACGAGATGATCGGTAAGCCCTTCTCTGGCGCTGGTGGCGCCACCGGCTGCGTCGTGACCATCCCCAAGGGCGAAACCGCGCACATTATCGTCTTCGAGAAGGAGAGCAACGGCAGCACCTCGTCCGAGACCATTGAGGTTTCCACCAGCACTCCTACCCCCACTAGCTCCTCCAGCTCCAGCTCCAGCTCCAGCTCTAGCACTAGCACTAGCACTAGCACCTCGACCCCCACTCCTACTCCGACCAGCACCAGCACCAGCACTACTGAGACCCCCACCTCCACCTCCACCTCTACTCCTTCGTCGACTTCGACCTCGACTCCCACTCCCACTTCTACCTCCACCTCTAGCTCCACCTCTAGCTCTAGGTCCACCTCTACTGCTAGCTCCACTTTTAGCTCGAATTCCGTGCTGAGCATCACTAGCCCCAGCGCCCGCCTGCCCAAGTCGAGCGCGACACTAAGCTATACTTACCAACCGCACGTTCTGACGGGTTCTGCTGATATCCAAGCGGCCTCCAAGACGACTGCTGCCGCTGCCGCTGCGTCCACATCTTCCGCCACTGGCGGTGCTACCAGCGCCACCGTCTCTATGCTGACCCTGGCCTTTGGTGCTATTGCCGCCATGGTCGTGAACATCTAAATCAGCTCCGACTGATTGGGCTATATTGACCGTACAATATTGCATCTATGTACGGGACGGGGGTGTGTACAGACACCATTTTGGGGCTTCCTTTCTGCGCTATATTTGCCCGCGGGCATCTAATATTGTTTTGCTTCTTTCACATTTTTTTTTTTTTTAAATTCTACTTCTACATAATTGGTACCGTATGGTGTGATGAGAATGATGATATATTCCTAGCTAGGCTACCCTATTACTTGTTTTGCGTTTCCCTTCGATCATAACGCTCCAGCCATCCTCCTAGGTAAAGAATAAGCTTTATGCAACATGTCATATACAACAGTCTACCCTATAAAGATTCACCCACCCCTAAACTAGCCAAAAGATCTACCAATTTTCTTTCTAGTTAATTCAATTTAGCGTATTGTATTGAACATGTATGGCTATGACTTTGAATTCTTCCTTCAACTACCTCTCTATAATTCAATATAATTCAATTTCAATTCAGATTCAGTTCAGATTTAGGGGCGCCACTCCTCTAGATACCTTTCCTTTCTTAGTTCGTCTCTTACCTATCTCCTCATTTTCATTTTCCTTTCTTCCCACCCTCAGTTTCTCGTCTTTACTTGGTGATTCAGTCTAGTCACCCGTCAGCGTCAGTTAAAACTTCTCATCATACCACATTACTCTTGCGGTTGTCTTCACTTCTCAAGTCCTGTGGTCTCAAATTTCTTTTCCATCTACCGTCACCTGAAGATTTCATTCGTGATACCAAGGACACCGGAGAGAGGATCCGTGAGCTTCGCACCCTTGCCCTCACCTACAAAGACCGCAACTTCATAACCGAGCTGGAGGCCAGAGGCGTTGTTGAGTCTAAAGAGGCACCCTCCGATCTTAACGGCATCCTCAAGATGCTAAAACGGAACTCATCCGGCCTTCAATCCCTTGATGAACTGACCAATCAAAACTACAACAATGCGGCCCATATGCTCCGTCACCTTCGCGTACTTTCGTGCCATTCCGTCAGTTAAAACTTGTCACCTCTCCTAGCTACTCTTGCAGTGGACTTCACTTTACTACTCCAGCCTTGTCGTCTCAAGTTTTGTCTTGCAGGCCTTTACTTTACTCGACTTCATTTCGTTCTCTGTTAGACTCTACCAAGTTTCTTGATCAAGATGGCGAAGACAGCGCGTCAAAGAAAGATTCAAGCAGTACAATCGTGGTGAAGCAACGTTAACTGAACTTGAGACAACCATCAGCAAGAATCCCAGCACCATAAACACCGTGACTTATGAGGGCCTTGTGGCCACTGATTTTGTATACGGGTTCGGGCTCTCCGCAAAGCAAATGGCAGTCCAGCGTGGATGTACCCACCTCAATCCATGACTCTCCCGCAAGTGAGATTCACCTACCCGTAAACTAGCAGCCAAGAGATCTACTAATTTTCTTCAGATTCACTTCAGATTCAATTTACTTAGAAGTCACTATGCCCATTTTAGAAGACATTGATTTTATTAACCTTATAATCTAGGCATTCAGACATCTTTTAAGCATCTACATTAGCTTTTGTAAAGTGAGATTGGATCTAAATTACTGCTGGCAATATGTTAACTACACAGTCCTTAACTAATTAACTAGCTCATAGCCAGTCAGCTGACCACCCAGGAGGACTAGACGGCAGCTGCCGTCTCAGATGAATCAACTTCTATCTTCCCCAAATCATCTTACTATATAACATAATATGAACCAATGACAACGGGCAGTTATGTGCCGGTGACATAATTAGTCGCCCGTACAGTCTTTCTGTAAGTGGAAAATGATCACTTTAACCCTCTATCCAAGCTAATTATCCAAAGTTGACGATCTTGCAATGACTTCTCGAGCCCCGGGACCACTCCGAGAACGAGGCCCAAGCGAGGACCATAATCACAAAACTGTTAGAGGTCGTCTATAAGGAGCTTCGGCTTAGTGGCTTCGCTGGGCCTAATGATATCCGAATGTTGCAAGAGACAGCATTCACGTTCTACCCGATGAGGTGGAAGGAAGGTTGGAAACACTCTAAGGTCCGTTGCGTAGGGAGGACGGACTTTTCTTTCTATTTCGGCGACAAAGTGGCCCAGGCTATCAATCTAGTAGTCATCGAGGCAAAGCGCCTCGGGTATTTGGCACTGGCGAGGGACAGACCCTAGCCTATATGGCCATGGTTTGGGCAGAAAGAAGAAAGCGAAAGCAAATCTTTGGTTGTCTAACAGACGGCAAAGAGTACCTCTTACCACATTTCGCATGACGGGTTCTGGTCCAACAGGTACCAGGATGGATTAAACGTTGTTACGACCTTCCTCAGACACGGCCTCGAAACTTCCCCGTTGCATTCCTCAGTGGCGACCGGGGGCCCCATTACTTTCAAGTGCTGGCAAGGCCTCTTCTTCTCTTAATACTGTGATGGAATGTTAATCTCTCACTTCGGTCGACTTTTTTTCTCTTCTTTTCGCCACATTTCATTTTCGACATTCTCTTCAACGCTAGTTATATTTGGTAAACACTGTTGTTAACGCGATTTCACTCCTATTACCACGCGAGTAAATTGAATATAAACAAACCATTGAATTTTTTCCCAATATGATGTTGCCATATACATGCATAAATCACCATTACCAGTTACTCACATATATTATACATCTAACCAAATTGCTGACACCTAACTGGAGACCGAACTAGTTCTTGCCCTCGATCCACATGCAGACACATTCCCACCCCAAACACCAAACCCAATATATTCAAACATCCACTTCCCTGATAGGAACAACCAACTCAGGTCTCCTCGCCTCAAAAGCCAACATGTTCAAATACCGCTGCCTGGTTTCGCGCATGTATTTTCGTTGCTCGTGTGAGACGTCCTTCATCCTATCTGAGTCGTCAAGACCGTGGTACATTGTGTACACACTGAACCCGATGAGTCCTCCTACAATGCAGCCGGCGATGATGAGGAAGATGTAGAGGGAGTATTTGTCCGGGTTGCTCATGCTGCTGCGCTTGAGCAATCTTGCTGCATTATCCATTATGGATGTTTGTGCGGTTGATGTCGCTATTGTAGGTGGGATGGCAGGCATTGTGGTTTGAAGAGGCTGTAGAAGACAAAAGGGCCTTGTTAGGTACTGGACATAGGGGGCATGAAGTGGGGTTGGGTAGACACGCACTGTAGTCAAAAGAAGATGCCAATGTCAGATTCTTCCTTGTTGGTGTGTACAAATGTTGATTCGAAATAATTCTTCCGAGGGAGGAGTTGGTTTATAGAGATAGGAAATAGTAGACTACACACCTAGTGTGCGAACTCTCCCAGCTATATAAATAAAGCATAACCGGCACGCTAAACCCTCACATCTACGGCTAAGCAACACTGAAACGCGAAGGGGATTCCTAAAAATCGACTCTACAGTTGTGATATTCTTCCTAAATAGGAATAGCGACAATAGAATCTCACGCCAATGATGTCAGGAACCGAGCAGACCAATCAGCGTGGTTCAATGGCTGGTGAGTGGACCAGTGAAAATGGGACTAAATCGACTAAATCGACTAAATGTTCTAAATCTGTACACCAATTTTAACCAGACAGTAAGCTTCTCTCTTCTTATTTCTCAGGGACCGCTCTTCGGCCCCCAAATTCGAGATACCATGTGCTGTAGTGGCTTGTCCTCGCTTTCTTTGGTTCGATTTTGCTGTGTGTCATGCTGCTTGATTGGCTCGTGCCTGGTGCCTCTCCCTAGGCCGTCGGCCCGCATTGGTTACAGCAATTCGAGGACTGGTGGGTTGCTGCAAGTCTGTTTCTTTGTGTCTTACATGTCTCAGATAGGTCTCTCCGTACTAATCTTTTGAGACTCGTCAAATGTGACTCTGAGAGCCCGCCCGCTGTCACTGGACGTCTACTCTGTATGGTGTGGTGTAAATACTTCAGCCAGCCATATCCATATTTTGTTTTCTCTTTTTTTTTTGTAAGGCCTTCAATGGTATATCTTTCTGATCAGCTCTGCTGGACTCCTATCCAGTGGTCAAATTGAGCATCGTAGCTTTAGTTATTCTTCCGCTCAGGGCGGTCCAACATATATTTAGCTTCTGGTCTGGTAGTCTTGTGGATATATTGTTCCGAACTAGCAGAATTGGATCCAACAGTCTATTACCATATAGGACAATATGGGCCTTGAAGCTGTTTGGATTATCAATTAGAAGGGATATATATACCAGGGTCATATTAACGTAGATGCAATTAAAAATTAAAAAGAAAACAATAAGAAGGTGTAGCATAGCCACTTGTTTTTAAAGGCTGACTAGCCTGTTAGTGGGGTCTATAATAACCTCTAACCTTGGAATAGTACCCTTTTTAGCATGTAAAGGGTGTTTTAACACGCATTAGCATTAACATTATCGTGATGGCCACAAAAAGATGCCTTAGGCGGTTATACCCGGCCTGCTCAGTCAGCAAATCTTCAAGCTCTGGAGTGGACCGTGAATCTTATACCTTTCTTCGCCACATCCCACATTCCATATGCCATATCCAAATGGAGACAGTATGCGGTCCATGCTGGACATGTCGCAACCGCCGCATTCAATGCGACCAGTCCGGAACGCCATGCGACAAATGCGAAAAGGCCGGGATGGAATGCTTCGACAAAAGACCTCTGAGATGGGTCAAGGGCGTGGCCATTCGTGGAAAGATGCAAGGTCATTCATATGAGGGTATTGCAGATGGCACTGCTGTGCACAAATCTAAAAATACCAAATCCGCTCTACCAAAACCGAAGAAGTGGTCTCGCGCGCTGGTCCAAGCTTCTGCGGGCAGTAGAACCCTTCCGGTTACCTTGCAAGACCCGTCCATGTCAAACCTGGATCAAACTTCGAAATATTATATAGACTACTGTAAGACCGACATGTAAAGCTCTGAAACCAGGGTATTAATAGCTGACATTCGCATTTAGATAACGAACGCATATGCAAATTGTTCATTGTATACGACAGCCCCAGAAATCCATTTCGGAGTTTGATATCCCTTGGATTGAATGATCCGGTCTTACAGAAGGGCATACTTGCTCTAGCGGCGCGACACCATGCCAATACAGGCCAGCCGTTTCATCAAATTCAAGCTCCGACATCCGCTGGTCTCATTAATGCTAATCGCGATGCTCTACTGTTCAAGCATCAAGCCATGGAAGCTCTCTCAAGGGTACTTGGGGACGGAAGAATAGAAAAAAGCGACACAACAGTCGCCAGCATATTTCTTCTTATCTTCCTGGATCTCCTCGAATCTGGAAGCGAAGGTTGGAATTTCCATCTTGAGGGGGCCAAGAGTTTGATTACATCACACCGGCCGCTGCTGGAGGCGCAAGCTGGAGTTAACAACGGGCCTGGCCAGACGATCCAGCAGATCTGGGGTTTTATCTCCAGCCAGATTCATTTGTGAGTTATGAGAAGCCTAATGGATAGTATAAAGCTACGCGAGGGACTGACCGATTACAAAAAAAAAAATAGGATTGAAACACTGGGAGCAACCTTTTTACGACCGAAGGTACTGTCGGAATTCATATTTGACGGCCAAGCAGAGTTGAAAGCCCATGAAGAAATTGAAAAATCTTTCCTTGGATGTCCAGAGTTCCTGTTATCGGCGATACAGTTTCTCTCCAACGAAAGGGACGCCATCGCAGAACAGCTGCCGGACGGTGCCGCTCTCCAAACACACATACAAGATACTACCGCGATGATGGAACTCATCCAAAACTTTGACTGTTACACATGGGCTTCGAGCCTCCAAGATTCGAGACAGTCTTCCCTGGACGAAATCAACAATCTCTGCACATTATCCCAGGCATTTAAAATCGGGGCTTTGCTATATGGGAGACGGATTCTTGATGCACTCACAGAAACCACCACCATGCAAGATGATCTGGTCTCTGAACTGCTGGGTCTGATTCATATCTTGAAAGACGACGAGTCGCTTTTCAAATGTGTTCTTTGGGCTATCTTCGTGGCGGGGTTGGAGTGTCGGTCTCAGACTCAGAAAGAGTTTTTGTTTGAATCTTTAGAGAAATTTTGGACTGCTACGAGCTGTTTGAATGTTATCAATGCAGCGAAGATCCTGAAAGATTATTGGGACCAGAAAGAAGGCTTGGAGACTCCATCGCGGTGGATATTTGATATTGGTCGTTTGAGTGGTGACTGTCTTCTGATTTAACATACTAAACATCGAATATAACCAAAATATTTCACATAATTTCTTTCATATAAAAATATGAGACTAACCTAACTTCATCCCAACAGCGACTTGAATGCCTGCAGCAAGTCGTCTTTCAGATCCTCCCAGTTCTCCAGCCCAACGCTAACTCTCAGCAGCTTCCGGTCAATCCTGGAATCCGACAAAGCCCGCCACTCAATCAAAGACTCAACCCCGCCTAGACTGGTAGCATGCTGGAAGAAGTGAAGCTTAGTCGGCAAAACCTTCGCAAACTGCTCACTGTGCAGGACAATAGAGAATACAGGACCAAACCCATTAGGCATCTGCTTCTGCAACCACGGCTCATCCTGCAAACTAGCATGGTGAATCTTCTGTAAAACCGACTGAACAACCATCTCCTCACTACCATCAGCAGGAGACGATGCTTGCATAGCAGTACGAAGCCAAGAAATCAACCTCGCCGAATTCTGGCTCCCCCGCTGAACCCGGACCTCCAGCGTTCGCAGACTCCGGATACCAAGCCAACTCTCCATATTCCCCATGACACTCCCAAGCGCGATCCTATCCTCAAACAACCGCTTCGTCCAATCCGCGCGTTTCGTAGCAAGCACTCCACAAAGCAAATCGCTATGTCCACCGAAATACTTGGAGCCGGAATGCATGACGATATCCGCGCCCCACAGGAACGGATCCTGCAAGCCAGGCGGCGCAAACGTACTATCGACAATGAGGAATGCCCCGCGGGAGTGGGCCTTGCGCGCGTATTCCTCGATGCTGAATGCCGTCCCCAGCGGGTTGACGGGCGTCTCTAGTAGGATAACATCACCGGGGCCCAGGCTTTCGACGGGACAGTCTAGAGCATGTTTCTGTAGCCCGGACAGACGTGATACTACCGCGATGACTTCGTGGCTGCCGTGGTATCCCTCGCCGACGGAGATGTTGCGTGGGTTGAGCAGTGTGAGAGCGGCGTGTAGGGCTGCTAGACCTGTTGAGTAGCTCACTGCGTGCCCGCCTATCAGGGATGAGAGCACTGCTTCAAAGCGAGTTGCATTGGGCGCAAATTCGCGGGAATAGACATAGTTCTTGCCGTTGAATTCATCCTAGATGGACTTGTTAGTTGGGAATCTGGTTGTCTGTGTGTTAGTTTGAGACGTACTACCGGATCCTCGGACGGCATGAGTTGATCTGGATCATTGGGGTATCGGAAGATTGTAGAGAGATGGATTGGGGGTGCGACGTCGGTCACTTGATTTAAGGTATCGTCTGCATGCAGGGCTTTGGTGGAAGGGTGGGTGTTGTGTGAGGCCATTTTGCTTAGAATATTTTTGAATGAGAAGAGAAAATTAAGGTCGAGAGGGTCTTTATATCTTTGTTCCTCTTCCAAGGTTGACTTCTCCTCTCTGGAGACCCACTCCCGTTAACTTCCTAAAACGGAAGCTCCCGTAAGTATAAAAACGGTGGCAACGCATCCATCGCCGGGTTTTAGGTCTTTTTTTTAAAAAAAAAAGAAAAAGAAAAAGGAAACGAAGAAAAAGAAAGACATAGACTCCTAGGATATATTCAAGATATCATCTGTCAAATATCATCTTAAATACGGACGACTATACCTAGGCATCACCGTCACATAACTCTCTCATTGGTTTATATTGCCTTACAAAAACTAACCTCGGAATTAGTTATATAGTTAGTAGTAATATTGAACCCAGATGATGCCTTATAATGCCTTAGAAAAGATATATAAAGAGACATCTAGAAGGACAACTAGGAAGACCCTAAAAAGAACATCCAAAAAAGATGATCTAGTAAGATGTCAGTATATGCTTGGAAGTTGAAATCAATGTACCTTACTTCAAGAAGGTGTAAGGCACTAGTCAATGAGAGGGTTATGTGATTCGATGTCCCTATAATCGCCCGTACCCAAAGCCATTAGCATCACAGAACGCAAGCCCCAAACAAGGAAGTATGACAAATGAAAACAGCAAAGACACAGATAGCAAAATATGGTAGTTAAGGTGACTGTCCCACACAAAGAACATATGTAAATAGAATTAAGATAACCTTAACTTTAGGACGTCTGTTTGTCTAGTCCATCTGTTCTCTGCTTCCCCCATCTCTCCATCCTATCCAATCATCTACCACATCCTGTAGCACCCGAAGCTTCTTCAGTATGGAGAACAACTGTATCCAGGGTAAGTCATTGTCTACTTTTTGAGTACTTGCAACCTGATGAGATTTAGAATGCCCCGAGAGCATCATCACCACGACCTCGAATGAGTTCAATTTATTATTGGATGAGATCACAGCCCGATGCAACAAACAGTCAAAGGGGATCAACAAATGGCTCCTCTACACCAAAGATTTCCAACAGACTATTGCCGATACATTGGAGAAGGAGAAACTCAGGAAGCAAGAAGCTGGTATCAAAGCTATGACATGGGCACCCAGAACACCCCGAACTCCGAGAACACCGAACACACTCCAAATGCTTAATTAGCATGTTAACATATGCTAACATGTCATTTTTTGTGGAATTTCTTCAGGTTTCAAAAGTGAGAAAACAAAGGGTAAACTCATATAGTGGTGATCGACCTCAAAGGTTTCTCGGCCCCGGCTTTCATTTTCCCCCTCACATCTTCTCTTCTAACAACTTCTCACGACAAAATGCCTCCCTCGGCTCAAACGGTAAGCTATCATGGCATACTATTGTTTTTCCTTATACTCTTTTGCACACACATTCCATGATTGGGAACACTTCCCCAAAAACTTCGATACCTAGAGCTCCCAAGCCTACCCCGCACTGCCCATATAACGCCTGCCTGCTCTGCAACTCCCATGCGCGTCTGATACAGAAAACCAAACTAATACAATGGAATCAAAGACCAGATTAGTCTCCAACCTCCGCCTCCTTATCCCCCGTCTCCGCCTCCTACAGAAGAAAGATACAGCCTCCTCAGTCGTCCAACGCCGCGAGCTCTCCCAGCTCCTAAGTGAAGGCCGCGATGCATCAGCGCGCATCCGAGTCGAAAATGTCATCGCAACAGATATCGCAGTGGAGGTAATGGAGATGGTCGAGCTCTACTGTGAGCTACTGCTGGCGCGCGCAAATGTGTTGGATCAGATGGCCTTCAGCGACCAGGGGACCCGTGCCAGACTTCGCGCCAAGGAATTGCTCAAGCAGCGCACCCAGGAACAAGCTGGTGCTACAGTATCAACCACCGCGGGCCTCAAGGGTGCTGGGGAAATCACTGGCTCGCGATTCGGGTTCTCTTGGCTGGGAGGGGGAGCGCAAAAGAAGGAGGCTGAGCGGGCTGCACCTATTACAGCATCTGGTGCGGCAGATGACTCCGGTGATGGGATTGCGGATGAGGATAACCCCTACATGGATACTGCGATCGATGAGGCTGCTACGGTGGTCTTCTATGCGTGGCATCGCTTTCCGCATGAGGTGCGCGAATTCACTATGCTTCGTACTATGCTGGGCGAGCGATACGGCAAGGAGTTTATGACTCTAGCGCAAGATAATAAAGTCGATACTGTGAAGGTTCCGGATCGGCTTCTCAAGGGATTACGTGTGCGTCCACCAGGACAGGAACTTGTGGAGAGTTACCTTCGAGAAATTGCGAACGCATACGGCGTTGAATGGCATGGAAGCGAAGAAGAGCTGGGAAGTGCGCCAGAATTTGTGGATGATCTTGGTGATTATGGCGCACAGGAACCCCAATTACCGCAAACTCCTAGCAAACAGCAAGGAGACTCAGCATTAGGGCCGAACCCCTCTGAAACGAGACGTGCCTCGGATGCCAGTGAATTGACCAAAGCTACACCTCCACGTGGACTCGCTTCGGGCCGAAGTCCTGTTAGCGTTGCGCCGCCAGCTCCCAGAACGGACAATCCCAATCCCAGAGTCAAGCTTCCCGGTGCAGAGGGCAAAGCTGCTGCTGCTCCAAAGGAAGACACCGCATCTAAGGGCAAGAGTAACAACGGTGGGATACCCGAGCTGGATGAACTGACGCGAAGATTTGCGGATTTGAAGAGGAGACCATAATTGAGAATCCCAGTATCTTGAAATCCAGAACTCAATACTCAGCGCCTTGATTTTAGCCGTTTTTTCATGTCGGTTCCCTTCTCGGTGGCTTGGACAGGGATTCGCTACGTCGAATGTCTTGGCTCTGGCCCCGCATAATGCATCACATCTCCTCATTTTAAACGATTCGCATTAATTTCAGTTGACTGGCTACCCGTGAAATAGGGGATTCTAAATTAGACCAGGTGGTTCCCCGAATATGATAGATCATATCCAGTGTGGAACTCGAGAACTCGAAGTGGAAGTTGGTACTTTCAACCGTTGAGAGCAAACGAATCCGAGATAATGTTACACTGGAATTAACACCTTCTTTTTTTTTCTTCTCAATAGCTTACACCTTAAAGAAGATCAATGGCAATGTTTTAATTAAGTGCAATAGAACCTAAGAACCTATACTCCGTACTGTAGCCGATCTACAAGACCAACGAACTACATAAAATATGACACGTGATAGAAGCAAGGCACGACCCTTTTCTCCAGACCTGTGGATTTCCGGCTATCACCTTAAATCTAATGAAACAGGCTGATTATAGATTGCCCTAATATCGAACTCCATCCAATATTGGAGACATATTAACTCAGTACAAATCGAAATCCCCGTTGGAACTTCGCACGGGACCCGCCAAACCCAATCGCACTCGATACACCACCCGTCCCGAAAAACCCGTGGACCACACGAGCCATGACACAGACATAATATGAACTCCGAATCCCCTTCAAATCCGACCATTCTCCCCAGCTAGCGGTAGCTAGACACTGCGACAATCCCCCGAACCCCGAAAAAGACCCCAAAATCAAGAAAAAAAAGCCCAACCACTATGCCGGTCTATATGCTCCACGGCTTCCGCTGGCCCCGCGCCGGGTTCACGGGGATCCGCGTATATATCGTACTCCACAACCTGGAAGAAGCAGCAGCGGAATACATCCAGCAACCGCTTACGACGGAGCTCATCGCAGAATCCTTCCACAAAACACAAGGGGACCTCGTGCCTCGGCTACCGGAGCTTTCGTTTATCGAGCAGTATGACCCCGCCGACGAGACGAGTGGCACCGTCAGTCAGGACCATGCGTATATTTCAACGCGGGTTCTGGAGATCCCAGAGGATGGGAGTGGTACTTGTGGTGGGGAGAATATTGAAGATTGTGTCGAACAGGGATCTGGGTTGACGGATGATCAGACCGCAGCACTGGAGGAATTGCGCGATCGACTAGCCCCTGGTGAGAAGATTGGATGGTATCTTGTTTACAATGGGGATCCTGAACGGTGGTTTCCTGATTCTGAGGACGAGGAGGATTACGAGTCTGAGGAGGAATCTGAGGATGAGCGCCAGACTCAGCGGCAGAGTCAGGCCCAGAGCCAGAAGGGGGATAGTTTTACAGAACCAACTAGTCCGCAGAGCTATACGGTATGTGGTTCATTTCTTTCATTTTCTGGTTAATTGGCTTCTGCTTTCTTCTTTTGGGAGGGCGGGCTTTCTCCCAGTCTTACTGCTACAGTTACATGGTTGCTAATGGCTTATTACTAGACTCGTCTGACGAGGTTCTGGAATCGGATGAGCTCGGGGTGAGAACTATGCCTGGGTGATATGGAACATTGAAAACCAGGTCAATTTGTTCCGTCACTACACAGTGTCACTCGTTGCCTCGTTACAGTTACACCGAGTTGTGATGGGAGCTTTTAACGAATTCTACGCTTTATGTCTGTTGATACTTTATGTTTTGCAAATATTGTTATACTAGTTCAGTTGATGTATTGGATGTCTCATGAGAACCAAGATTGCTTGAAGACTTAGTAGAGTAATTCCCTATAATTCTCCAATATGCGCTTCTACTGCACCTGCATCTCTATATAATCCGATCTAGGCGGTGAATCCGGGCAATATGGGAGGGGAGCTTCGATAACGGGAGCAGCGGAGACCATCCAAAGCTTGTCGCAACACTCCCCGAGTGGTTTCATAAATGCTGACCAGGTAACATCCTGGACTTCTAACGTAATGGTTCTCTCATTTATCCTGGTTCAGAATCGCCAGTGAGTGGCTGTCCGCTCCAATCATTTTCGATTCAGACACTAATTGACGGTATAGGGGGAAAACGCGCCTGGCGAAATGGTATTCACCGTACAGTGTGAGTGTTGCCGGAACCCATCCGTCAATACAGAATTGGGACTTTGAGCTGACACCGGCTTACAGGATGAAGAGAAAGTCAAACTGAAAGGCGAGGTTCGTCCATGCAATACCACCCGCACCCGCACTTGCTCCGAGGTTCCCCATCCAACTAACCACCGACAACCGTATAGGTCCATCGCCTCGTCGCACCCCGAGATCAGAAATACCAGTCCAATTTTGTTGAATTCCGTCGGAGCACCAAGGTCGTCTACCGAAGATATGCAGGCTTGTTCTTTTGCGTCTGTGTCGACGCGAATGACAACGAACTAGCCTATCTCGAAGCAATCCATTTCTTTGTCGAAGTGCTGGACCAATTCTTTGGCAACGTGTGCGAGCTGGATTTGGTCTTCAATTTCTACAAGGTGCGTACAATTCGCTGGATATGCACTATTCAGCGGTGAACCGGGGCTGGCGTGGGATTGGAATTGCAGGAGACGTGATACTGACCACGTGTGCGGGATTTATAGGTCTACGCTATCCTGGATGAAGTCTTTCTCGCAGGCGAGATTCAAGAGACAAGCAAGCAGGTTGTTCTCACGCGATTGGAACACCTGGATAAGTTGGAGTAGGAGACAAGCTGGATACTCGGATTCCGGGGACGATATGGGGACCGTTATCGATTGCGGACACGACTGCATTGGACAAATCAAATCAAAACAGTCATTTGCATGGAGTTTCAGGTGTATCGGTGGCTTTCAGACAATATTAGTGCTGTTCATGTTCATATTAGGAGGGATTATTCTGGAGATATCAAATCATCGATACAGTTTATGCTACCACTTACGAGCCAATGCCGAAATCGCAGGGCAGGGGAGTATGCTGCATGAAGTCCTCTCTCTAGTCTATCTGCCCATTGTGCTTTTCAGACTAGACGTCTTTACTTTATTCCAAGGCTTGTATGGTAAACGGGATATTCCCCGGGCAGGATACATTGTTTCTTTTCAGATGCACCCGGTGTGGTCTAGTGAGTATGTCTTTGTTGTCCATATGTATTTTGCGAGCAACGAGACCTTGTAGTCAAGGACGCGGCTGCCGAATGTCCAAAAGTGAAGCTATGTGTGTGGCTTTTGTGGACTAAGAGAGAGCACGGGATCCAAAAGTGCTGACTCTTGCAACCCACAGTTCGGACATTCCAAGCTTTACTTAAGTCTTCTAAAAGCCAAAAAAAAAGGATAAAGGGTTAGGTAAAACCCATGCGAATGATCCACGGTGACAACATTAGACAAGATATGTGAGCTTCTTTTCACTTCCGACCGAATATACCTACTGCTTCCTCGTATGGTTATGACCTAGTCCACTATAAGAGCCCAGGTATATTAGAGCTGAGACATGTGAAGCTTTGATTTAAGGTCCACGAGGGTGTGATGAGTTAGTGCCAAGCTTTCCCCTCATATTCTCTTTCTGTTAGCATCAAGGGAGCCCCCCTGGTTCATGGTTCGGGGTATAGCTGTGCTGGCACTGACTGCCGAAAACATTGCCGTCGGTGGATGCCTGGCGGAGACGGAATGCACAAACTTGGCTTAATGGGCCAACCCAGGAGCATTAAGCTTAGATTAGATTGTATTGTTCAGCCCTGTTTCCATTTTATGGAGGGACTTCCTAATCGGCCATGGCTTGGTGAGGTGATCGTAGCTATCGATGGCGAACAATTGCGAGCGATGGCGAACGTTGGTCTAATGGTCTTGGCATATTACATTTAAGGAGCTCTGTCGCTGTTGACCCTTCAAAAAAAAGGGTTTGTCTTGCTGAGTTCATTGTTCCTATTCTTTTTCACTTTTACTACGTTCGACTGGCCACAAAGAGTCTATCTACCCTATCTATAGTTATTGTACTCTTGACTCCAGCATGCACGTTCCACGCACTATATCACGATGGATTCTTCGGAACAACACCTTCCGTCATTGATGTAATGTTGTAGTATGACATTGTACTGACTGCCGATAGTCTCACAGACATCTGCTTCATTGTGCTGGACACGTGACAGAGATGGAGTCTACGAGGGTACTTTCCCTGAATGGAAAATATCTCAGCAACACGGGACGATCAGTTCAGCCGTGACAATACTGACCCGTGGCAACGGAGATTACCCCTGGCGATGAAAATCATACGAAACTTTGCTTCTCACACGCCCAGGACCACCTCCCCCTGATCGCTACTTCGATGATAACGGCTTTGAGTCCGCGACACATCGAGTAGATGGTCTTTCTCATGATAGGCAGTGTGGCCGGACGATCCAGGAGTAGGGCCCCATCGTGACCGACCGGCTGAAACTTTTACATACAACATACCTTCCGCGGTGGCGAGAGGAAATTGAACTAGGCCTTGACAAGTGGAACACACAACCTCGGTCTCGAACGAGCCAAGCGCAATCAATCTGATGGAGCGGGGGCACAGGACTCTCGTACCGGGAACGATATTCCCCTGGCGAAACAGATGCGAGATTGATCTGCTTGGAACATTGTGGGCCAAGCTTGGCTGACCCAAGCTGAGCCGTTTCGACTGGTGGATATGAGATGTCAAACAGCAACACAACATATAGGCTCATAGTACTCAGTAGATGAGTCCTATGATGATCCATGAACCTACGATGTATGTGGTGCACTCAAACTGACATGGCCATCACATTCAGAAAGGCACCCTTTCCAGACGTTGAAGGTGTACGCGTTCCATTTTAGGGCTCCACCAATGACCGGTATTGTATGGATCGTCAATTTTGCCGGGAAAACTTGACAAAAAAGAAACGTACGCGGATCGGTCTTGGCAACGGCAGCATTGACCCTTGGAATTACTTTCGGTAATTTTCATTTTGGTATGAAATGTTTCCGACCTTTTGCGCATGGACTGTACTCCGTACCATACAAACTGTACCATACAGATTGTATCATACAGACTTTACCATACTCGACTCCACAAAATCGTTCACCCCTGACAATCCTTGACATCCCTGTGCGTCAGCCCGTGACGTTGTGCCTCTACCTCAATACTCACACTCCGTACATTGTATAGTTATACAATGTATCCCAATGTCGTTACGACTTTACAACATACTTCGTATACATTCGTGGACCCCCTTGGTTTTTGGAACCTATCCCAAGTGGGGGGGTACAATTGGAGTTCAAGAATGAAGGAATTGTCCAAAAGCCAAGACCCGGAGATAATGAGAACGTTACCACTCGCGGGGAGACATCCATAGTACCTGGGGACTGTTGAAAAAAAAAAAAGTGGTTCGAGCCTCGTCATTGACACTGCCACTGCGACTAAATGCCCACTCTACTTCATTTCTATTGATCTTCCTTGGGGATCAGTGAGTCTGGTTCTTTTTTATTTTTATTTTTATTTTACATTTATTCCATTTATTCATTTACTCTTCCCCTTATCTCCAGATCAACCTCATAAAATCCCCCCTTCCTTCTAGACTTTTTCTATAAGTCTTGTCCTTTCTTTATCCAGCTTGATTACTTCCATTCGTTTATATCACCCACACTTCGTCCCTCTTTATAGAAGTTCCAACTATACCAAATTATAACTCGACCTTATAAACACCCCACCATGTCTCTCATGCTCTCCGATAATCTGGCTCCTCAGCCCGTGACCGACATCTTCACCGATGACACAAACATTGACCGCCGAAAGTGCCACCGCACAGTTCCTATGAAGGTTCTGGCTCTGGGCGTTGGTCGTACTGGAACTGCCTGTGAGTATGATGTGCTGTGTTGCATTGGACTTTGTGTATTGGTGTATATACCAGGTCTGATGGAAACGAGAAACACATAAACTAACTATCGGTTTACAGCTCTCCGCAAGGCCTTTGAACGCCTGGGTTATGGCAAGTGCTACCACATGATGTGCGCAAGTGTTGAGAATCCGCCAGATTGCTTGATGTGGCACGATGCCCTGAACGCGAAATACAACGGAATCGGCGAGTTCGGCCGCAAGGAATGGGACCAACTTCTGGGTGACTGCCAGGCCGTCTGTGACTGGCCTGCCTGTGCCTTTGCAAAGGAGCTGATTGAGGCTTACCCCAATGCCAAGGTCATTCTGACCACCCGTGATGTCGACCCATGGCACGCGTAAGTCCCAGTCGCATCTTATAGATCAGTTTTACTGGTCCGAAGAACACCACATTGACAAACCCCCAGTTCCGTTATGAAGACCGTCTTCTGGCGCGTCTCAGACCCAGAGCACAAGTTCGTATCGAACTTCAGCTGGGCCGCCGGCATGTACTACCCCATGCTGAACAAGTTCTTCGAGACATTCTTCCGTGGTGACTTCCCCGGCAAGGGCAAGCAAGTCTACGAGGATCACGTCGCTGAGGTCCGCAGCATGGTCCCCCCGAGCGTCTGCTCGAATACAACATCAACGATGGCTGGGCCCCACTTTGCGAGTTCCTCGAGGAGGAGGTCCCCGACACCCCCTTCCCCCGTGGAAACGACATGGCCGACTTCTACAAGCGCTGCAGCACCCGCAATCGTCACCAGATGATGAACGCTGCCCTTCAGGCCGTCACTATTGGTGGTTCGCTGCTTGCTGCTGGCTTCGCTGCCACGTTGGCTTTCAAGCGTTTCTCCCCTCGCTAAAATGCTCGTTCTTGTACTTTACGCTTCTTTTTTCTTTTCTTTTTCTTTTTTCTATATTCCCCACATCTCACCTTTTTCCGCTGGCTGCTAGCGTGCGCAGGCGCCTCTAGTATATTGCCAGACCCCGTGGTCGTTTTTGTTCCTTTTTGCTACCCTCCTAGTTGGAACAGACCACTGCATCTATTTTTGCCATCTTCATTTCCTCAAATTGGTTTAATGAGAGGCGTCTTGGAGAACAATCAGGTAATAGACCAGTATATCCTATTTCTTCTAATTTTGATCATCGTTCCTTATGCACGCTTCGTACAAGTGTGTGATCAGCGCATCGAAGCATCTCCGGCTTTCAAATTGAGGGATAAACACCACTAGGGACCCGCTTCCCCGAGGCTCTGTCATCATCATGCATTGCCCAGGTGCCTAGAGGCAAGGGGCGCCTAAAATCTTGGCTCCAAAAACTTCCCCATGCAAGGCGCGTAGAGCAATTTCTCAAAAATAAACCAAAGACAAAATATATACAAATAAATATCTATTTCGAGGTTTCGCTATATACTACATCATACGTATGGAGTACAGAAATAGAAACCCACTCATTTTGACTATGTTGTATAGTTAGTTAACTATTGTCTAATATTGTACATGTACACAGAGCAACCACTTTAGCAAGTAAATAAACATCGACTATCGACACCTTCTAAATCCGGTCGTCCACACCTGGTCCCCAAGCCCTTCCCACCTCTCTCCACTCTCTGGGATGAAACCAAGAAATTGTTCCAGCCACACTCTGTTCGAGAAGTGCCGTGGGGTTTCCACGGTTAGTGGCTTGGCAGCGGGGAAAAGGGATCCGTAGTAATTACGTGGACATGCCATACAACATACATACCATTCTGAAAGTTACCCGTATTGTTATTTACTGTTATATCCTTGTAAGGGAGGGATAGTTGATACATAAACTGCTTTTCTCGATATTCAAATATACAAAAACAAGCAGTGTTCAGATTGCTTCTTTTGTTATGGGCCCCGGACCAGATCCTCTTAGAAGGCCTGTATGAAAAGGGTTTGATAAAAATACGTAATGTATATGGATGGATTGGGTTGGTGTACGTGGACTAATGGCCCCTGGAGTGATCAGTCCATTGTTGTTCGTAGATTGGGTTATTTTGGGATTCAGGAGTTCAGCGACACATGTCAGCTTTGATTTTTAGTGCTATTGGTGTTGGACTGGTGATTCTGGGAATTGCACCGCGTTTGACATACGAAAGAGATATCTCAGCTGTGGTCATGGACACTTGATAGGTCCTCTCTTTACGGAGTAGCTAGGTGTGCTAAAAGCAGTATACGATCCCACTTCATCTAATCTCCTATCTATCCGCTGTAGATCTCGCTGTCAAATAGCACACAACGTACTCCGGACTCCGTAAGACGATGTCACTTAGGGAATCAGTCCCACACGTGTGAGTTCCATTCGCTCAAAACATTGGGTAAAAGATCAATTATTAATGAACACACATCTCGTGCACGATGCCAGAATGTGCCAGAATAGATCTTGCAACAAAGATAGCCCGCGTAGGCTCTGACGACGCAATATGCGCCACCACTGTTCCCGATCCAATCCCCCACGTTCAATTCGTACACGACTGATGCTACTTCTCAGCCACATACACGTGGGTTTTAGCGTTGAGCTTTATCAGAGTATCTGAAACCTTAGAAGCCCAATCCATTTGGTTACCTACATCTCCCGGGATAAGTCACCTGCGCGATTGAGCTGTCTGTGTTTGGTTAGCAAGTAACTGAGTGTTCATCCATGGTCTGGTCCCCGAGACTGTCGGGCTCTTCCCGAACCTTCAATATGAATTGAGGTTGAGCATACGGAACAAGTATGAGTACGATCTCGGAGTTATGGTATCGGGACTCGTTAGCGGCAGCCACATCACCTTAGTCTTGCGGGCATGACGCGGCCCGCGAGAAAATATATCCGTACTGTCACTAATCTGAATTACACCGTGTGTATTAGGGGGGAAAGAAGAAAACAACAATCAAGGTTTTCCGCAGCAATAGATAGACGATCGAAATCTTTTTTGGAGGGGGGAAGGTTCTGTTTAAGAGTGGGGATGGTGATCGGTTTATCGTGATTTTCCAAGGTTGCTCGTCTGATATCAAAATGCCGAACACCCCCTTCTCCCGCAACTTAAAGCAACTGACACAGTTTTTAGCAGGACTGGGCATCTTGGCGCTGGGCGGGTATTGATTGAATTGTTCTTCACTAAGTACCGAGGTAAGCACCGTGTCGAGCTTTAAATGGATCTTGGCCAATTAACATAGAGGATCAACATACTATATGCCCCCACTATAAATGCAAAAAGCATGGATTGACAGGTGGAGAGGGACTCGTACACATTGTTGGTTCGTCTTAGATCTCTCGGCCTCTTTGCATGAATGAGTATTCTCCCTGGCCTGGAGTTTTCTATACTTCCCTATGATTTGCTTTCAATACAATCTCCCTTGCACACATCCTTTTGGATGACCTTATTCCTGTTTGGCTCTACTACAAGGTTCTTTACATCTTGCATCGGAAAGTGGTGCGAACAATCCATGGGCGCCTACGTATTTTTCTCCTTGAAGACTGTGCCGGCGCTCTTCTTTCTTGGTATTATCTGGTTATGCGCTATTGATAGTGCGCTTGGAGAGGAAACCTCCTTTTATAGATCGGTAAGTGGAATTAATCTGAGCCCCTCAAGTGTGCTTTTGGACTGAAATTATTATTCGCATAACAGAGACCCGACATATACCCGCCCATCTTCAATGTCGAAGAGTCCAATCCAGACAAGCTCAGCCCGGGCTACATCTTCATCACACCATACGAACTACAGAATCCCGGCCCGTACATTTACGATAACACAGGGGTAGGTTTCTATTTGGCGGAGTTGAGGTTAGCTGAATATAGGAAAGCTAATACGCTATTCGATCAACAGGAATTAGTATGGAGTGGCTGGGGTGCTTCGGGACCAGGCAACGCCCATGGCCTCCACGTGTGCAAATATAACGGCGTCGATCACCTATGTTTCTTCCAGGGCAACCAGCAAAAAGGATACTGCCGCGGACATGGTATCATCATGGATAAAAACTACCGAGTCGTGCGATCGGTTCAACCGGGTGGAGGAATGGCCTCTAGCGACATGCACGAATTCCGTCTCATCAACGATGGCAAAACCGCTCTCATGACCATCTACCAGCAACGCCAATTCGACATGACACCGTGGAACGTCAAAACTGGCGTCGGGTGGCTCATGGAGAGTCTTTTCCAGGAGATAGAAGTGGAGACAAATAAGGTCCTGTTTGAATGGAGGTCTCTGGATCATGTCGATCCATCGTCGAGCTATACATGGCCGTCTCATACGGATACTTCTGGGACAGGATTGAGCGTGCATGAGCCTTGGGATTACTTTCACATCAACTCCGTCGACAAAAATGCTGCCGGTGACTATCTGATTTCATCACGGCATACTTCTGCCATCTACGAGATCTCCGGTAAGGATGGCTCAGTGGTGTGGCGGCTTCACGGCGCGCAGCCCTCTTTCCGGAATATCAATTTTAGCTTTTCGCAGCAGCACGACGCTCGGTGGTTACATGACAATGCTACGCATACCGTTCTCTCACTTTACAACAATGGCTATAACGGCTTCAACAAGACCCACACTTATTCAGCGGGCATGATCATCATGGTTGACCATGTGGAAAAAACGGCCACCCAGATCCGCGATTACGCCCCTATTAAAGACGACCTAGTGAGCTCCAGCCAGGGGAACCTGCAGATACTCCCCAATAAAAATGCCTTTATCGGATGGGGAAATAACCCATTCGTATCTGAGCACGATGAGGCGGGTAATCTACTATTCTGGGGTTCTTTCGCCGAAGACACCGTGATGAACTACCGCGCAATGAAATTTGAATGGGACGGTGTACCAACAGACTCACCTGCCCTATGGACATACTCCCAAACCGCAGAACCATCCTCTTCCACCAGCTTCTATGTCAGCTGGAACGGCGCAACCCGCGTCAAAACGTGGCGATTTTGGGGATCGATGAACAGGACCGGACCGTGGACCTTACTGGACGAGGTTTCCAAAACCGGTTTTGAGACTGAATACACCGGCTCCAGATTCTTCCTTTGGTCTAAGGTCGAAGCAGTGGATCGCGAGGGCATTGTGCTGGGAAAGTCTGAGATCAAGTATACCTTCGTGCCCTCGTCCGAGCTGCGCGAATTCTGCCTTGACTCTACCTGCTTGGACGCACCGGGATATGGGTTCCCCGGCGAAGAGGCAGCCCGTCCTTTCATTCCGCCAGTAGGTGTTAATACTGTGCCGTGGATGGACCCCAACAACCCGGGCTCCAATATCTGGACACAACACAATCCCTCGGGCTATCCACAACCTTCTAATGCTCCAAAGTACTTGGACGGGTGGAACCATGGCCGTGAGTGAATTCCGAGCATGCTTTTTATTTCATCAAGTAAAAGAAGCAAAACTAACAATTTCACAGGTCTACTTGCCTGGGGTGCCGTTCTCCTTGGGGTGATCCCCCTCTTCGGAGGACTCTTCCTCGCACATCGATACTACGCCAGGAATTCGCTCAACCAACTGGGGGATCAAGAGTCCTCTGGATCTATGAACGGTATGACTGAGCGGAAACACCCTCCTATACCGGCTACCGACCTGCCCTGGTGGAATTGGCACCGATGGATCGGAGAGGACGAAGCAATTTCCCATTTCCCGCTTGGTGAGCGGAGTCTATACGGTCATAGGCGTGAACGGGAGCGGAACGAATAGTGGCTCCTCATTCTTTACTCTTTACTTTTTGTTTCATATTTGTATCTATGAAGTTAGGTGGTACTCAGCGCTGTACATACATACTACCATCGCACAGAACGCATATACCCATTGCTACATATATGGATTATATCTCGTATCCGCTACCCAAATAGGAAAACCTGCTTAGTTATTATTTTAATATTTCTGTACGGAGTATTGCATTCATATCGATCCCTAGCAAGCAGTAGCCTATTCCCTTTATTAGTTCCATACAGTCCCGAATACCCTTTTGATCACGCTGTGCTCAACATAAAAAGGCGGAATGAACTTCTCTACCATGCCATCCCACGAGGCTCTCCAGGGTATATTAAACAGGGCACGGTAGAGCTCCCAATACTCCGGCCAAAATCCCGCTAGGCCCCAGTCCAACAGAACAACAGTGCCATCAGCCCGAACAATGATATTCCCCGGATGTAAATCCCCGTGTGTAAATACGATCTTGTGGTTTTTGAGACCACGGACCGTCTGATACAGCATGTACTCGCCGTTGAAAAAGTGCGATTCGATATCATTTTCACGCTCGAGAACTTTCGGGCGCATTCGATCTCTCAAAGCTTGAACGATTCCTTCGTTAAAGCTTTCCTCAGATGGGTACGGTCCGTAGCTGTAGCTGGTGTAATCGCCGTAGCCGGCCTCGAAGATGCCGTCTCGACAGGACGATCTGTCAAGTGCACCGATGAAATCCCCTGGAATCTCCCGCATTTGGTTCACGTAGTCCCGTAACTGCTCCAGTACGCGATTTTGCTCTGGCTCCGAAACACGATCCCAGTACCGTTCGAGTGACTCGCCCCGTTCGTATGACATTACGATGTATCCAACATCGTCAAGGATATATGCACTGAGGAGCCTTGGTGTTGCTATGGTGGTACGGGTGGATGCCAAGTGCATGGCTTCGGCTTCGGCTAAACGAACACCATGGCCGAATTTCGCAACCGTCTCTGAATCTGCGAAAACAACGCGCGCGCCCATTTTGTCGGAACAAAGTTTGGTTGCTGTTTGCAAGTCGCCAGGGTCCAGTATGATAGACGGAGGCCCGATTATTTCCGAGTAAATCAAGCGAAGCTTTTGCTCCTCTGGTTCCAAGCCTTCAGGACAGGTGCCGCTATTTACAGTGGAAGCTGTAGTTTCCTTTTTATATCCGTCGTTTCTGTGTCAGTACCTGCTGCTGCACTGATCTCTGGCGTCTCGAGATCGGTGTTCCCTTGTGGATCCCTGGCAAGGCAGTCTCTGTGGAGATAATCGCATTCCGCAAACGATTCCCCAGTACCCCCATATCGAGGCGGAACTTTTGAGCCAAGGTATCGATTAAGGTCCTTTGGATTCTCTAACAGTACTGTATCTCTCAACATAGATTCATGGATATCAAGAGATGCGAGGTATTCGTCGCGAGGATTGATGATGTATGCCTTTCCCAGAATATTAGGGTAGTGATGCCGAATGAGTGTCACCAATTCCTGAAGGGCATTGCGGAGCTTTTTCTGGAAGGTCTGCGGTCCTTTCTTGGTATTTTGAGTAGCAGGTAGCTTGAATTCAACCACACAGGAAGCCGAATAGTCTTGTAGATCAGAACTGGCGGCTGCATCCATCAGAAGCATAGAGAGCCTTTCTATTACAGCAAGGCCCAAGTTCACTAATCCTTTAAAAGTACCTAGGCTTTGATGTATTGGCGAGGATCCCTTGATCGTCATCTCGTCAATGCTAACCCACAGCACAAATTGACCTTCATTTGAAGTAATATGGCAGATGTCTAAGTCTGGAAGGATTGACTCTGCTCCAGTAAATAGAGCCCTCGGGTCAGAGAAGCGTCGCCATTCCAAAGTTTTCTCGAGTGAGGCAATTGCCCTAGAGACTTGAATTGCGGGGATTGCGGAATGACTTTTGAGGAACTATTGATAATTTAGTGATGAATCCCGGTGTATCTGTGATCCAAGTACCTTTTCCAATATCACCTCCAGTGCCTGCCCCTCGGCATCCTTCAAACCAATACCCCAAATCTCGGTATGACGGGAGTTTTTCAAAATAAATCTGTTAATGGCATTGCCATTAAAGCTAAAATAGCAGCAAACATAGCTATAACACCTAATAATTTATTAGGTATAGATCTTAATATTGCATAGAAAGGTAATAAATATCATTCTGGTACAATAGCAGGTGGAGTTTGCATAGGATTAGCCACAACATAATTTTCACTATCTCTGGAAGGAAGAGCATCCCGAAAACGACTAGCCAGAGAACTTGATTTCTCCAATGAAACAGACATTGTCAAAAGACGTGCTAGAAAGAAGGACGAAATGCTGTCAGTTAAACTGGAATCCGAAAGTTAGCCAGCGATCCGTATCTCGAGGTTGTTCGGTGGTCTTATGGTCTCGATGCTTTGAGCCGCCCAGTGCCCGGTTGTTACCTAAGTATTTTAGGTAGATCCATTCATCCCTGGGGCCTATATAGATGTGGTTGGTTCATATCATACTAAATGGAAACTAGTGTATGAGGGTATCTATTTATATTTAGATTTCTCTGAACTGTGAGTGGTCTATTCGATATCCACGTAGTACCTCCATACGCGCCGAGGCACCCCGTGAGGCTTCTATCACCAAATCACCAATACATCGAAGTTCTCTAACTGTGGCCGATTGATTGCTTGCATGGATGTAGATCCTTTAGCCGCTATGGCTGTATCGTGTTCTAGTCGGCCTAAGTGCCACCATTCCCCGAGAGCCACTCGTTATCCGAAATTCGAGAGCTGTATGAGACACTATGTTTCTATTTTGATGGTTTTCAAGAGCTCCAGCGCTTGACTGACAGGCATTTTGACCAGCAGCTTGTTTCATGGACACAATATCGCTCCCCGGTATCTTCTCAGAATGCCATAAATAGTGCACAATTCCCCGTCAAGTATATCAATCATTGTCTTCAGCGACTGCTCTCATCTTCTTGTCTTGTTGTTTATCTCAAATCAACAGTATATACAAACTCTTTTCACATCCCTCAGCGAGTTTACCTTTGCTGGCACCATGCTACGTGATTCTCGTTATTCCTCGACGCACAGCCCCACCTCTAGCGGTGAAAATGGCTATGTGCTAAGCGTCAATCTTTCCGGACGGGGAGATGTCGGCCAGGGTGATCCGCTGGCCCACTGGGAAGTTATGCTCCACAAGCGAGGGGAGCCGGACGGTGATCTCTACTGTGTTCGCAAAGACGAAAACTTCTACTACGAACATCCGGTACAGAGACGTGTGGTCGAAACAGCTGCTACCTACGGTCGAAATGAAATCCAACACCTTTCGGATAGGAGCAAGGAGGCAGCGGTACGAGTCTTGAATGCGTATGGAAAAGACAAATCCAACCTTCCGCACAGGAATGCAAGCAGCCAGGAGTGGACCGTTGGTGCACTTGGTGCACTTGAACGAGAGAAGCTGGTGCCCCAGGGAACCAGAGACTATTGGAGCCGAAATATTGGACAGGCTTCTCCGGAGATTAGCGGTCGACTCCAGCAAGACGGCGGCTCTTGGGTTCCGTCAACCACTGTGTACCCTAAAGGGCGAGGACCTGCCGATGCGACATTTGGAAAGGAGCAAGTGCGACAGCCGGTTAATCGTTACAATTTGGACGAATTTGAGGGCCTCAGTAGCAGCAGGAAATCTAGGAGGTAACCGCCCTAGGGGGTTTCATCTTGGGATTTCATTGTGCTGTCGTTGTTATCGTTGTTGCTTGCTGCTGCGGCTTTTTGTCTTACAATTCCGGTCGGCCGTGAAATATTTTGATCGTTTGTTTTTGTTATTATCTTTCAAGTTGTTAAGAGTCCGATGTTCTGTCAGTATATATATACGTGGATCATATGGAACTCCATATATTTACAGCCTCAATTCATCCTCAGACTGGAACCTGACCCGCAGCTGCCTACGACCAAGCCCTGTAAAATTTCGGTGAATCTTGAACCATATGGGCGGGAGGATGACAAGAATAGGCAACAGTGATGAATGGAATGCTCTAAGATATCAGATCTCTATTGGATGGTATGATTTTCGTAAAGCGCCAGAGCCTCCCTGTAGCAGGCGGACGGACCTTCTCTCTACCCCACCGCCTTTGCTTTCCTCTGGCAAAAACAAATCGGCGCTACTATAATAATAACCGTATGACCACTAGCAACCTAGATATGTAGTCACTTTACTCTACTAGCGCTAACTATGGGATCCGCTCACGGCATTTCAATAAACATCTGCGGCCGCGGCGACGCCAAACTTGGCGATGGCCCCTCCCACATGGGAATCGCCATCTACAAACATGGCTCCTCAACCTGCGAAATGCACCATATACGCAACCCTACAGACGAAGACTTCGTCTACGATCCGCGGCCACAGCCGCTCGAAGACCCGGTTCTTAAAGGTCGTTGCGAGCTTGCTTCTCTCTCCTCTGAGCAGAGTGAACAAGCTGCTAGCCTGCTCTCCGCCTTTGGGAACGATGAATCTCACATCCCCGAGTTCGGGGTTGGAAATTGTCAAGACTGGGTTGCCGGTGCTGCTGGAATGCTTGAGAACGCTGGTGTTGTTTCTTCTGGAGAAGGGTCATTTTGGAAGAATATGATTAACAGAAGTTCGGAGGAAATGAAGAATGAGTGTCTCCGGATGGGGAAGACATGGATAGATGGCCCGGAGTCGACATATGAAGGGGAGCCTGATGCAAAGTTTGTGGACAGAGAACGGGATACAGTGAAGCCTGTTGGGAAGTTGGCTCAGAATGATCTCTTTCGAACGCGAATGCAGTCGCTTTTGGGCTCCAAGGGGGATGGAGAGAGTGATATTGACAAAACGCCTGTTGAACGGCCGTTTTATGTGTCGAGTCCTTTCTTTAGTAAGATGGCCGAGTGAAATGATTGAATGCATTGTTAAAGCATTGTATTACCGTCACTTCAAACAGTATACGGAGCTATAGAAGCTATACCGATGGTAGGACGGAGTCACCAAGTCACAAGTGGCGTGACATACTTCTTGGCCACGATGCCGAGCCTGCCCCTCCGGTTAGAACCGAGGTGAATGATGCTGCTTTAATTTCATAGGTGTTCCCATCTGAGAGAAATTACGATGCACGGTACACGTGCCTCTGGAGTGAGGCGGAGCTGTTTGATACTTTTGCGCTGAGCGTTCATCCATTGTATTGCTTTGTAGATGAATAATTACGGACATCAGGTTTTTATATCAGGTTTGGGTAGTACATATATGTACGGATATAACATACAATACAGATACATACATGTATACACCCGTTGATGTTTACATACATGGCTTGCGTATGTAAATTACAAGTGCGTCTATGTTGATCAAAGTATCCAAAAGGCTAATTATGTACTGTGTCCACTTCGGAAGTTTTATCACCTTGATCATGCAACTTGTTATCAAGTCCTAGCATCGCCTTGTAGGGTTGAGTATGCTAGCCTTACAATATGTGGCAGGACTATCTTCTACTACGTGATGTGTATTGTATCGGCTTTTTGTCGGTGACGTGGAATGTGGCTGAAACGCTTGAACTGTCGGCGCTAAGTTGCCACAGGTGGCTCTAGGAAGTGGATACTCTTTTGTATCACATTTAACACATTTAACGTTTAGACTTAAATCGGATTATAACAATTACCTAGGTACCAAGGTAGGTATGATTAATACATACGCTTCGTACGTACCTAAGTATATCTATATGGATCTGATAAAATTGGAACTGTAACAAACATACTTTACTGAGTAAATGAAGTCGAAATTACTTCTCCACCACGGTTCCTACATTATATGCCAAGATTTCCGTTGCTTAAGCGTATGCATTGAATTGGCGTCATGACCTAAGGGAGGGGGGCTCGGCAGGGAGGTGTGGGGCGGTCGTCGCAAGCCAGGTGTCGTTGTCGATCTATGTATCAAAGATAGTACTATGTACGGAGTATTATATGGGGATGTTGACCTATTTCAGGGGATTTGATTTTAAGTAAATGAATTCAGTGTTGTATATTATCAGTATATTATCAGTATAGTGTTATATTTAAAAGTGATATTGGTTATCAAAGTAATAATATGTAATAATCCACTGCATTCCCCGGGCTCTGGTGGATCTCAAATCAAAGTACCGAGAAAAAAGGACGGCATCGCCAAAATCCCCTGGAGACGGTAACAAAGTACTCCGTACAAAACAGGAGAAATTGAAAGTCAAATCAAAAATACAAAAATACAAAAATAACTACTCTGTAACTCTTTCTCTTCTTTCTACGGAGTATATATATTCTCAAGGCCAATAATACTAATTACCCGAACTACGAAAAATACCTGAAACCAAAGGGGTTCTACCACTCCTTTAGATCCTTACGACACCTCGGGTTTACACTAGTACATTCCTCAATGCCTGCCAGGACTGGAAACCATAAAACGAATAATGCCCGCCACGCGCGTACGACGTCCTGGTCGAGTGGCTTCCATTTCACCCAAGGCACCGAATCATCCGAACACGCCCAAGGTCGCCGCCGACGCGAGTCCAATACCTCCCTCGCCGGTCTTGAAGAACGCTCCTCCTCCCCCGACTCGCTCGCCATCGATGATAATATGTTAAGGAATACCTCGATGGATCTAGGTGGTGATCGCAAAACACAACATGTGCGCGGCCGCTCCATTAGCCACGGCCTGCCACAAGTACCCGCCCTACAGGAAAATGAACTCCCCCGACTATGCGGGCGCCGGCTCGCCCCGCGCTCGTAACCTGGATGTCGCTGCCGCGGAAGGGTCAATTGGCACTGCTGGGCCTCTGTCGTGTCTTTGATTTCCTGCAGATCGCTTCGCTACAGGCGTACATGTTTTATCAGCTCAAGTCTTTCGACCCGAACCTCTCCGACTCAGATGTTGCGACCCAGGCGGGAATTCTCCAGGGTGCTTTTACCGCCGCTCAGTTTGCGACGGCGATCCCCTGGGGCCGTGTTGCCGATGCTGAGTGGGGTGGTCGGAAGTTCGTTCTACTTGTTGGTTTGATTGGTACTGCGGTGTCTTGTCTAGGTGTCGCTTATTCGACGTCATTCGCGCAGGTCGTGTTTTGGCGCTCGTTTGGTGGAGGCATTAACGGCACTGTTGGTATTATTCGAACTATGATTGCGGAGAATGTTAAAGAGAAGAGATATCACTCGCGCGCTTTCTTGATTTTGCCTATTGGCTTCAACATAGCTTCGTTGTTTGGTCCTGGTGAGTACCTTGTTCTGTAATGTCCGCGACTATGCGAAAATTGACTAACCAGTTTCACAGTGATGGGTGGCATGTTGGCTGATCCCGTTAAGAGCTATCCCCGTCTCTTTGGTCCCAATTCCTCCTTCGGGGGTGCGAACGGAGTGCAATGGCTTGAGACGTACCCCTATGCGCTGCCAATGTTCGCGAACTTCTGTTTCCTCTCTTCAACAGCAGTTTTGGTTGGGTATGGATTAGAGGAGACCTTGGCATCTTGCAAGGGCAAGCCTGGCCTGGGCACATTCGCTAAGAAGCTCCTTGCGCGCGCCATGAAGACCGCAGTCCCCTCTTCGTCGTCATTGTACACAAGGCTCCCGCTCCATGACTACGAAGAGGATGGGTCTTTGCTGGGCCAGCCCATGGACCGCTCGGAGAGCTACGAGCTCGAAGAAAAGGCGCACAAACCTGTCCGCGTCCAACGTGTGTTGCCTTTCCGAAGAATGTGGACTAAGAACGTGTTGTGCACACTCGGCGCACAGGCTTTCTTCGACTTCCAAATGGGTGCCTTCAACAACCTCTGGCTACTCTTCCTGTCTACTCCTCGCTATGACGCCAATGACCCCGCGAGTCCCGCCCAGAGCTTACCATTCGCCTTCACCGGCGGACTGGGCATGCTCCCGCAGAGCGTTGGTTTCGCGACTGCAATTTTGGGTGTGATTGGTATGATCCTTCAATTCACTGTCTACCCTACAATCAACGGCCACCTAGGTACAGCCAAGAGCTACCAGTATTTCCTCTCTCTTTTCCCCATCGCATACTTCATTGCACCCTATATCTCGCTGGCTCCATCTACAATTCCCCCTCCTGGCCAAGCCAACGGCCCTTGGGTCTGGTTTTGGATCATCATCGTCCTCTTCTTCCAGGTCACTGCCCGAACTTTCACTCTTCCCACCTCTATTATTCTGCTGAACAACTGCTCACCGCACCCATCGGTCCTCGGCACTATCCATGGAGTTGGCCAGTCCGTCTCGTCGGCCTTCCGTACCATTGGACCTATCTTTTCAGGTGCATGGTACGGATATGGCTTGGACGTTGGCATGATCGGCTTCGCCTGGTGGATGATTGCATTGGTATCCGTGTTTGGCTGCCTTGCAGCTATCTTCGTATATGAAGGTTCTGGACATGAGATTCTCCTTCCTGGAGAACAAGAAGAGATCTGACGTGATGCGATATGAGCGTATCTTTTTTGAAGAGTTGAGCTGTACATTGCTTCAACATTTTGCATATCATAAGGTGTCGGTTGGTTGGGGTTCTTTTTCATACATATTCCCATTTCTGTTTTCTTTTTTTTTTCGGATACCATCTGCTTTGCGTCTTTCGCTATATCACAGCATTCCCATTTTGTTTTCCTATGTATGTTAGAATAGAAGAATCCAGATACTCCGCCCGGGTCACTTAGATCAAATTGAATAAAGTCAATATACTATATACCATCTTTCCCAACTTGATCGTTCCAACAACTTTGATGTATTATAGCAATGGAATCAGTTCATTTAAAAAAGCTTATCATGTATTTTAATCTTGAAATCATATCTCTTCACAGAATTTCAGCTCTCACAAGCTAGCCCCATATCCCTTGACATAGCTCGCATCAAAAGTCTCCTTATTGACCGCATATTCGCGAATATAGTCCCTCTCAAGATCATGCGTCCTCCGACCAAGAAGAACAAGACTGTGCAACGGCGCGCCCATCTCAACAGTAGCCAATTCCTTAAGCGTACCAGAAACAAGCTGCTGATTAGCGGCGCCAACGCGCGCCGCACCAACGGCCAAACTATCCGGCCCATAGACACCCTCCTGGCGCTCCTCCTCAGTCTCCAGCATCTGTGCCGCACACTGCGCAACAGTCATGTAACGCGGGGGCTCGAAAATGCGACGTCCGCGCGCCATGTTCTCCAGCGACTGCTCCTTGACCTTAATATCGAGCAGTACTAGTGTGTGTAGGCCGGTCTGAACGTTCTCGCGCACACGGTCGTAGTACGAAGACGGCTTCCAGGTCTCAGTGAAGAAAACCATGCTCACTGTTTGTCCAAAGTTGTACAGCTGCAGTCCGGTGCAGCCGATTCCGGACATGATGGAGGCGTTAGGGACGACTTTGGTCTCGATGCCAAGTTCGCGCGCGCGGAGGACGAGGTCGGTATGCGTTGTTGCGCTGTTGGTCGTATGGTGTTAGCTATGGATCTTGTAGCGGAAATGGATGAAGATCGTACCCGAATGGATCTCCCACCACTAGGAATACAATATCGGCTTTGTCGCCGCCGGCGAGGATGTCATCGCTGCCGGTCTCGACTAGTTCACGGTCTGCCTCAATGACGGGGCGGCCATAGAACGCTTCCTACTGGTAGTATGTTCAATCAGTCCATCTGCGCAAAATATATACAATGTTCCATTGGGTATGTGATTGAAAATAAAAGCTTTGAACCTAACTCACCAGTTTTTCCTTATCGACAAGAAGAATACTCGTGTATGCCTCTAGATAGACTCTCTCGGCCCGCTTCACGATCTCCAGACCGCGGACGGTGATATCCGTCTCATCCGCGAGACCGAGTCCAATTAGGTGGAGCATATTGGCTGTAGGGACTCAGATTATGCAATTGAGTAGAATACAATGAATCTCACCGTCCAACAAACAGTTCGAAAAAAAGAACTACGTGCCCCGCGATACCGGCAGAACACTCCGTCACCGCCGGATTCAAGAATGTCCGGTTATCGCTTATCTCCCCCAGGTCGGCCTGTGAACGTCCAGAGCTTCATCCTCCTTGCGCCATCTTCTCTCACTTTGCCTCGAATCAATTCAACAACACTCACTCCTACTGGTTGAACACCGGTGTAGATATTATCTCGATCGTCAAAAGAAATTTCCCCTGGTAGGGTTACCGCCGTCCATCATGAGCTCCGATCGGAATCCGAAGTATCGGCAGGAGATACAACAGGTGAGTCTCTCCCCGATCTTTGGTTCATTTTGCTTGGGGTTTGGGGTCTCTTGATCTTTCTGGCTCTTGAAAACTTCAATTTTATCGTCCGATCAGGCCTCAAAGGTTCTCTGAACATATTGCGACTGTCGGCGGGCTTCGCGACACAACATAATGCGCGGCGCAAACATATTATCTCGGTGGATAGGACCACAGCCCCCTCCACTTCCCTCGTTCCATTGGAGGAAGTCACACCCCGAAGTTTGAAGTAGCTTTTCGGGCTATGAAACATCCACGGACGGTCCGGCTGGGCTTGCGACATATAACTTGCTTTCGGATGTACTCATTTGCTCGAACAACGCCATATCATCCTTGTCATATTCCATTTTTCATAACGAATGTCGATATTGCGCACAAACAACTCTGCATTCTTTGGTTGTTGGGATGCACACATTTTGACGTCGAGCAAAAAACGGCAATACTTGAAACGCCTGGATTCCCTCTGCAACTGGTCCTACCAATGTCGAATCTTTGGCATTGGATCAATGAGAGACACTGTTTTGAAGATCGAAGGATGATGTTGAAGTTCCTAGAGTTAGGAGCAATTGGCAACACGGTCGCCCTTTCTCTTCTATGATATTTGCGGGGGATCAGGAGTGAACTTATTATCGATATCGACTTTGTGAGAGCTGCTACTTAGCCTATCGGTTTGCCGAGATGTTAGGATATCTCACTTGTGTCACTTGTTCTTCACCTTCGCCTCTTCTTGGCATCTGTCAGCCTTCGAAAATCCTTGCTTTACCTTTCGGTCGTCTTGTCTTGTCAATGCCCTTGTCAACCCCATCTACAAACGCTCCCACGCACCCTTCAACAGTCGGTCCACCCGCTGTATCGAACACTTTATCGGTGTCATCATTCATCAATCATGTCCTTTCCTAACGTGAACGCGACATCAATCGTTGAGCTGTGGATGCAGCCTAGGGGTGAATTTGCATGAAGTCAGGAAGAATCTATGATAATGGATCCTGGTTGGACCTTGACTGATCCCCATATGCCATTGTGTGGTTGTACCATTACCTCTCCTGTGGATGCTCCTTGTGTAGTTTCAGACTCGGGCATGGATTCACCTGAGGATATTTCCGTTCATTCTGTTGAAGGCGTCTCTGTTGTAAATCATGATGGTCTGTCGGTCGACCCCGAGTCAGACTTCTTCATCATGGGACAGTACTTTCACGAGCATTACACGCATATCTTCAACTCATTCACTTTCCAGATGGACAGTGCCACAATCAACTCTCAAACCAATGCCAAGAGCCAGAAAGATCATGAGATGGAGAAAGAAGACATATTTGGAGGCTCCTTTACTAACGACATTGTTAAGATGATGTTCGTCTCCGGAGAGACAGCAGAGCCGTCCCCTGAGACTACCACTTTGATTGAAGAGATCACCCGGCAACAAGTGCTCGAAATTGTGGGTACTAGAAATTCTGCCTTGAAAGCTCTCATTACTGACGATCAAATAGCTGACCCGCAGTACCGCATTGGCAACTCGCCGTGGAGTTCGCTCGATCTCTACCGACGACCTAATTTTCCTGATTCGACACGATAAGGCTAAGGTCTCCCGTCTGCGAACCTTCCTGTCCTGGAAGGATGTCCGCAAGAACGTCAAAGATTCCGACGACAAGGGTGGCGGCGACGCCGCCGACTTTGCTGCCGCTGATGATGCAGCTGGTGTTGTTGCAGGTCCTGCAGACGTGGCCCCCAAGCCCAAGAACAAGCGTGCCAAGGTCGGGCTTGCGTGGGATGTCAACAGTTTCTACTCAGTTCAGGTCCCCGAGCGTGAAGATGAAGAAGACGAAGAAGAAGAGGAGCAGAACTACGCGACCCTCCAGCGTCTTGCCGCCGCCGATGAACGTACCCGCCACATGACACGGGAGGAGTATGTATTCTGGTCCGAGTGTCGCCAGGCTTCCTTCACCTACCGCAAGAGCAAGCGATTCCGCGAGTGGGCAGGCTTCGGCATCGTGACTGAATCCAAGCCAAACGATGATATCGTTGACATCCTCGGATTCCTTACCTTCGAGATCGTCCAGACACTGACTGAGGAGGCACTCAAAGTCAAGGAGCGTGAAGACAACGAGAAGCACCGTCGCGGAGGCGCCGAAGCCGGTGAGAACATGAAGAAGCGGAAGCGCGAGACCGGCCTGTTCGACCCACCCGAGGAGGGACGCACTCCCATTGAGCCACGACACGTTCGTGAGGCCTATCGCAAGCTGCAGGCTACTCCCCAAAAGGCCAAAGCTATGCTATTGCACAATGGCCGTATTCCTTACCGTTTCCCTCTTGCTTTGGTGAGTTTATATACACTTTCACTGTATGTTCTTATGCTAACAATGCCTCCAGATTTAACTGTTCGCTGACTTCGGCGTCAATTCTAAATTGACGCTCCTTCATGAATTACGCGCATGGCAGCGGGAGTTTGCGGACGATACCCAATTTTATCTTGTTTCATTTGTGCTGGTGACGGAACGAAGCTCCTTTAGGTGTTGTTTCTTGAATTTACTTTTTTTTTAACTTAATGTCTGAATAGTTCAACATTGTACCCCTGCTTGTACATTCCTGTACACTGTGTCTTTAGCCTAATCATTTGTCCGATAATTTCCCCGTAAATTGTAATTGTAAATAATGCAGTAAAAAGGAAGCTGTGCCGAACTGAAAGAGAGTGGTCGACTATAGGAAATAGCCAGGTGATAGAGGTATTCTGAGACTATATCTGAATCACGCTCATTGACTTTGAAGTTTAGACCAGCTCACACTCAATCACATTTTCTACCCCCTTTCCACCGTCCCACACTTTGACAACCTTCAAACCCGCCCTCCTTTCAATCAAGTCATACCATGCTGTGCTAGTCCGCTGTTCCGCAGAGAATAGGGTTAACATAATCATATCGAGTCCTGTAGTCTCCCAATGGGCACCGATGTTCGGCATAACGTTCTCGTTGAGCAATAGTCTGCTGTATCCAGTCTTCATAGCCTCTTTCACTCGTGTAAGTATTATTTCACACACATCGTCTGACCAGTTATGTAGAGTTGAGTGTATATAATAGGCACGGGCACCTGGGGATAGTATAAGTAACACCATTCGAAATTGATATAGACAGAGTTGGAACGGGAAAGAGCTCTGCACTCGTACCTTTGACGGGCTGTTCATCATGGAAGTCATAACCCATTCGGATGATAGCCGAATCTAGATCCTTGATCTGGTCAATCATCATAGGCAAATCTTGAAGGATCAATTTTCCGGGGACGTTCGGATAGCGACTCTGGAATCTCTTCAAGTCATGGCCCACGTTGCCGCCTATGTCCACCAGAAATGGTGCACCTGGGCTAGAATCGGCACCGTCAATAAGCCTCTCCTGCACAGGGTAGACACTGGGGTCCATCCAGTGTGGGCGACCCAGGTTGTAACCACCAAGGTAATCATTCAGGTGATCTCCGTAGCCCAAATCCCGCACCCAGGGAAATATGTTCTTGCCGGTACCATAGGCATACATTAGGGATGTGTCCCAGGGATCTGTCGGATTCATCCAACCACGCTTACGGGAAAATTCGTGGAATTTCAAAGTTCCTGCACCAGTGGACGCGGTACTAATTGAGTAACAAGAAGTATCAGCTGCGCTGTTACTTTATGGGGTTTCACTGACGGTCGAATGAGTACTCACAGGCTGAGATACCCATGTCCAATCTGAGGAAGGCTCAGCGCCTTGGTATAGTTTGTAGGCTGGTACTCATCTTCCCCAACTTCAATGAGGAGTGCCATAGCACTGATATGTCGCATCAACCGACCTGGAATGCAGTTAGCTGGCACTGCGGGGCGGGTTATGTGAAGCCTACTGAGAAGTTTTCGGGGCTAAGAACGTGAAGCGAAAAGACCGTTGAGGAGGGAGCATATTAGTGTTCAAATTCATTTGTCTTCATTTCCGCTCAAAGCGTTATATACGTCCTAAAGAAATAACTATGTTCCCGTTTCGAGTTTCCTTTTAGAGTAGGCTTATTCGTGATGCGTCCGGCGCCCTAAAGAGATTAGTTAGAGTTTCTGTTGCACATATTCAAAAGATCCAAAGGAAGATAAAAAAGAAAAGAAAACATACACTCAGCCAATTCCTTCAAACTCAGCTCCCGAATGCCATTGACATGAGGAACGTTGCCCTGTACAGCACCCTTAACAGTTTCATAGGCACGGCCAATCATGCTCTTGTGCGCAACAACATGTGTGGCCAACTTGGCCTGGAGCTTAATAAGACCAATGCGGGGGTCTGATGGTCCACCATCGTGCACGCCATCGCCCATATCACCAAGCCATGCCTTGAGTGCAGGCGAGTAGTACTTCTTCACGATGGCGGTATCACCGATCACTGATGCAGTGCCTGAGATGGAGGCCCAGGCTCCGCTGCTGAGGTCCAGGAAGGACATATTTGTTTCTTTGGGGTGCACGGTGAGATCCATTGTTTTGCCGGAGAAGAGGTTTGTGTGGAAGATGAGGTCAACGCCGCCGTTTTCCTATTTGAGGGGATTTATTAGCATGTTCTTTTCGTTTATTGTGGCTCTACTCATACCGTCGCGGCTAATGCCATGCATCTTGAGGCCAGAAAGTCGCCCTCTGACTGCTTGGTTGTCAACATGCCAAATTTAACTATGTTGATAAATTCAACCAGCTCTTCGATCTTCTGAGGGAGAGGCGGGTCTTCGAAGTTCTGGGTCTTGTAGGGATCCACGGGGTGACTGCCCGTCTTGGTGTTGATAGTGGCATCTGTAGTAGACATTTTTGTTTGATGTTTAAGTAATGAAAGGATATAATAAAGTAAAGAGTCTGAGAGAGCTGGAAGAAGGAGAAGAAGCTATATAAAAAAAGCTTTATAGGAACTATGTATACACCGGTTGTCAATGTGACGTCACCGATAAGATCAGGATTAGGGCTAAAAATTGGGGTCAAGTTCCAAGTTCAACTGCATCACAGCATCCCAGAAAGCCCAGAAAGCTTGGAATCGGTGTAGATCAGGTCGCTGCAGGCCTAACTCTCTGAGAATGTGTCTCGGCATGGATGCATATCCGTCAGAGTCCATTTGGATTCCCCGCATCGAATATTCTGCCAACCTCCATTACATCATGTCTATGCAAATGTCTCTTGAAAACGCTGTTATATACAGGTTAATATGAGTAATCTTTTGTGAGCGTGATTGCCAGATCGAATTCTGAGTCATTTTCATGGCGACGACGTCCTAGTCGATCGTACAGGGAGAAATATGTCGGCATTTGTCGATTGGCTTCCGAGCTCAGCCAACCTGGCATAAGACATGGCTGAAAGTTCAAATTATAGCTTAATCAATAGTTGTATAATGTCCTCTCAATCTACTATAAAAGTACCATGTTCTGGCGAGTTCGTTCAATCAGCAGGGTCTTCAAACCACATGCAAGCCAAATGAGATAATGTCTCACCTCTGGGGGCAATGCCACAACAAGTGCAGCAGAACAGCCATAATGCCAATCACAAGGGCTATGCGACACGATATTAGCCAATCTCTCCACTAAATGTGAAGAAGGTAGAACCAAAGAGTGAACAAACCTTCATGTCCCCAGCTCTCCATCACCTTAATAGCTCTCCTTTTCCCCTGTGTCCTCATTCTAAACCAACCGGGCATTAAATCCGTTCGGCATGTCTGGCCGTTAACAAGCAGACAGCCACCCTTAACCCGCCGACATTCCAGATGCCACCGACGACGCTCCATAATGCCGCAGACTTGCCCATTACAAAATGACTCGTCCGTACTGAACGAGCACTTCTCCATAGGGCATTCGAGTTTCTGCTCAAAACGGTCGATGAGCCAGTCAACCTTCAGGCGCACTCCTGTGAAGACTATTGAGTAGAAGTGACGGTTGCTGTGTTTTAAAGCAAGGGCATCTGGGTACGAAAGGTAGGTGCTTATTTGGATGTGGAGTTCCGAGGGGAGGGTCATTAGATTGGCGCTGGTGGATAGAGAACGGGAGGGGAACTGAAATGACTCCATGTTTTTAGACTTGATTTCAGGGGCTGTTTCTTGTGGCTCAATTGTGTACATTTGACGTGAGGGTGGTGTTCATCTTATACGAGCAGGTCGAAAACTGTTGCCTGAAATCGCAGCCACCAACGCTAATTTCTAGTTGGAGTTATTTAACCCAATGCAATGATCAACTGTTGGAATAATCCAAAACAGCTGCCTATTTTCAGCGTCGTAAAAGACATGTATACATAATTGAAGGCGTGGGTTGGGTTGTGACCATGTGGGAAGGATGAAATCAGTACCGCTTACATAATCTTCGATATCGGCCTCAACCCGACCTTGACCTGGCAAGCTCCAACTTTTAAAGATCGCCACTCACCAACCTCCCACTACATCTCCCCAAAACAAAACCTCAATATCCACCACCAATATGTCAAATCCAAACGCCTACGGCACCCCGGTGTCGGACACGGCCTTCCGTAAAACTTGGGACCGCGAAGAATATGCCAAAAAAAGCGGCCGACGCCGAAACGAAACGCAAAGCCGAAGGCAAAGCCCGATACGAAGCGAAACTACTGGGCAAGAAATACCATGCGCCAGTCGACTACAGCATGCTCGAGGATACCACAGCCCGCAACCAGCGCCTGGACGTCGCGTCCATGGTGGGCAAGACCGTGATTGTACCCGCAGGCTCGGGAATGGGCAAACGCGGCCGTGGTGCCGGATTTTACTGCAAGGACTGTGATCTTACCTACAAGGATAACTTGCAACTTGTGGAGCACTTGAACAGCAAGCAGCATTTGATTGCGACGGGACAGAGTGGCGAGGTGAAAAGGGCGAATGTTGAGGACGTGCGCTTGCGGTTGAGGATGCTTTCGCATCGGAAGCGACAGAGGGACGAGGAAGAGCGCAAGGCTTGGCAGCTTGATCTGGGGGTGCGGCTTAAGGAACGGGAGGAGATTGATGCTAAGGAGAGGGAGGGAAAAGAGGCGCAAGCGCAATGAGAAGAGGAAGAAGAACAAGGTTAAGGACGAGGATGATAGCTGGGAGGGCCGGTTGGGAATCATTTCTTGAGTTCTGTTCTCGGGGTGCGCGTCCTATTATTGATACCCATGGTGTTTTGGCATATTTTCCAGGCTTTTTCCTATGATCATGTTCTCTTCATGTGCAAAAATAGCACTTCCAAATTTCAAATTGAGAGCTTAAAAATCTAACAAGGGTTCTCCAACACCTAGAATAACGCCTAACATGCAAATCATATCATCCGAAAACATAGTGACTGTTGATTCAGTCGGTGCACTCGATGCCTTCGAGTCGCTGCATTGCTCGGCCACCTTCCTTCTCGAATTGACCAACAAGTCGCTCGCATTCTCTCTTCAGCCGTTCTTCGCCATTCTTTGCGTTCCACGCAATCCATTCTTGGACTGTCATCTTCTTCTCCGGGCTGGTCAAGCCAGCTTTCACGCCGTTGAAAAGTCCAGATAAATCTGCATTTTCCTTGTCGCTAGCCTCTCCGAACAGCACTTCATCAATATCCACCGGTGTCCATGGCTGGCCGGAAGGTCCAAATCCACCATTGGCGTTGCGCTTGGACGGTGATGGGGTGCTAACTGCCAGAGAGGCTCGGAACTCGGGATGCTTCGGTGTTGATTGAACAGGTGGACGGGATGCTGAGGGCCGCGACGATGGAGGCCGGTTTTCGGCATCTGATGACTGAGGTGATAGCGAGGGAGTGTTTTGGTGAGCGGGCGGAAGTGGTGAAACTGCCCGATTAGAGCGTTTTGAATCCCGCCGAGAGTCATCCACTTCGTGGGCGGAGGTCTGGCTTTGGACTAGGGTCTCTGCATGGTGCTCTTCGTGTGGAATATCGCTATACCGTTTGGCGGTCTTTGGCGGTAGACTAGGTGTCTTCCGATGAGATTGTGGCTCGGGAGACGTTTCTTGTGGAGGGGGAGAAGGCTCCTGGGGTGGGTTGATCATCTCAAGTTGGTCAGGTAAATCATCTGCAGTCTCGAATTCATCATCATGTTCCTCAGCCAACGGCTCAACGCGATATTCTTCGACTGTGGGTTCAAGAACTGGAGCTGGCTCTGCCTTTTTCTCGGATTTCTTAGGCTTTTTCTCTTTGGTTGATGTAGCATGCTTCTTCTTAGAACCCTTCTTTGATTCAGCCTTGTCCATCGGTCCTTCAGGCTCTGGTGCATCCTCCGGCTCCTTGTTGACAATCTCGACAGAGATGAAGGAGTCGTGACACTCGGAATCATTCCGAGCATGGGGAGCCCCAGGTTCTGAAGATTCTCGCGGCTCTGGCGCCTGTGCTTTTATCGTCTCTTCGGTCTTAGTCTTCTTTGTCCCCTTTTTCTTGGATGCTTTTGCCACCTTGGTCTTTGGGGCTGACAGTTCAGGTGCCTCCGGTTCATCATCAACCGGTTGCACATGAGAATCTGAACGGTTCTCATGATCACTAATTTCCTCTACTTGATCATGTATGGTCGGCTTGGGGGGTTAGCCACAACCTTGGACTTTTTGCTCGATTTTGTCTTCTTCGATGCCCGTGGCTCTGCTGGCTCGACCTCGACCTCAGGCTCGGGTGGCGCAGGTTCAGGGATATCTGCTTCGAGGCCTGCTTCAATTTCTGCTTCGATCTCCGAGTCACGAGGGGCTCGCGCCTTTGGTGGGGCTTTTAATGCAACAGGCACATCGGAGACCTTGCGGGCCTTGGATGTTCCCTTTTTCGTGGGTTTGCGACCTCTGCTAGTTTCTTCTTCCGAAGCAGCGTCATTCACTGGCTCTGCATCGGCCATGGCAGAGTCACTATGTTCGTAATTGTAGTTGCGAGCGATGCTGCTGCTGCGTGTTCTTGTAGCGCGTCTCTTCGCCGGGGGTTCTGCTGGCGGCCGCGATTGGTCTCTTTCCTGGGTGGCAATTGGGTTTGGTTCATCCTTGATATCCTCACTGGGCCTCTTCTTTCCTCTGCCTGCACGTTTGGGTTTGATAGGCTCTGGTTGGGCAAATTCTTCAACGTTGGCTTCAACTTGGCTTTCCACCTCCGCTGATTCTTCCTTCTTAGTCTTGGTCCCCTTTGATTTGCTCTTGGGTGCCTTCTTTGTAGATTTGGATTTTGTTGTAGCTTGGGACATGATGCTATGGTCCATGGAGTCATCCATTTCCATACCAGGCGTTTCGGATGTAACTGGATCAACAGATTGAGTTGAAAGACGGGAGGAAGTTTTGGAAACCCGAGGTTTCTTGGCACGAGTGGTTTTGCTCTTCTTTCCTGGTGGCTGGGCGAAGACAAAGAATGAACAATCAGAGGACCGGCGATAGTGTTCGTCACTGGGGGAAGTTAGCAACCGCCTAACTAGGAAGGAGCGATGAATACTCACAATGGGTCATCCTTAGGTTCCCAGCCATCCAAAGACAACTTGCAATAGACACAGCTGGCCAGGTCATTACTGTCGTCTGTAGGGCAGAAATACCAACCGCCTTCGACCATCTATCGTCATTGTAAGCTAAAATAAGATGAATACGGCCAGGTCGCTCGTTACCTTCTCTGACTGGCATATCCAGCCCTTTTTCCCGTCATGAGGCCATGCCGTACCAAATGTTGACAGTCTCGCTTGTGTAATCCTGTCGCCCGTAGGGTCTTCAATGGAGGCGGGGTTGGAGCTGCTCTGTTGGAGGTCCATCATAATGGCCCATCCGCAGTCGGGAGCATGTTTGAGATGCTCTGTGACGGGGTTGTCGTCCTCCTCCCAGCCATCCAGCGCCCGGTGGCACTCGAAACATGTTGTGTTGTCGGGATTTGTCTCGTATGGTTTGTAGTAGAATCCGGCGTGTGCTAACTGTAATCACGTTCAGTCAATCACTTTGAAATAAGCGCGTGTAACCTCTGTATAAAACAACATACCTCAGCCGGTGAAGGTCGCTGGTGCGGCCATGTAATCGCTTTGGGTGTTTTTGTGCCGGAAGATCTGCGTTTCTCCGGCTTCAGCACTATATCAAAGCTGGCTAAGCGGGCCGCAAAGGTATCCATTTCAGAGCCCATGGCGAGGTATCAGGGCAATTAGAGACAGTCGGTACTAATTCCCGACATGTAAAGGAACCTTTTGTGGAGAGAGTAGGCGAGTATTGTCGAAAGTGTCGTTGTTGTTGATCCTCCGCGTCTGTTTACTTTTGGTTGCTATGCACCTCAACACGCGCCCACGTGACCATTACTCAGCACCCGATTTAGAAGCGGAGGAGGACGGGGAGTACGTCAGAGCCGGAAATGTTGACGGAGCACCCAAATTCATTTCACTTCAATTCACTCATTTGCTTTCTATGCGGGCTCTTTGACTTGACTTAATCACTGCGCTACGCGCCCCGATTCCTTTTGTCCCAACCCCAATCATGCCGGGAGTAACAGTATGTCAGAACCCCCACTGTACCCGATGATCTCGCTACAACTTCTCTACTAGATGGTTGCTTCTCGAGGAGCTAACCCCAGCTCGCTCTGGCGCTCTCGCACCCTTCTCTCGCCCCCGCGTATTGTTCCTTCTTCATCTCGTTTACTGTCGTTCAATTGTCGTTCGATTATTTCCTACAATGGCCGACCCTCGGCAAATAATAGCGCTTCGACGTCGCGTCTGCTATGCAAGGTGATCACCAACAAGTCATCCTCCTCATTCTCGACATCTTCATCCTCGCTGTTACCCGACAACTGGGACGACAATCCGGACTTGTCAATTACGAATTTCTCGGAACTTCCCTCTAAGGACTTCGGGGTTAACCAGCACATGATTATAAACCAAGATTTCAAGGAGGCATTGCGAATGATCCTTTGGCAGTTCAAAGCACCAATTCGATACGCAGTTGCCTATGGATCGGGTGTGTTTCCCCAGAATGGCAGCGGAGCTCCGTCCAGCTCATTACACCCCTCGGCACCCACAGCCATCCAAAATATGCAAAAGGGCTCCGGCAAGATGATTGACTTCATTTTTGGAGTGTCATACTCCCAGCATTGGCATGATATCAATCTACACCAACATCGTGATCATTATTCTGGATTGGGTTCGCTGGGGTCGTACACGGTCTCACAAGTACAGGACCGCTTCGGCGCGGGTGTCTACTTCCATCCTTATATCACCGTGAACGGGACAATGATCAAATATGGTGTGGTGAACCTGGATACGTTATGCCAGGACCTCACCCAGTGGGACACCATGTATCTCGCAGGTCGTTTGCAGAAGCCCGTCAAGATCTTGCGGGACCACCCGAAGGTGCGATTGGCGAACCAGATGAACTTGTTGTCTGCTTTGCGAGTCGCACTGTTATTACTGCCAGAAAGATTCAGTGAGTTCGAGTTATATAGCACAATCGCAGGAATGAGCTACATGGGAGATCTACGCATGGCCCTCCCCGCCGAGGACCCCAGCAAGGTGCGAAATATTGTTTCAGGACAAATGGCACACTTCCGCCGCCTCTACGCGCCACTCATCGAAAATCTGCCCAATGTCACTTTCCGGGACCCCCGCTGCAGCAACGAGGACTGGATGGATGACCCGAACGCCATCTTAGCCATGGCGCAAGATATGGATCCAGTGATGCGTGGTAATATGGTTCGTCGTCTGCCTGAATCTTTCCGACAAAAGTTGTACTTCCAGTACCAGTCTCGCTTTGGAATCCCTCGAGCCGATTTCAATAAGATGGTTCAGGAGAGCAAGGATTCAGACGAGGTTCTTCGCCGGCCTCAAGGCGGTTCGTTTGAGCGACGGATTGCCGGGGATGGTCAACTTCAGGAGGAGGTCGCCAAATCCATTGAGAAGACAATCCGCTGGCCAAGTACTGTCCAAACGATCAAGGCACCGTTCACAGCAGGCCTTGGTAAGAGTTGGACTTACATCATGGAAAAACGTGAGAAGCACAAGAAATCTCAGATGGCAGCCGCTTCAGCACTCGAGTCCGCCCCTGGGGCGAAGAAGCCCACCCAAGAACCGAAGCCATTAGAGCCAAAGGAGACAAAGAAAGAATAGGTGACTCCAATGTATTTTTGACGAATAGCCCTAGGTGCAGACATCTAGCATGTGGAGGCGTTGTGGAATTTTGCGACCCATGTATCAAAATCATCAATGATGTGCCTGATATCTGTGCATCAGCAGGAAATGTTTATCAGGCCCACTACATACATACGGACTATATAGACCCTTTCATTTGTTGAATGAACCATACAGAATCAATTAGTTTTTGTTCCCCTTTCTTTTTTTCGCATAACCCTACAAAATCGGGCATTTGACCTTTGGATAATCAAATTACTGCTGGCAATATTATCCAATAAGAGAGTTGCCCGGAGATGTTAACTGACATTTGTGCTCCCCCTGTTTGAGTACTTCCTTTCCAACAGTACCTCCTGCATCTTGGGTGCTGTTCCCTCTTTCCAGTAGTACCTGGAGTGTCTTATGTGCTCTCGCTTCCTCCTTTCCAGAAGTACCTCCTGTCTAAGATGCTCTGGCTTCTTCTTTTCTTCATGAACTAATGTGCTTGGGTATCAATAATGAACTCTATAGCCATACAATGACTTATTTTGAGAGATAGAGATAGAGATGGTTTTACGAAATACTTCCTCTAGGAGAAACAAATCATTGTCTAATTCAACATGTTATGGCTTGAAATAAAAAGGCAAAATGAAAACGGAAGATACCCCCTATGCCCTGCCCTTTCCATCTGCGCCCTCAATAGCCGCAGATGATTCCTCTCCATCCATCACACTTTCCATCATCTTATCAATCTTGCGCTGCTGGTGAACGGAAAGCTCGGAATAACGAATGTATATATGGAAGAACCAAGATACAATGTTCTAAACCCCCCCCGCAGCTTCTGGTAAAGTAAGAAAAGCGTGAGTTGTTACAATGCTTGCAGTTCTTTCCATCGAATGTCTCGGCATAGCACCGAACGACAAAGGGCTAAGCGAGGCCGAATCAGCCTCGGTCCACTCGCGTGCAGACACGCGCAAACAAGTCATATACCATGTGTGGTGACGAAGAATGGGGTTCCGCAACTTGTGCGGAGATCGCCGGACGGGAGGCATCCAGGAGTTGAAGCTAATATGTGGCAATTAGTTTCGAAAGCTCTTTGACATGGTATCCAACAACGATGTATAGGAGAATCTTATAGTTATGGGCATTGAATGTATCCTATAGCCATCGGAAGGAAGAGGCCATGTTTGGATGGGCCGAGGCACGAAGGAGAGTATCAGAGGAAGGTTTCTTTCTGTTGTATATAACCATCGTAAGTAGAATGTCCAAAAATAAGAGAGAGAGGGATCTCACGGTCGGTGTTCGATTTTCTAGATTGCAAACCCAACAAGAAGGCCCACTACCGCAACAGAGCAGCAGACTGCTATGATAAGAACTTCAAGTATCTCCCGGAACTTGTAGTTTGTAGCATTCTGTTCATGTGGTATAGTTGTATCGTTCATTTTGATAATCGTGGTAGTATATGAATCGAGGACGCTTGAAACATAGGTTCAAAAAAAGAAAGGGTCGTTCGCAGCACTTTGCGATTTGTAATGGGACATTAATTGGTTTTATATAGGCAGGTGCTACCCGCGAGACATTTACATCAATTTGTAGTATAATACCCAATATAAATCTCATGTTTCCCTCATATATACTTGATCTTAGTGCGGCCCTGAATGGAAAAACTACTTCTAAAGTAGATCAACATAGATAGTTGCCTACTAACGCTCATTCATATATACAGGATTTATAGTACATGGACCTATTAATGCTAAAAGATCAGATAATCCATGCCAACAAGTACTCAAACCATTTGAACCTGAAGCGAACCTGAAGTGAATCTGAAGTGAATCTAAAGTGAATTGAATCTGAAGAAAATTGGTAGATCTCTTGGCCGCTAGTTTAGGGGTAGGCGAATCTTTATAGTGTTAAGTAATAACCAATGACAGAGTTAGCTATGTGCCGGTGGCATACTTAGTCGCCCGGAGTAGGGATATATAGCTTCAAGGGAAATACCTATTTCTGGTAAATGTTGATGCCTTGATGCCTAGCTTTGGCCTGGTTATTGACCGCTCCTTACACTGCTCTATACAATGTACTGTAACTAGCCGTGCCAGGCGCCCAACAACCGTTCCGGTTGTTGGTGCGCCCCAGTTCGAGCGCTGAGAAAATGTATATTATGTTTACGGGGTGTCTAAGTACCTTTTGTATAGGTAAGTCATACAAAAGATACATAAACTCTAATTTGGTTATCTGGTGAAAAATGGCTATCTGCTAGGGCGCACCAACACCAGGGGACCCGCCAAGAACGCATGGGCGGGTTCATCAAGGCCAAAACCCGCGGTGGGTTGCCCATGTGCGGGTAAGCAAATTGAAAACCCAACCAAAACCCGCGTTTGGCGAGGCCTAGGCAGCACGCACAGTCATTGGGTGACTGGACGCTTGTAGGATTCTCTGTGTCACCAGCATTTGATTTTGGAGGCTTTGAGATGGCACAACCCGGCTGGGAGATTGATGGCTTGCTCTCTCAAATCGTTCCAGTCAAATAGCCATTTTTCGACGTCTCCATTAGGTTTCTGTGCAGAGAAAACCTTCCACTTCATGCGCACTTGTTCTTCATGCACATAGGATCGGCCGAAACACTGTTTCAGGTATGCCAAGCGGCTAGACGGTGTGTGATGTACGAGAACACTCATACGGAGGGAGGTGTCTAGGTAGGTGATGATGTATTCATTCACCTCATCAAGAGCGTTTTGTTGCTTTTCAAAGCAATTCGTCTTCATCTTGTAGACCTCCACGCGGTCTCTCTAGGCCTTGGGAACCTTCTCATTGCCATCCTCCGGGTATTAAGATTGAATTGGTTCTTCAAGAGCCTCCGGACGATGAACTTCATCAGTGTCTGGGTTTCAGAGATCCCAGACCTTTCTGTGTATAGCAAAAGCCGTTATTTGCATATACCATGCTCGCCATTGTGACGAGTCTTTCATTTTCTCGCTTCTAACAGCGGAGAGCATCGATTTAATCTCCATTGATACTTCTGATGCTCCGATTTAGGTATTCAAGGAGGTTGGATGAGGAAGTTCGAGGGTTTCAGGCGTCGATTTAGGCTGCTGTCGAGGTCTATGTCGTTGTGAATAGCTTCAGATGATGACAGTGGTCCTATTGATCGCGAAGGGCTCATGACTGTTAACATTCCGTATCGTATCCAACCAATTGGAGATATCAAGGACTCTGTATTGTATGACCCCTAGTTCGCGCTACTTAACTAGAATTTCCAGATGTTAGTTATCATTAAACGCTTTGGCGCCCTCAGATCTTACTGTGGTGTCTTGTGGCTCGGAAAACGTCAATGGTTATACTCTGCTTTGCTCCATTGTTCTGGATAATTCATATAAATTAGGCATTCAAACTCGAAATCGAATACTCATTAGTGCAATCACTGGTAAAGTCTTAGAATCATAACTAAGCATATAGCTTCGTCAGTGCTGGTTGCACCGTATCCAATCCTGTGAAGCTACAATGCCCCTTCCCATCATCGATTCCCTGCTGGGAGCCATCAACCACCTCGCCAGATGATTATTTTGTCTCACCCCATTTGACTAGACCTAGGGCAATAAAATCCGGGCTCTCATATTTCGGGGGTGACAAGCAGCACAAATAACTGCGCTACAAGATCCAGCCAGTGGCATATTGGACTTGAATCTTTTCAGCGACAGCAAGATCAAGAGGCAAATGATGAAAGAGCCAATAAGAAGCGCACAAAAAATGAGAAGTGGAGAAAATCCGAGCGAACTAATACTGTCACTCCAAACTGCTTCTCCTTGTGGGGTGTAGGGAATACGCAAAACATAAAAAGTGCTCTGGGAGACCAGCCAGTGGAGAGCCACGCAGAGGACTAAAATTGGAACGGCGTACTGGTATGGTATACTGAGCCAGTACGTCGACTTCTGCTGACTATCCTTCTCAGGCCAAGTGACACGGAGTGACTTATAAGAGACACCGTAGGAATCGTACTCTGCTGCTGCGAGCATGGTGGTCATCAAATTGTTATAGCCGTAGTAGCTCAACGTGATAAGCAACTGTGGTATGTTGGCTACGACAACTGAGTCTAGCATTCGTTTCGGGAGCGAACTGGTCACAATATTTTTTTGAATGGCGCCAAGCCCCTTGTTTGCCCCATTGATGGAGCAAATCGACCGTCAGTGACTTGTTGTCATCTCCCGTAGAGGTATAAATCGACATTTGGAATAAAGCAGCCCCTGATCCAATGGTAGCCAAACACCTAAGTCACGGATATCAATTAGTATATTTCAAAGCGGACATCGATCATCAAATTTACAAGAAGAATACAGCCACCAATATTTTCCTGTCCGGGACATTGATCAGTCGTTTGCGCGGTATAAGCTTCCTATATTCCACGGGTTTGATTAGGCTGTTACTGTCCAGCCTCTCGGATGAGTTTTGAGCGACGTGAGATGGCCCCCAGGCCTGATGGTGAACGTCGCGTTTGGTAATCTAGCATATGTCTGTGGTAGTAAGATCTGGGTTTGTCACGAAAGACGCCACCGCATCACCTACCGTGAGGATAGGTGTAGGCCGAAAGCGGCTAACTCGCGCTGCCTAGAACATTGCGGTCACCTTCGCGAGTGCACAGAGAGAAATGACGATGCAAATAGTGGGGTTGTAGAGAAGTTGACAATGTTCTGGCGTTGGAATTTGGAGACACTCTGCCAAACTGAAGAACAAAGGCAGCAGCTTTTGCGCAGAGATAGACACCGGCAATCCAATCGTGACTCTGTGCCTGTGTTCTGTTGTCCTCTGTTGCTGTTTGTTCGTCTGTAGAGGGGAAGTGACAATTCCCATCGACATGAGCGGCGCTAAGGGAAGTTTGTTTTGCATTCTCCAAGTTTGGCGAATATTGCAAATCAGAATTCGAACTATGGGCGGTTTCAGGGTCAGGTTGGCCGTCGCTAGGACTTTCTTGAGGAGCCCTGTGGTGTTTTTGAGAAAGCCTCAGCCTGCTCTATATTGACTGCGACCCTTCGTTTTTCATTTAGGATTTCGAGAAGTGTGACTGGGCGAGAAGAGTCTCAAGTGTATAGAGGACCCCGTGCGTTGGTGTAGATAATGAGCCTCACTGGTACAAAGGAGATTGAAAGACGGCCAGGTGTGTGTAGGCTGTACGCACTGAGAGCTGAGGGGGCTGGACGCTACATAGCCCTGAAAGAGACTCGTCAAGCCTTGTCGTCTAATTTTAGCTCTTACTTCTGTTGTTTTTCATACAATACCTCAGGCAGTAGAATATGAAAATAGAGCAATGGATAATGGCAGAGATATATACATGTCTAGCTTAAACATCTAAATTACGTCGTATTTTATGGTAATATAATGACTCATTAACCTCAGTAGCTTTTGAAATCTTGATAAATCAATTTTTGTGTAAAGAGGAGAATATACGCTAAAAACTGAGCAAATACAAAGATTGGCGGCTGAAATATAGAGGAATAGAAAATGACATTTGCTTTGTGTTAGGTGGGCGACTCGCATGTGAATTACGTTAATGGCTGGGGTGCGTCACGCCGCAGTGAATTACGTTAGTGAGTTATACCATGGACCCTGAACAGAAGACGAAGTACGGAGTAGGGGTTCGCGACTAACGCTATCCACATATATATGATTCCGTTTCCCCTGCGAATGATTGGCCATTTCTGCCCATATGGCAGATATACAGTTCGAGGAAACAAGTATTTGCGGATCCGCACGCCACCAATATATATATCTACCACCCATGGTTTTCATCTAATTAATGCAAACTACTAATATTGATTTAATATAATAAAAATACTATAATTTAGATGCGCATTTTCTTAGAGAATCTAGCAATGGTATTTACATAGTTTAATATTTAGTGTACCACTGTACCACCCGCCTGCAGCAATGACAGCTTCAACTCTGTGATCCATAGTCCCAACCAACCGGTCAAAGTAATCCTCTCCTAGTGCCTCCCACGCCTGCTCAATTAAATCTGAAAAATCATCAAATAATTCATCACCGGTTCCGGCAAAGTTCTCTAGGTTTGGATCGATCCGATCGATCATTTCTTTGAGCTTTGACTAGGCATGTTCAATAGGGTTTAAATCCGGCGAGTACGGCGGCCAGGTCATAATACAAATTTGTACTATCCACTAATGCAGCCCAAGACGCCGTCTTACCCCCCGCTTTGTTGGCCTTATGAGCTCAGATTGGGCTCAGGTTAAGGGTTGGGTGTTGAAAGTGGGACCACGAACCCAGAAGATTATAGTCGAGAAAGATGATTCTTAAGGTTGCTATGTGCCTCGGGGCTGAATCGATCTATCCATACGAGCGTTCGTCGTTGCTGGTCATGCCCTGAAATGCCGTTCCCCCTGGTCATCAGCCGTAGGAGCAGGAGATTCGGCCCCCAAGCCTGTTTCTGCGCTAACAGCGCATCTAGCAGTGCGCAGCAGTTTTGATCTCTTTACCTAGAATCTTGCATTGGACCCGCCAATCAAAGACGCGCAAAATTCGCTTGCCTCGGCGAGCCTTTTACACTAGCTCCAACGCCAGTTCGAGGTGCAACCCCCAGCCAAGCTCTCAGCCACAGTCAGCTCTACTGAGCAAAAGTCGTCTGACTATTAGGAACTTCCCACACTTGGGCCTCCTAAGTTTTCTTAGACCCCTAAGGGTCCTGACTTTTTGATCTCACGTTTCGTCTATTGCCCCATTCCGAAGTTCTTTTTGTCGCGAAATCGAATAGTCTTTATCGAAACAGAATATAACTGTAATAATAATGTCGAACTCGAACTTGAACTCGAGCTCCAACCACTTCAGGTGCCCGAAAGGCGGCGCTTGGTATGTGTGCCCAGACGAGCCTCAGTTCGTCGGCTGCTGCTCTCAGGACCCATGCAGAAACGTCGACGCAAACAGCACCTCGCCATGCCCAGGGTCCAACCTCTATTACGCCTCCTATGACCCCTCTATGCATGAGGAAATCCCAGCGAACGCGTGCATCGACGGCGGAAAATGGTTTACCTGCACCGGGGCAAATCCACCCTTCATCGGCTGCTGCGCGAGCGATCCCTGCAAAACCCCAGACAACACGGGGTGTCCCAACGATGATTTACTTCCTGCTGCGTGGAGCAAGTCCCGTCCGGGTCAATTCGCCCTGTTCCAGGATGAGGGCACAGCCGATGACGATGAGTTATCCGGCGGCGCGATTGCCGGAATTGTGGTTGGGGCTGTTGCGGCGCTGGTTATTATCGGAGCGCTCGTCTGGTTCTTCGTCCGGAAAAGGGGTAAGAAGGCCGCTGCTATGAGTGGACATGGACATACGTCGTCTGTTGTCGAGGGCGAGCATGGGAGGATGTATCCATGCCCGGCATCACCGTCCTTTAGTATGTACCAGTCTCCTCCTGGATTGGAGCTATCCAAGTTCATTGACTGATATTTTATTGCGCTGTTTTAGACTCGGAATTTTCTAGCCCCGCCGGCACGACAATAAGGGGGGAAAGGAGCTGAAACACATGTCAAATTCCTCAGCAGGCATCAGCCCGCCCTCGCTCTCCCCCGGAATACCCTCAGAAAACGGACGACCTATTTCAGAAATGTACTCGAATAGTATCGGGGGCGAGGATATGTCGCATCAGAAATGGGTATCGGGTCAGAGCTACGGGCTCGGTGTGCATGGAGCACAAAGACCAGACCCGATACAGGAGTTGGATGCCAATGTGGCCCACGTGTATGAAATGGACGGACTCGGAACAAATCGGCGGTGATGAGGCCTCGACCGTGGGGTTTAGATGGATTGTGTATTGATAGGTATTATACGTGTAATACCTGACTCCAAATCGATTCTTTTCACCGCACCTGGGATCCTCGCATTTGGGCGTGACGTGATGATAACATGAGATTGTCCAGAAGCCTCATCAAAGATTCGGATAGTTTGCTATGGCTCTCCAGGTAGATTGCTACTTCATCTAAACCATCAAGAATGAACAGAGTTCTGTTTCTTTGGGTGGAATACAGTTCTTGTAGGCAAATGCCTTATTCAAGACATTTAGATATTACCAGTATCACTCTCACAATTAATTGTTTATTCTTGGCGATTCAAATCTCATCTGTAACTCCAAATGCACTGGGCTTTCATGCAGGGGCATACTTGGCATATAGTCAGAAAACCCGCTGTCCCTTCAAAGCAGCCAACATTGAACCCATCAGAACTCGCCTGATGTTCACTTTTACCTGACGAATCCAAGACCCAATAAAACACCACATAAAATGTCTCCAGGACCAGGCAGTGAATTGACCTAATTCACCAGCAAACAGAAAAGTATGGGGATTATTTGCAGTTTGAGGTCGAACACATGCAGCGTTGTCTGGCCTGAGTTGTTTTTAGGATTGGGCTCTTGCTTAGTTGGACTCTTGTCCAGAAATGCAGCATCTTCAGTGCAATTGTATCCCTTGGAATCAGGCTTCCCAATGACCTTGGGACCCGGAAGAGGGAAGCTAACGTTTTGGTCCTCAAAAGTAACGCATTTCCCTTCACCATTGATATTTGCAATAAAGATCTCTGGAAGAGACTCAAACTTCGGACTGTTTGTGACGTTTTTGTTATCATTCAAACTGTCGGGAGCATCACCGATAGTGACCATGGCGCAGTTCATATACATCTCGCGGTTTCCAATTCTGTTGAACCACGTCCAAGCAAACAACGCTTCCCCAGGGGGGCCTCCCGTGGGATTTTAAATGGCCATGTTTGGTTGAAACCACATCCTCCTACCATGGATTGAATGACTCTGAAGCTCTGACCTTGATCATAGCTCAGCGAAAGCTGGCAAGAGCCTCCTCCATGTGGTGCATGTCCTTGAATCTTGGTTTCGTATGACGATTCCGGGACATAGAATGCCTGAGAGACAAAAGGATCCTTTTCGTACCCTTTACAAGGATAATTTTTCCCGGACGCATTCAATGGGCTGGTATAACCGTAGTCCACAGGCCCGGTGGGATATGAGTCCAAAGGACTTCGAATGGGAAGCGGCTTGCTCATCTGCATGTGGGCGAACCCTCCAGCTCCCCAGAGTGCGAGAAGGAGGATAATCTTGGTAACCGTGCAGAATGACATCGTGTGGAAGGAGGAATTGTGGGTCCGGGGGTCTTGGGGGTCTGGGGTTTGGTTAGGCTCACAATCGAGAGGCACAGTAAGAATCAGTTCCGTCTTACATTTCTGGGAATCAGGTCAATGTCAGGTTCGTATGCCTTCCCTGAACTCGAATCGCTCACTGAATGGAGATAAATGAAGATAATTTGTTGAATTTTGTACCTGGATGAAGAGAAGAGAAGACTATCAGCCCCGGGGGCCAACTTGGTGGCCTTACGTAAAAATATTGTTTTGCCCAGGTGCATCTCACATGCACCTGGGCAGGTGCTTTGATGCATGTTTGATGCATGCATTCTCTGGAACATCACAAACCAAGAGGGCAAGCAGGTGCTGATATTCGTTTGTTTGCTTGAAACTTCCATAATCCATATGCATTAAGATTGATTGGGTGCTTCTCCGGGTGGACCAACACTAGGTAGGTATCACTTTAGTGTTCAGACCTTTCTTGTCACCAAGTATTTAAGAAAGTCATCTTTTCTTCATATCGCTGGGAGATAAATAGAAGATACGTATCGTATCAGCTTGACTGCCTGTGTCACCGGTTCACTACCGCCTCGCCGCATCGCATACGATGCGATCCCAGACCGTATGCAAGCTCAGGGGTGTCCTGTCTTCGTTCTAGGGCGACACCACTTTCACTGGTACTGCAAGACCAGCTTTTGGGCCCGAGTGCGAGTCGGGTAAAAAGAAGTCGGATGGTTTTCGTATCCCGTTGTCCCCTGATTTTGGTGCGGGGCACGGGCACCAACCGCACCGGGCCGGCCCGCACAACCACGGCGGATTCACTTTGGTCTCCCCAACGGGGATCAACACCGGACACCACGAGAAGGTATGAATCCATTGTCCCAGCAGTCTCTGTGGCAATAACACCGATAAGCCTTGACCATATCGCTCTCCACCATGACGTTCAACCAGTCTAGCAGTGTCACGCCTTCCCCACTTGACTCCGCTTGGCCCCCGGCCCACATTTGGGAAACCATGGGCGTGGCGGACCGTGCCAGTTGGCTAGGACATATAGAGAGACAGGGCTACGCGCCTTGAAATGGATGTAGCGGAGACAGACCTCGCCATAGAAGGCCTCGTGTGGACCTGCAAGGCGACGAGAATTTCGAAGAAAACCTTGAGTCCCCCCTTGAAGTCAAACCATTCATCAACATATTTCCGGGTGTCTCCGCCGCCCTTCTTGTTGAAGGCGACTGAACTCATACGCTTTAAAGAGAAGTCAATCACCAAGCAAGATCAGGAGGACAGGATCTTCAAGGTGACCGAGTCGGGAGGCACAGTATGCTTCAGGAAAGCAGCTGCAACGCTGAAGGACAGAGGCCCCAACCCTCAAACATGGACGAGCTGCTTCCTTACATACTGAATTGGGAAGAGCGCGCTGTAGGTCTCACATCGCAGACAAGACGACGGGGGTGTTCAGTGCTCGCCGGGAGACTAGGGGCAGGGCTGGAACCCTGTACGACCGAAATAGGAAATAGAAGCTGCTTTTCAGAGATGTGTGTGACGCTTGATCTCTAGACTAAACACACAGAAGTTCAAATACTGCGAAATTACCAATTGTGCGGTTTCCCCACTACAGTATGTACTGCAGTGGTAGCCCCTGTACTGGAGGAGTAAGATAGGCAGGACTTTAATCATTCAATAATTAAGACTAGTACTATGAGAGAAGGCTGGTGAAGCTTCTAACTAGTTATAATCAGAGTCAAGTAACTCGCCTCTATCATAATCGACACTCGACACTGCACGTAAAAGCAAGTGTGTTTGATGGTCGGCTCGGTTTTGTAATAAAATCAAGATCAATGTCATCGTAATAATTTCTAATAAGCTAACAGGATATCTAACTACCCGCTAAGTCGTAAACCTGTAAGATATCCTAAATATGTTAATCCATCTTCTTTAACATCTAGCTCCTCTATATCACGGAGGACTCTCTCAATATATTTCCCAGTATTACTAAGTTTTATAATAAATACAATAGCGCAGTGGATGTCGAGAAGCTAGAGGTATAGTGAATCTACCGTACATTAAGTTCCGGGCCATCCCCACCAAAGAAGCCCCAGCTTCTGATGAGTAGCTTTTGCAGAAGCGGTCGAATTCCTTTGTACGATACAAGAGAATTTTGTCAACGCCCGCATTCCGCATCTCGAACAGCCGTTTCCAAAAAGACGGCACTGCCGTTAATCAGCGAGGCTAAGTCCATAACCCATTTCCCTTATAAAGCGCTCGGTAGCGACCTTCTCGGCCATCGTGAATTCATCAAGAGGGCCTTTGGAGGTTGGCAAATCCTTTGGGTCAAGGAGTTCGGCGCCTTTTTTGATAATTTGCCAATATACGGTCTCGTTTAATCGAGATTAGATACCTTTGCTTATAGAGAATACATTCTCCTGCTTGATTACATCGGGGTATTGCAACTTGACTATATTATCCACAAAACTCTAAATCGCCTCAACTTTCGTCGTCATAATTGCCTTCTTTGAACGGTGTCCGTATCTTCTAAGTGGATCGTTAAGCTTAATACAATTTACAAGTATATTTTCGATGATACTGTGAGGCGCTTTTCCGACTTAGTAGGTATATAAGTCGGTCGAGTGTATCCTAGCCCGTAGTAAGTTCGTCGCTATATTCGCTTTATCCGTTAACGGAGAATCGGTTAGTATGCCTCCTTCTAGAGGTAGTGCAGTATTATCTATCCCTTACGATATTTCTTTAAGAGTAGTCTTATCTTTCGCCTTAACTTTGTTCTTCCTTTTCTTCTTATAAGATAGTACGTCTAGCCCCGTGTAGTCCGCTCTACTTCGTTTTTTAGCCGTAGGGAGGAACCGATAAGAGCCGCGCTTTACTTTAGGATCCGGACTAGCTTTAGGAGTAGGAAGTAGTAGTAGATCTGTTATTCCTACCTGCTGCCTTATTTGGCGGACTAGGCGTATTAGTAGAAATAGTTGCTCGAACAGCAGTTTAGGGGCTCACTGAAGTTAGAAATGCTAAGGATATGTTGCTTAATAGGATTATCGCTATAGTTGCTGATTCCGCAGATTGCGAGCAGCTCCTATATTTTCTCCGCTGTCAAAGACCGAAAGGTTTCCTCTATGGTGTGTTGTCCTGTGGATATAAGCTCCAAACAGGAGATATTGGGGGGAGAGAAGTCGGGCTGCCGCTATTTTCGGTCGTATGGGTAAAACTAATCTGTATTGGGAAATATGGGGTCTAGACCGTGGCTAGCAGAATGAGACAGAAAGAAAGGGAACGTACTTCTCTAAGCAGACCATATTGTAACTAGTGTCTTGTGCTGTATCAACTCACTGCTGGTAATTTATTTGTGTGATCTTCCTGCCACAGCGTTGCTTTAGTGATGGCGCGCGGGTTTCTTCGGCACACCTGCCTCTTTGTTTTCTCGAGCTTTAAGTACTGATCCCAGACCATTCGGTAGCCTCTAGGAACAAGAGCATGATCCAGATAAGTGACAAATATATCAGTACATACTTCAGAAACAATGGCAGGAATTCTGGGGGGTTACTAAATCCGATTCGGGAAGGAGCTGGCGAGGCTGTTGTGATATGAGGCTAGTGCAGATCAGGAACCAAGCCGCTAGTTTATAGGATAGACTGTTGTAGGTAATAACCAATGACAGAGTTATGTGCAGGTGGCATACTTAGTCGGCCGTAGTAGGGATATATGGCTTCAAGGGAAATACATGATTGTAATGCCAAGATAAACGGACAGTCTTTTCCAAGATTAATATAATCCAAACTTATCATGTTAACATTCCTGAAAGAAGGAACCTAGGAGAAAAAGCCGTTTGAACTCTGGTTAGGGCTGTACAGCATCTGTGATTGATATGATATGAATTAACTTGCAAAATATCCTGTTCTGTATGCATATAGACAGTAGATATATGTAGATAGTTATGTAGGTGTACATTATTAGCGAGGCTCCAAATAGAAAGAGTGCCAGTCATGCCCGAGATGCCCAAGCCATTGGAAGTGTGCAAAAGATCTCGAGAGGCAACATTTCCAACGCCAACACTAACAATCGCATAAGGGGGAATAATGTAAAATAAAATAAAAACAGAGGACACGAATTTGTAAAGAAAGAAGAAGGCATAGGGGAATGCAAGATGTGTACATAGTCTCAAACCAAAAGAGACTCCAGCCAAATATTCCATGTACAGGAGACAACAAGCCTCGACCCAAAATGTCCAAGAGAGGGAAAAGAAAAAGGAAATAGAGCCATCAAATCATGTCATATAAACATCGCATCGCATCAACCTCAGAAACGTTAAGTGTCAATGCTCATGTCGCGATAACAACCCACCAACATCATGAAGTTCAACATCAGCATCGACCGTCAAAGCCGAAGACCCCGACATCGAAATCAAACGCGGCCTACCAAAAGCCGACGCCGGGAACGGCAGATCCGCAGGACCAGGAAGCGGCGACCGAAGCCCATGCGCAGCTCTCGACAGCCCAAAGATTCCCAAATCCTCCAAAAAGGCCCTACTCCCGGCACCTCGGCGGCGCTGCATAGCCTCCACAGGAAAGGACAAGGTAGTCTGGGCACGCACATGATCGGACCCAGACTCCGGCAATGCTCTTGTAAGCAAACCGCCGACATCCGAGAACGAGACACGCCGCGACATGTCCGACGTCGGCGAGATTTCGGGCGGGGACTCGTTTGTGCGCAGATACTCGCGCGGCGTGGCTTTCGGGCCGAGACTATCTGTCGCGGAGCGGTCGTCGTCTGAGCGACGGGGTGTAGTGAACGACCATGTTGGATCAAGGGCTCCTGTTTTTGCGACTGCTAATGGCATTTGAGCTGATGGGAATGTTGGTAGTGGTTTTGGAATTGGAACGCGGGTTCCATCTGAGGTACTGGGGAGTTTGTATGTATCTGGGTCTAGACGGATTCCCAGACCGTCTGCTAGTTCTGAGTCTGAGCCCCATTGGTGTTGCATGACTGTGTTTCTGCGGAAGAAGGATTTATCCATGCTTTCTGTGACGGAGGCTGAGCCTTGGGCACGTTTGTACTTTAGTTTCTTGACGCCGCGGTCTCGGACGAAGGAGCCTATTACTAGGACATTTGAGACTGCTGTTGCGGCAAGGATTTCGAAGGAGGCGAGGAGGGAGCGATATGGTTGGGAGCCTCCGTGTTCAATTACGGAGGGGACGCGGTAGGAGGTGATGGCGACCAATATCAGAGATAGGCAGAAGAGGGATGAGAGGGCGAGTCGGCGTTTGAGAGGCATTTGCACCATGAGGATTATGGGCACTGGAATGGCGACGAGGAGAAGGTCGGTTATCACGTCGCAGGTGCCCATTGTTATTAAGTTGACGTAGCCGCTGCGGCAGGTTGGGCCTGGGTCTGGAGTGACCTGCCAGTAGTGGTAGAAGGGCTGGCATTCAGCTAGGGTTGCAACGACCACGGCCACTAGGGTTGAGACGAGGAAGAAGGAGATAAAGCGGAGGAATAAGGTTGTTGATCGGCGCCAGGTGAGCCCTGTGACTCGCTTTAGGAATTCACATACGGTCACTTTGGCGGTCCAGATGCTATAGTTGTTTGTGAGTCACTTTTGAACTAGCAAATCCAATGGGGGTGTCTTACAAGATGGCGTAGAAGATACGCGCAGCAAGAACTAGCTTACTGCCTAGTTCTCTGTTCAATATCTCCGTCTCTGTCAAGGCTGTGGTGGTGGTGGTATTGTTGGTTCCCAACACGAGAACGAAATGCACAAGGACCATGCGGATCATCAAGGGAATGATGGCGATCATCATGACTTTGTCCTCGGTGAAAAAGCGCTCAACACGAATATAACGACCACATACGCGGACGACGATTATCACCAATGAGAATATAGTAGCCCACCAGCTCATCATGAGCGTCGGATTGATCTGGGTTCTGTTCTGGAAAGCTGGCGGTGTCTCTTGATAAATGCCACGCGGGACCAGCGACATGGCCACGGAGGCCATGGATGCCATTATGCCAGTAAAAATAGCAGACGCGCAGAGAGCGATTCCCAGTGCTTTTTTACATTGCTCACACGTGGGAAAGTGTGGGGATGGTTTTTAGGTAGGGTTATGGGGCGGATTGCGGAGACCAAAAAAGGAAGACGATCTGGACAGATGAGAAAAGATAGTCTAATATCATATTGGAATGGATCGGGAGAGATAGGGGGAAATTAATAAAAGGTTTCAAATTGGTTCAAATATCCTTGGAAGACGAGAGGAGAGGGGAAAACCTTGGAAGGATCAAGGATGACTAGATAAGCCAAGCCTCCCATATAAAACAATAGCCAGTGACATTCGACTGGCTAATCAGGATACTATTTTTTTTTTTTTTTTAAGCGTCTCACCTTTTCAGATCTGTGGTGAATGTGAATATCATACAATTAGAACAAAGAAATAACAAAGAAATAACGGTGATAGCTTTAGCATGACATTGTATATATGGAGTAATATTCCTCCAATAAGGGAGACTACACGCATGTATGTGTATAATATACCGTAAACCGTATATTATGTACCCTGTTAGGAAGGGGAACGGGCCTTTTGATAAAGTACCTCAGGGTTTACGATGTACACGTGGACTTTTACTTCTTTTAAGATATAAAGCATCCACTTGGGCACAGATCCATAGATGAACGGTGTATATTAAAGGGTATAGTTATTGATATATATTCAAAGGAAATAAGATAAACGAAACAGTTTTTACTTCTCTTCTTAATATTGTATTTTAGCCCAATGAGTATCTACTCCGTTACCTCCGACGGACAATGTTATCTCGCCAAACCTTATGATCTCCCCAAATGATTAATCGCGCAAACCCTCATCCAACCACAGCTGCCGCCGAGTCTTCCCGTCTCTCAACACGAAGCGACTCAATTCCAGTCCCAGCACGAAGTCCACTCAACACAATCTGTAACTCCTTAAGGAACTTAGTAACTTCCGCCTCCGTACCGACAGTGATACGGAGACAGCCCTCACACCCAAGTTCTTTTCCACGGAAGCGGACAACCACACCACGCTTCTCCGCCATAGCCTCGTAAGCCGCAAGCGCAGTCACATTACTCGGTCGGTCCTTGGCGTCCAGAATTTGCACAAGCAAAAAGTTGGCATCGCTACCGCCAAGGAATTGCCCCACACCGGGGATCGTCGGTAGCTCCGTGAGCAAACGGTCGCGTTGCACGATGATCTGCGAACGGAAGCTGTGCATCACTGCCAAATTAGGTTCTATGAGTGCTGCGGAGGCAAGTGCGCTTGTTGGGCTGGAGATGTTATAAGGGGCCTTGAGGCTGTTGAGTAGACGTGCGACTTCCACGCTGGCGTAGGCCACACCGAGACGGATACCGGCCAGACCGAATGCCTTGCTGAGTGTCTGCATGACAACTAGGTTGGGCCACTCGGTCACCCATTCTGCCAGACTAGAGCCTTCAGGCGCAAAGTCGATATATGCCTCGTCAACCACCACGATGCCGTTCCATGTTGGGTGCTCGAGGACCTTGCGAATGTCCTCTTTACGGATCAGATTCGCGGTCGGGTTGCCAGGCGAGCAGATGTAGGCCAGCTTGATTGATGGGTCGGCAGACAGGGCCTCATTGACTTTATCGGCTTGGAGGTGGAACCCGTTCGTAGCGTCGAGTGGTACCTTCACGATCTCGAGGTCGTTTACCTGCGCGCTGACGCTGTACATTCCGTAGGTCGGGGGACATGTGAGGATCTTGTCCTTGCCGGGGACGCAGAAGCACCGTAGGAGCGCGTCAATGGCTTCGTCCGAACCAACGCCGCAGAACATGTGCTCGGGGAGGAGGGTCTTCGGGGTGTGGTGGTGGGTATTGCGGAGGTTGCAGAAGAGCTGCTTCAGCTCAATCTGGTGACTGGGGGACACCCATGGTTAGTTCAAATTGGAATTGGTCTGAATGAGACGCGACGGTAGGATTTCACTCACGGATCGGGGTAGCGGTTCAGACCGAGGAAGTCAATCTCCGGCTTGGAGGCTCCCGTGGCATTGCCGGTCGGGGAGGATTGCAATGCTCCCTCGCTGTTCAGGGAAAGACCAGGACCAAAGGCATTCTCGTTGGCGTCGAGGAGGACGTTCGTCCCATCATCTTTGTAGTCACTGACTCATTAGCTCGCCGATACCGGTGATTCGAGAAAGGGCAGCACATACTCTCTAGCGCATCGGTAAGGTTGCAATGCCAGGATATTAGGACGGGCGCATGTGGCCAAATTAAAGGGAGATTTTGAAGCCATTGTGGTGAAGAATGTGAGATGTTGAGGTTCCAAGGTTGGTGGGGAGCCCCAGGTGGGGGATTTTATCGGCACTCTATGACTCAAATGCCGATCTATATATTTCATTTCTTTAGATGCATCTCTTGATAGAGCTCGTTGCAACACAGTTCAAAGGCTACAGAGAAGCCTGCATTCACCTACAAAAAGAGCACATCTAAAAGACAAAAACATATCGAGTGTTCTTGTACATAATATTCCTAATATCTTTTCGGGCCAACCAGATCGGATTATCAAAGTAAAATCAAGCAATAAGCAAGGTCACTCTGCTATTCAACCCTTCCTGGAAATTCGCTTCCACCACTGCGTTTTACCACCCTGGCATTGCGTTGTCTCCTGTGGTCGCACTTGGGGTTTCTCCACGATTGGCAGCAAAAAGAAAGCCTCCGCCGTCTGGATGACACAAGCCGGGTTATCGTCGTACAGTTTCGTTTTGAAATCATCCACAAAGCCTTCTCTCTCTTCCGTAGTATACTCGAAGCCTCGTTCACTTGAACAGCATCCACATGTTGGCGTACAGTGTCCAATGCCCTTGTTTCTTTCTGTCACTTCGTGGCGGATCTGACAGCATCCACAGCTTCGACTACAGCAACCGCCTCTCTTCACGCAGTCCTCGACCAGTTCTTTTCGGAGGTACCAAGTTGTATTTTCTCGTAGGATATTATAGGACTTTTTGATAGGCCCGATGGGAAGCATTGTTTCGGCAAGGTAAAGTCTATACTCGGCCTGGCCATATTGGCGGAGTACACCCATAAGCTCCTCATTGCATTGTGCTTCTTTATCTTTCTCTTCGTCTTCGTCCGCTGCTATCTTTCTTAAAGCTCGAACTTTGCACTTTAAAGATTGTTCTTGTTGAACGATTTCTCGGAGAAGATATTCGGCTATTATAATGTCCACGAAGACGGCGACATTGAAGAATCGGCCACCATAATGGAGTATTCGTATCTTTTCTTTTTCATACCATGGAATTTGTGCGTAGCGTACATCAGGCGACAATCTTGTCCCTCGAAACATATTGTGAACCCCCTTCTTGGTTATCATGTTGACAGTTTGAAATAATTCAAGGCGGGAAGTGAAGAATGAAAAGACCTACAATATACTTAGGTATGTGGTCATTCACGCACGACGATATATAAGAACATTAAAGACAAGAGCCGCTCCCAAATCTGATCTAGTCCGAAACCTAACTAATTACCTGGCAAGAACCTTGGAACATCCATGGATCCATCATGCCTACCGAAATACTTTTTGGCAGTTTTGGTTGTTTGAAAGTCTTTCTGGTTTGTTAAATCGATGATCGACTTCAGTATGTAACTCTTACAGCCTATTTTATCACCGCCTTCTTGAAGTAAGGTACATTAATTTCAACTTCTCTTTTATTTTTACACCTAGTTAGTTATATACTTCACTCTTGTTATCTTTCTAGTTGTCTTTCTAGTTGTCTCTTTATATATCTTTTTATATGTCTTTTTCATATATATATAAAGGCGGCAAAAAACATAAACCATATAACTAGATCACGTTTCTATGTAAAGGTATCACAAGAGATTTGAATAGCGTCAGAATTTCGTACGTATTTTCCAAGGTATTATAAGGCATCATCTGGGTTCAGTATTACTACCAACTACATAACGAGTTCCTGCCAGGCAATGTAAACCAATGAGAGAGTTATGTGATGGTGATCCCTATAAAGTGGATCTGATATGTGATTACATAAGATTTGCTTGCCTGGGCGAGGTCCCGAGATCGGCCCTGAGTGTATCCAAGATAGGTAATTTTAAGACTTCAACTCGATGACTTGAAGAAAAAAAAAGAAAAGACGTGTTCCAGAAATCAACCGTCCAAATATATATCACGGTGCTTCTACAGGCTAGAGCCCCAATTTCTTATTCCACACATTCCCGATTTTATCAGCTCAAAACGCACTCTACACTCGATTTGATTAAAGTTCTTCGATATTAGTGACTCCTGTGTCTGCAGTGAGCAATATGGCTTTTGAAGAACCATCTATTTTACCGGTGGACATCATGGAGTCCCAATTGTCCACAATTGACCTCCTAATGGCAATGTTCCCGTCTCCGGGCGAGCTGGAAATCCCCGAATCCACAACGCAGTGTATCGAGAGACTCCGCGACTGGTGCGAGAATCCGACCTCCTCACCTCCTAAAATCTCTTCAAATATCTCTCTCACTGTCTGTCTACCAATTGCAGACGGAGATAAAACAATACAAGTCAACATTTCCGTGCCGCTGCAATGTGATAATCCAGAGACACTTGACCAATCACCGCCATTGGGATATTCGCTCCGACAACCAGAGTGGATGTCTAGAGCCGAAGTCGCTGGAATTACTGCCTCAATACCGCAAGGTGATGATGCTCTAGAGGCATTCGAGTACATCCAAGCAGAAGCCAGCCGCTTTCTCGAAAGCAAGCAGTCTCAGACCGTGACTCCAGAAGACACAGACAGAGGGCCAACTGTTCGAGTCTGGTTCTATTTCCCGTCTCTGTCAACCCGTAAAAAGAGGGATGATATGGTCAACCTTGCACCGGGATATGCTCTGACGGGCTTTGTGCTAGCGGGAAAACCGGGCGTATTGTGTCTTGAGGGTGCATCGTCTGATATCGATTCCTATATGAGTTTCATCAAGACACATTCCTGGGGTGATATCCCTAGTCATCAGAAAAAAGTCAGCGAGAGGTTCCGGGAAATAGAGGGTGTTGAGAGAGTGTTTTCGGGAATGGAGGAAATTACGGATTCGCTGGGAGAGCGAGGTGGTCAGCGGGCCAATCGGGGTGATATGCAAGCGCTGGAGGCGTGGCTAGGGAGTAGAGGACTGCAAGAAGCATTTGAAAAAGTTATATTCTAGGTGGTCATATACTCCGCCCTGCATTATGTACGTCTACATGATAGCTGCACGTGGGTTTTCTTCCAACCTCAATGGCATATCAAGTTTGCTCCTCATCTTCCCTTCAGTTCCCTCAGACACACCAGACCCATCCCCCACTAGAGAAAGCAGACTTCGTCATGGAGGGTTGTTCTAAGGCTGGAGTCCTTTTGACTGTACTTTATTGTGTTCCGGTGTTAACACTTTTATTGCTATGATTATACCCGTCTGGTCTATGTAGACTCGGTGAACATGATGACCCATTTCTTTCATCTCACAAAATTCCATAAAAGTTCTCCCTACAATTACCTTCGGACCGCACTGTTACGTATAGCAATTGAAAAGGATGAATTAGGTAGAACATCATGAAACGACTCGAAGACGAGTAAACAACAAGGTAGTGTAAAAGATAAAGATGTAGTACAATTGAGCTAAGCCCCAGGACCCAAGAACGCCGTGTCCTGTTTTGCGCCAGCGATAAGTAATAAAAGTCAAGGATATATACGAAGGGAGCAGGGGAAAAAATCAATCAAACCCCCGAGACCAGTTCCCAACTGAGGATTCACAAAAGCACTAAATCCTCGAGTCAAAAATCCAATCCCAGGAAACGCAGAAACGCCAGCCTCTATCTCTCGATATTCTCAAGAGTGTAGTGCGGACACGGCATAGCGACTCAAAAAGCCAACACCAACCAAAAACCCAATCCAAGTTTGCGTAGTAGCGTAGTCGCGTGTCGAAAATCAAGACCAAAAGCAGGTCTAGAACAAGATATCCAAACAGCAGCAACAAGCCATCGCAGCCATAATACCTGCACAGATACCACCTGCACCACCGCCGCCAGAGCGCCCGCGGTCATTGGCATAGTAACCCTGCTGTTGCTGTTGAGGGGGGTAGCCCTGCTGCTGCGGCGGGTAATACATCGGCTGCTGGCCCTGGGGGTAATATCCCTGCTGGCTTTGCTGGGGTTGGCCATAGCCTGGCTGGGGTGGGTAGAAGCCCTGCTGTTGGGGTTGGCCGCCGCCATAGTAGTCGTTTGCGGCGCCGGGGCTTTGGCCTTGTTGTTGGTAGTAGGGGCCTGCGTCGTGGGCCTGGGCCGGGTAGGAGGGCGGTGGGCTTGTCTAAAAGAGATTAGTCTTTTGATATTTGGGGTTTGCGATTGATTGTTGGTACTTACGGGCTTGTTGTAAGACATGGTGTGGGAATTGAAGGTGGAGTTCTCGGGTGATGTCAGACTTAGTGCTGATTTGGGGAGATTACGCTGCAAGTGTGGATATGGGGGCTTTTTGTCTGTTGGATTGGGAACTCGAAAAAACTCGAAACCAGCGCAACAGTAAGGAGTGAGGGGTGCAGATAAATAAAGAATCAGGAAGCCCCGGAATCGAGAAAGAGTTGCAGTGGCGCAGTTCGGGGCTTAGTCAACCTTTTTCCAGGGTTTTCCGAGTTCCAAGATTTTATTTACGCGGCCTCATGTTTACTCTTCTGGGCAGAGTTCTCTTCAAATGTTTTCCTTGTTCTTTTCTTCCCTTTCGCCTTCGAACTAGTCTGATACCTGATCCCTGTAGTTTCAGCGGAAATTTCTTATATTGTAAACTAAGCTCTTCCTGTCTGCAGACTTCGGCCTCTACATTTTATATACTATTTAGATCCTACGCCATGCCATGTATGATGCTATGGAGCTATTAAAACATAAATAACAGAAATCAAGTGATGATCTACAACTTCCTCGCCCAAACTCGAAATGACAGCCATTCATAAATTGGATTCATTTAAACATACAAAGACACGGTCAATATGTAAACTCACAGGCAAACCCCCCATCGCAATCCCCTAACGGAGAAACTTCGCGCCAATACGCCATGCTGCCCATAATACAAGGGGGAGACCAAAAACTTTTTTTTGTGTTTGTTGAACGTGAGTCGACGAGTAAAAAAAATAACTCCCAAGTGTCCACTTCTGTCTGGCATCAGCTGCTCTTCCTCGACTGCCAATTGGGTATTTCCTGCAGATATGCATAGTATGGACAGCGGTCATATCGGAGACAGTGAAGTGGACTTGATGCGATTCGAATTTGCGAGGTCGAGGTTCACAGGAACCCGGTGTTGATTCTTTGGATTTGCAAAACCCCCAAATGAAAGAAGAAAAAATGAAGAGAAAGATCTTGCGTCCATTTTCAAGAGTCGCATATCAATCTTCCTGCTCCATTTCCAGAAACCTTGTTTTGCAGCTTAAATGACCCAGCGGTAACTGGCATAGCGACCTGCAGTCTCAGACTTGCGGATAATCTTAACGACCTGGCCACGGCGCAAACCAAGGTAGCGGGCGACAGGGTCGGAGATCTGTATACGGGGCAGCTGGGACTCCTTCAGACGATAGCGCTCGAGGAGCTTGCCCTTCTCCTCCGGGCTGAGCAGGACGTGCTTGGGGACCAGTTCGTGGCGGGTGATGTTGACGAGCAGATCCTGTTCCTGGAAGTGCTCACAGATGCGGCCAGGGACGCCGGAAAGCAGGCGCACGGCAGAGGGCGAGATCGGGGTCTGCGTGATGAAGATACCGGTGTGGAAGTTGTTCTCATCGACAAGGTGGTTGAAGGCGCGCACTTGCTTTGTTCCGACAGCCGAGGAGTCGGGGCAGAAGTCGACGTAGATTGTACCGCAGTCTGGCTGGGGGTTTGGATTAGCTTTGCTGGGAAGAGCTGTGTACTTCAATTTCATGGTATCGGTGGGGCGGGCTTGGATTTTCATCTTGGTGCGACTGTTGTTGCGGAACAGTTTGTTAGTGATGTGTTTTCAATGATGTGTGTCCGCGTTGCTTAGTTTTAAGTTTTCACTATCCGGAGACAATAGAATGGTGGGCGCGAGGATTTAACATACTCAGGGTAGCCCAGAGGGTCAGCATATTTTGCGCGGAAGTCTTCTAGCGGGAGTACCAGCTCGTTGTCAGACACTTCGTAGCCCTGGTGTGTCGCCGATGGTTAGCCTTAGGTAAATGGGAATTATGAGAGAGACACTGAGAAATCAGGGACTCGATCTGAAGTGCCTACCCGGTCAGCGAGCAGTTCATAGACTGTTCTAAAGGTGCGCCAGAGCCGAGTCATCTCGCGCTCGGCCTCCATGGAGTGTACCGAATCTCCATCCATAATGGAGTGCGTATTCAATGATTAGGATAGAAAAGTAAATAAGATTTTATCTCGTCAAGAGGCTTTTTAAAAGAAAAAAAACGGATAGTAAGAGCTCCGGTGGAGAGATAAAGGTGAAGTCGAAAAATCGGCGGGAACTTTCTGCCAGCGACGCTTAAGCGGAGAAACCGACCGAACCATTTTAATTATTCCCCAAGTTTCCCCTTTTCAGTTTCGCTTTGGTCTCGTTGGTCTATTTAATTAATCCTTTCAGGATCCCAAGAAGGCAATTCGTCTCTTCCTTCTATCTGTCTCTCTTTTACATTCAATTCGTCGCAATGGCTGCCACTGATGCGGAGCGGGTTAAGCCCACCAAGCCCGATGAGGCCGCCTACAAGACCAGTCTCGCTGAGGCCGAGAAGGAGCACACTGCTGCTCAGGAGAAATTGGTATGGATGCATCTTTTTTGGAATTGTTTCACTGAGCTCTCATCTGACTTGGGTCGCGGGGATGATCCCCGACCCACTCTGTTGATTGTCCTCGTGTTCATTATTTACTTGCATACCATCTCCTCGGGCCAATGACTGATATGCGCAACAGAACCAAATCAAGTCCAAGTTGGACAACGCCAAGCCTAACAACCAGGATTCGCCCACCGTTAAGAGGCAGCAGGAGCTGCGCGCCGAACTCTCGTCCATTCGCCAGAAGCAGTCCGGCTTCAAGTCCAGCCGGTCCTCCATCCAGGAGAAGCTCAACGCCTTGGACGCCAACCTCAAGGCCCGCATTACCGAACAGAACAACTCCCGCGGACGTCTGTCATTCAAGAGCGTCGAGGAGATCGACAAGGAGATCACTCGTCTCGAGAAGCAGGTCGACACCGGTACCCTCCGCCTGGTGGATGAGCGCAAGGCTCTCACCGAGGTCTCCAACCTGCGCAAGCAGCGCAAGAGCTTCGCTGGCCTGGATGAGGCTCAGAAGGGCATCAACGACATCAAGACACAGATCTCCGAATTGCGCAAGACCCTCGACAACCCGGAGGCCAAGGCCCTGAGCGACAAGTACGCCGAGATCCAGAAGGAGCTCGATGCCATCAAGGCCGAGCAGGATGGTGTCTTCAAGAACCTGAACGCTTTGCGTGATGAGCGCACCAAGCTGCGCAACGAGCAGCAGGAAAAGTATACTGCTATCCGCACCATTAAGGACACCTACTTCAAGGCCCGTCGCGCCTACAAGGAGTACGAGGACGAGGCCTGGCGTGTGCGCCGCGAGCGCCAGAAGGCTGAGCACGAGGCATTCGCACGCGAGAAGCGCAAGAAGATCGCTGATAAGAAGCTCGAGGAGGCCTCGCAGCTTGCCTACGCCGACGAGATTCTGACCGCACAGGGTCTGATCCGTCACTTTGACCCCTCTTATGACTTCTCTTCCCTCGGTCTGGACGAGAAGAAGGACGAGGGCAGCAACTTCCGTGCCGGAGTTGGCCGCACTGTTGAAGCCGCTGAGATCAAGGGAATGAAGGTTGTGAGCAAGAAGGACGAGGAGGACTACTTCGTTGGTTCCGGTGGCAAGAAGGGTAAGAAGGGCGGCAAGAAGGGTGGTGCCGCCGCCAGTGTTGAGAGCACCAAGTTCAACATGAACGTTGGCATCATTGAGGACTTCGCCAAGGTCAAGATCGACCCCCCTATGAATCAGTCGGATGTCCCCGCCTCTGTGGAGAAGCTCGCTGCCAAGATCACGGAATGGAAGAAAAACCAGGCGAGCAAGACGGAAGAAGTAAGTTTTATTCTTTCCAAGGTTGTCGGTTGTGATCAGTTGCTAATTACTTCCACAGAACATTAAGAAGGCCCAGGAAGAGATTACCCGCATCGAAGAGGAGGAGACCAAGGCCGCCAGCGTCCCTCAGACAAACGGCCGTGCCACCGATGCTGCCAAGAAGCCCGCCCAAGAGAACGGTGCTCCATCAGCCGAGGCTCAGCAGGCTCAGGAGCAGGATTCCGTGGCCGACGTTGAGGATGAGCTCAAGAAGGCCTCGATCGAGGAGAAGGCATAGATTCGAGGAGGATGTTTCCCGTCCATGCCCAGTGCGTCAACTCATACATCAAGTCTAGCGTTTGTCTAGCATTCTCTCTGCGGCTATTTTTTTATCATTTTTTTTGGTTGTTATGATCCTTGCATATGCATTATCTTATAAAAGCATTCTTATCCATCATTACAAGATGTAAACTAGCATCATCAATCAATAAAGAATAAATCATAATACGTACATAACACATAACACATAAAAAGGGTATCGCATCCCAACCTCCAAAGAAACAAACATCAACCCCCAAATCACCGCCGACTACTATAATCACTTCCCCCACCATAAGCCATAGGATCAACATGCCTAACCCCACCCCGTCTAGACCTCCTCGGCGGACGTGGCGAAACATCAGAAGGAACACTCGACTCCTCCTCCTCAACCTCAATAACATCCTCATCCCCAGTAGTCGAAGTAGCCAGCGACTCCTCAACAACAACACGATCATGTCTCGACGACGGCCGACGCCGATAACTATCCCGGAAACTCTCCCGTTCCTCCGCGACCTCGATGACGTCGCGTCGTCTCCGTCCAGCAGATGAGCCGCGGCGACTGCGCACATCCACGATCTCTTCTTCGTCCATTGACATCGACGTCGAGATCGAGGAGGACGTTGGCGCTGCTACCCCGCCTCGCGCGACGCCGCCTGGGTTCACCGCCAGGAAGAGTACGTACATTAGCAGGACGAAGCCTGCTACGCTGCCCAGTACGATTCCCACTACTGTGCCGGCGGCTGGGCTTGTATGGAGGCGGCCGTAGGTTGAGGGGATTGAGATTGTTGTGTAGCGTTTTTGGAGGGCGCTGTCGGTGTATAGGAGGTTTGGGTTTAGGTCTCTTTGGTTGAGGTTGGGTTTGGTTGGGTCTAGGTCGAGGACCTCGAGGGGGTGGGATGACATTGTGTCTGATTATTTCGTTATTGGTTGTCGGAGTGCGTATATTTTGAGATTATTGTGCGAGGGTTTGGGTATTTCGATTCGAGCGAATAGATGATTTGAGGTCAGCTTGCGAGCTGATGTGCACTTGTGGGGTTTGGTCGCATATACGCTGTCAGAGTGGGTTTTGTTGGGATTATATAATTATAGTGATTAGATTGAGAAGCGTAAGGAAATAAGAGAGATACAAGCAATTGTCCAAGCAAATGTGACACCAAAAACAGAAGAGAGGAGGTTGGGGGTGGTGGTAGTGGTGGCTGGGATCTGCGGAGAAGTGGAGATGACCTGGGAAGCCCTAGTTTTTGATAATTCGGACATTTGTTTTATGATATTGGGAACATTATATTCAAAATGACACTACGGAGTACAATACTTTGACTTATTCTCATTGTATCGTATTCTCTAAACTATTTACCTATCTACTTCCCATTAAACACCTAATAAACCCCCTTCCGCTTATTATACTTAGGCTGTTCCACCGACTCAACCTTCAGCGCCGTCAGAACAGGAGTAGTATGAATCAAGTCCAAACCATCCAACTTAGCACCATCGGATTCAAACACCCACAGACTCAACCCCAAATAGTTGGTGCCCCGGTAGTTGAGAATACCCTCGGGAACAGGGAAACTGGTCTGGGGACCAATATTGTTCACATATTTGGCGTACTGGTACCCATTGACATAAAGCTGGACACGGTAAGCAGCCGGCGACGTGGTGTTCCCAAAGTTAAAATATAGAGGAACATCCCAGCCCTTCTCAATATTCAGATCAAAGCTTGCACTGTAGAAATTGATTCCAGGCGCCGACAGGCCATCGAAGGGACTGGCAGATTTCCAGTTCTGGCTCGGCGGCTGGGGCTGGTGGAAACCCTGACGCTCGGCGTAGAGACCACCCTCATTGAGCGGGCCACGCACTTTATCCAGGTAATCCTCGCCGCCTAGGTTGCCCGTCAATTTCCAGGTGATGTCACCCGCAGCTCGGCCGGATAGCTCGTAGTTGAGGATACCACGGGGGTTCTTCATCTGGTCTTCGCCGACGATCCAGTTTTCGTTCAGACCCATGTTATCCACGACTACGGTGAACACGTACGACTTGCCCTTCTTCAAGGTTGGGAGTGTGTAGGTTCCATTGTGGTCGGCGTCGATGGAAATTCCGCCCCATGATCCTATGTGCTTTTCGTTCAGCCATACAGCGCTTCCAAATGCACTGCCACCTTGAGTCTGTACGAAGAAAGTCTTCTCGTTGCCAGTTGCGACGAAGTGGCCACGGAAGAGGAGGGTCCCCGTGTGGAAGCCGTAGTCAGAAGAGAAAAGCGAGGTTGGGGTCTTAAGTTTATGGATGCTGTTCTGGGTGGGTTGGTCTGCGGAAACCCATGCGGAGTCATCGTACGAGTCCTTGATCTCGGGTAGAGTATCAATAGACTTCCACTTCAGACTCTTCAGAGTCGGAAGCTCGATCTTTGGGGCTGTGTAAGAAACGCTGCTTGACCAGATTCCGTTCTTGTCAACCTTGACCTGTGCTTTCTTGCCGTTGATGACTAGATTCTTGGCCTTGGGCGGAGCGCCAATCACCTCAATCGGTGTTGTGGCGTTGAAATCAGCAGTGAGATGAAGGTCACTGCCTTGCACATAAGCAGTCCGGACGAGGTAGCCGGCCTTGACGATGAGAGATGAGGCGGTGACTTTTTGGGAGCTATAGCCAGGGCTTGTTCCCGTGGTTGGGAGCTGAGGGACCCAGTAGTTGTAGGCAGAGTTCCGGTCTGGTAGTCTAGTTAGTTACGATGAAACAAGGTGGTATTTGAGAAGACACTTACCCAAAAGAACAATCTGCAAATCACCCAGTTGCACGATACGACGAGTGGTGGATACATCCCAGCCAATAACAACCGCCTTACCCACCTGCTTGGTGGTGATACTCGACGATGACCCTTCAATAACCGAGGCCTTTGACTTGGAAGATACAGCCAGCTCGTGGTGCTCACCAGGGCCACCGTACAACACAAGAACCTTGGATTTACCAGTCTTCGCCCAGGTAAACACCTCAGCAGAAGAGTAGAGGATGTTTGTGCCAGCCACATCATAATCAACGACATGAATCTTGGAATCACGGCCGCTTAGAGTAAGGCTTCCACCAAGCTGAGGAATAGTCACTTTACCGACGCTAGTAGGAACCTTGAGCTTATAGTCGACGGACGCTCGACTCGAGTAGTCAGAGTGTCGGACGACGAAGAAGGAAGACGCCGTGCTGTTGCCTCCGAGCAGGGGGGTTACGGCCAGATCAGACGAGGTGGTGTACTTGGAAGTGGTCAAGCTTCCTGGTGTTGACACAAGGTAGGCCGGTGACACTCTGGCAAAGTTGCCAATCAGCTTTAGCTCACTGTACTTCTCGCGGGTGATGTTGCGAGATTCAGTAATCGGGGAACCATAATCATAGGATGTGTATCCACCGGGGTGACCCAGGTTGCCCCAATTGGTACCACCAAAGATCTACCAGTGAAATATTAGCATTGATAAGCATGATGGGTAAGCTCGAACATACCATGTACAGGTTGAAGAATGCAACTCGGAAGCTGAGATTGTTCTTATAGAACACTCTCTCGAATTCATGGTTCAGGAGGGCAGCACACTTCGTGAACCCGACACCTCCCCAAGGATCGAAAGCACCGCCTTGGAACTATACTCCAGTTAGATTGATAATCCACCTAGGAGGTCTCCATCTATCTTACCTCAATCAGAGAGTATGGGGTTGAGGGACTCTGTTTCATGTGTGTGGTATAGAAATTAGTAGGCAGATCACCCTCTGGCCAGGTAGCAGGGTTTGCGCAGTCAAAGCCGAGAGGGTAACCATCATGGCCGTAGATATCTACAGCCCCCTCACCAGTTCCAGGGGCATTGTGGCCGCCAGGCGAGGCATCATTGCTAATAAGAGGCACGACAATTCCAGCCTTGCGAGCCTGGTCCTCCACGTATTGCATATAACCTCCGTCTGGGAAATCGTTGTATCCACAACACGCGCCACTATATTCGTTCTCGGGTTGGTAAAGAATGATAGGTCCTCCATTGGTGATTTGACCCTTGGCCATGGTTGCGGCAACATGGGCAATGTAGCTGGTTTACGATGTCAGTACTCACGGTGCTTCCAATTTTGCATTTTGGCTGGGTCACGTACTTATCCGTTGCCTTCAGGTAGGCCTCGTCACTAGTTCGCAGAGTTCCATTCACACGCTGAAGCCATCCTGGAAAACCACCACCTGACGCTTCAGCATTGATGTAAGGTCCAGGGCGGGCCAGAAGATAGATGCCGGCCTCTTTGGCGGCGTCGAAGAATGGCTCCAGGGCAAAAATTCCCTCGGCAGTATACTCACCCGGCTTACCTTCCAGCAGAGCCCAGTCGATATAGAAAGAAACGCAGTTGAATCCTAAAGCCTTGACTTTTTGGAGCACATCAATCCACAAAGATGGAACAGGCAAACTGCAAGGATCTTGATCAGTATGACCCATCTGACCCTTTCTTAAAAGAGCTAATTGATGCCTCTTAACTTACCGATATGGGTGAATTTCACCACTAAAGAGCATGAGCCTCTCGCCATTGACAAAGAGAGACTTGTCATCCCAAGTGACCTATACAATATACTTGTCAACGCAAAGCATCAAACCCCAAGAACCCAACCCCAACATACATATTTCTGCAGCAAATCCCGCTTAACAGGATCCGGGTGTTCATTGAAAGTAAATCCATTCACCGAATGGCTAATAGCAGCACCAGCGGCCTGGGCCGCCAGACAGGCAAGGGCCAAAGAAGACGAGAACTTCATGGCTGTCTTGACAGTTCACACAGGGGTGAAGCGGGGTGCTAGGGAGGGAGGAAGAAGCACTTGGATTCAAGTCCAATTTCCTTGCAATGCAGGGGTTGCGCCATTCATATAGTGCACAGAGACTCGGGATAGCATTGACACTAATGGATGTAGCATGCAATTCCTATACTACTGTAGCAATGACCTCTTGCCATACCTTTCGTCATTTCTCTCAATTGAGGGGTGCCCCGGATGCTCCGCATGCTCATGCAGACAGGGTCAAGGATCTACTACGGCGTGGATTTGCGGCCATACTGAGGGGTTGGGGGATATTGTTGAAGAGGTGACAGAGCGGTATTCTAATTGTAATAGTGGTCTTCTCACATAAAACGAAATAAGAGAGTGTTCCTATGGTTTTAACTAAGAATGTGAACCTGTTGTATACTATATAAGAAGCACATCCTACAGCTTGCAGGCAAACTAGCTCAAGACAATGAATTCCAAGACATGCAACGTAGGAAACATGAATAGTTAACTAGTTAGTTAGTTATAACTAACTACGGAGGTCCATTGCAAAAGTTCTGTCCCATCTCTATATTTGCTTTTTTAGATGAAACAGCTAGTATGTTTTGGTCCTGTATCGTACCTTTGCTATTACCCCTCCCCCTAATCTAATCTATTCTCTTCTCTTCTCTTCTCTTCTCTTCTCTTTAACCTGCCTAGTTATATACTACCTGCCTGCCTACCTGCCTGCCTACCTGCCTGCCTACCTGCCTGCCGGCCTGCCTACCTACCTGCCTACCTACCTGCCTGCCGGCCTGCCTGCCTGCCTGCCTGCCTGCCTGCCTGCCTGCCTGCCTGCCTGCCTGCCTGCCTGCCTGCCGGCCTGCCTGCCTGCCTGCCTGCCTGCCTACCTGCCTGCCGGCCTGCCTACCTACCTGCCTACCTACCTGCCTGCCGGCCTGCCTGCCTGCCTGCCTGCCTGCCTGCCTGCCTGCCTGCCTGCCATGGGCCACGATATTGCAAAGCGCTCAGTTGTAGTAGCTTGTAAAGCCGCTAGTATTAGCTCCGCTATAATTACAGAGATTGTGGGCTTTTCGAAACGTTCGGTTGACCGTACCTATGAAAAAGCTCTTAATAAGGGCTTTGATCCTAGCTTACGTCCCTAGAATATCTCTGATGATATGCTTACTGACGCCCCTCGCTCTAGGCGCCCGAAGAAGCAGTCGTTAGAAATGGAAGATCGGGTGCTTACGAAAGTACGTCTTGATCGGTATAGGCGAGAAAAGACCTGTGCTGATATAGCTAGAGAGATTAGCCTAGAAGGGATTGAGATCTCTTCTACTATAATCTGGCGGATCTTAAAGAAAGCTGGATTACGAAAGACGAAGCCTACGCGGAAGCCTAGTTTAACTAAGGCTATGCGTAAAGCTAGGCTAGCTTAGTGTCTTGAACATCGGGATTGGACTTTGGAAGATTAGAAGAATGTTATTTGGACTAATGAAACCTCTATTATATTACTTTACCGGCGTGGAGGATATCGAATCTAGCGTTCTAAAGATAAACGATTTCTTCGAAGTTGTATTCGAGAACGGTGGAAGGGTTGTTCTAAATTTATATTTTAGGGTAGCTTTTCTTATGATAAGAAGGGTCCTTATTATTATTAGAAGCCGGAAACTGCTACTAAGAAGCGTAAATCTAATGTCTTAATTAACGCTTAGAACGCTAAGCTTAAACCGGTTCTTCGTGCTAATTAGGAGCTATAATCTGGTATACGAAGACTAGGATTAAGGCAACTTCCCGGTATAAAACCGAAGTAGAAGTGGAATACGAAGAATAGGAAGCTCTCTCGATCTAAATCGAAAGGCGGAATCGATTAGTTTCGATATCATATAAATATCCTCCTCCCAAGGCTTTTACCTTTTGCCTCTAAATGTTTAGAACTACGGCTAGATACAATTGTGTAAGAGGATAAAGCTCCTTCTCACTAGCATCATTTCCAACAAAAAATCTTTAATATTTCAGGTGTTAAACGCCTACTTTGGCCTAGCAATTCACCCGATCTAAATATGATAGAGCCGGCGTGGTTTTGGTTGAAGCGGTATACTACGAAGAAGGGTGCACCGAAGTCAAGAACTAAAGCTATTAAGGCCTGGGAGAAAGCATGGGATGAATTGCCTCAGCAGCAGATACAGGCTTGGATCGAGAGAATACCCTATCATATTGAAAGGATTATTGCTCTCGAAGGTGGTAATGAATATAAAGAAGGGAGGGGGTAGGTAGTTTACATAGTTAGTTATGCTGTAACTAAATGACAACTATTTAAAACCACCTTACTATATTAGGCCTAATTGCATACTAGCGTAAAAAAAGTTGAGACAGAACTTTTGGGATGGACCTCCGTAGTTATACCACGGATATTCAGCCTAAACACCCCAGTCATTATGGCCGCAAGCCCTTACTCTGTCTATTGTCCACCCGACGGACCGAAGATCGTCAGTTTTCCTTGCGGGGCCTTTTTTTTCCACATATCAGATGGCAGGAGATTTGTCGATGTGATCTTTTCCTTTCTTGTATACATAGCTGTTCGTTGGATATCAACACGATGTATAAAGCTATACGGAGGATGAATCTAAACAGGAGAGATAATCGTACCACTTTGCCAAGGTCAATAGCAGCAACTATATCAGACCAAGATTTAATGGCTCCATTTTAATCAACTCGAACTTGAAACGAAGCAATTCTCCTGCGGGGAAGATGTGGAGATCCTGAATTCAGTCGGTGTATATTGTTCATAATATCAATAATCCTACCGACGTTTCTCCGTTGCAGATCACTCTGGAATTTACGGAGTAGGAAGGACCGAAACAAAGGTACGGAATTCATCATATTGGCTTTTTTTTTTTTGATACAGCATAGAAATCTCCATAATAGGAGCATGTAAAAAAAAACAGAACCATTTACACGGTGGTGTTGAAGCGATCCTCCTCATCGCCATCCTTGGTGTATGTTTCACGATCATCCACGTCGTCCTGCGCTTCCTGTCCAACCTCAGCATTCTCCTCCTTGAGTGCAATGTCCTCAGCCTCAGCGGTCGGCTCGGTCTGGCCACCCTGCTTCTGTGTGGTGTTGATCAGGGGGGTGGAGTCGTTGAAAACACGCAGCAACATGGCACGGCGCTCTTCCTTGGGAAGCATGAGGTTCAAGGAATGGAGAGATCGCCACAAGGGCAGGACCATAGCCTCACTATAGATTATGTTAGTAAGATGCAAATATAACTCGAAGGGAATATATATATGAAATGGGATAAAAACTTACGGAAGACCATCTTCTTCACCGGTCGCTTGGACGCGAAGAATACTGCATCCCATGGGGATATCTTTCACTTGCTCACCAATCTCGCCCAGAGCCTTCCAGCCATCGTCAGTGACCTTGGGGAACATCTCCACAAGGAGACGACGGAGAGTCTCCCGCTTGGTCAGGACGACGGACCGTTCAGGGCCCAGCCAAGGCTCGACGATCTTCAGGCCGTCAGTCTGGACACGCCATCTGCAGACGTTCTCACGCTGTGCGTCCTGCTTAACGAACATCTTAACACCGCAGTGGACGAACTTCAAGCCCTGGCCTTCATTGGAGGTGAGAATGTCACGTCCCAAGGCACTGGTGTAGTAAACTGTGCGGGTGGGGAGACCTTCGGCATTGCGGACCATGAAACGGTCACGGGGGAATCGTTCGGACAACTTGTAGAATTCATAGATGGGAAGAAGCTCCTCGTGGTTGGGATCGAGGTACTTGAACGGCTCCTCTTGACGGGGACCTCTCTTCTTGAAAGGCTGTGCGGTAGCCGCAGCGGTGGCAGGTGTGCTCTCACCAGGTGTATCAATGCCAGTTCCCACTGCAGGCGCAGGGGCGTGCACAGGGCGGTCACCGACAAGGACCTCGCTACCATCGTGGAGCTTAGTCCTCTTAGTAGGAAGTTCATCTTCGAGGTCATCTGCATCCCGCTTCATGGGAGAGGCAGGGGCTGGTGCATCAAGAGTAGCAGAGTACGGAAGTTGGTGGACAGCCTCGGCAACAGAAGCATTCTTTGCGAGTTCTTCCTGCGCCTCTTGGTCGGGAGTGACCAATTCATCCAGCGACTCGAGCTTCTCAAGAGGCTTTCCATCTACCTCGTTCTTCTTGGAATCCAGCTCTGCGGCGAGAGCTGCAACGGAAGCCTTGGGGATAACGTTGCTGCTCTCCGGTTTGGCCTTGATTTCGGAGGTCTTCTCAAGGACTGTGATAAAGAAACCGCCAGTGTCTTGCTGGTGAGGGTAGACACGCATGCATCGGTCAAGCGACAGGTTGGCAGCCTCGCCTGTCGGGGCGAACATGCCCTCTGCAAGTCTGGCAAGACCATTGATTCCCTCCTGGTCTCGGTGGTCCTCAACCTCCTGCCAGTTATTCCACATGCGGCCCTCTCGGTCCATCACCTTCCAGTCGCGCAGACCGGAAGATCTCTTGAGGCCGGGCAACTCCTGGCTGCAATCGATGATCTTAACGTTGGCAGCGCCACCACAGCGTTCAACTGCAGAGGCAACAACAGCCTCGTTCTCCACAGGGTTCAGACTGCAGGTTGAGTAAACGACACGTCCGCCGACCTTCAGCATTTGCAGGGCGCGAACCAGGATCCGAGACTGCGTGCTGTGAAGTCCCAAAGCATTGCCAGGGGTCCAGTCCTTCCAGACACCGACATTCTTGCGTGCGGTACCATCACCAGAGCAAGGAACGTCTGCCAGGATGCGGTCGAACTTCAAGTATCTGTTCCTGGGCTTGCTGCCATCGGTAGTGGGCAGGGGAGGCAGCTTGATGGAAGGGAACATTGTGGCATCGTGGTTGGTAACGATCAGGTTTGGTGAGCTCAGGCGCTTCATCTGGTGAATAAGCATGTGAGCGCGCTTGTAGTCGCTGTCGTTGGCAATCAGCAGGCCGGTGGTTCGGCCGTCGTCGTTCAGTCCTTCGGGGCCGAGGGGTTCGGGTCCAGCAGTGCCGCTCTTAATCTGTTCAGTGACTTGCGTAATGGAATCTTCCTCGCCTGCGTGAAGCAGTTCCATGAGCTGCGCAGACTTGCTGCCCGGCGCAGCGCACATATCCAACACAGTCATTCCAGGTCTAGCGTCGATGAGGAGAGGGGGGATCATGCTGACAACTTCCTGGCGAGAGATGTTTCCGACGTCGGTCTCGGCGACGAGGAACTTCTGGAACTGGGAAAAAGGCGCGAATCGACGGATAACATTCTTAGGAGTGGCCATGGACCAAGCGAGCTGATCGGGGTACCATGAAACTGGGCGCGGGGGCTCGACGAATTCGCCCTCGTATTTGATAGAAGTGATTTCGGGGATGTGGTGGTCCTTTAGACGCTGTTGAACAGCCAGCGCATGTCTAACAGAAGGCACACAACCGTCAGTATTACTTGAAACCTTCCAAGGCGCGAATCGCAAAAAAAGGTGCAGTTATGACATACCCTCTAGAACCGGTGAAGCGGAAGCTGTTGGGGAGATCCTTGCGCATTGCTGCCCAGAAAATCTCATTTTCCTCCTCCGGAAGGAACTCGGGTTCATTGTAGTAGCGTTCGAACTTCTCGTTCTCTCTGGTGAGATCTTGCCATTGAGAGCGTGTACGGCCTGCGCCGCCGCCGCCGCCGCCGCGGCCTTTACCACCCTGCAAGAAAGGAGACACGGTCAGTACAACAAACACCTCATATAGCACGTATGAAAGATGAAATTACCTTTTTGCCGCCACGTTTTCCCATTGTTATGATGTGGTAAGAGTTATAGGAAAGTGTACTCAAACAAAATTGCCTTCAAAAAATCTCCCGATCAAACGCGGGATGGTTACGTAATCACCGAATCGACCACTGCAGGTGGGCAGAGTCGAAACATGATCCTCAATTCCAGAGTGGGCATATCAACGAGGTATTGTCTGGTGCTGGGGTCGTGTCTTTGCAATGGGTACCGACGAAGTCCTTCAGTTATAGCCTGCGGTCCTGGTGTTGGGAACGGTGGATTGGTCCATTTGAAATCGATGTAGTCCGCTGACATCTCCGCGAGCCACCTGTCGACTCGAAAAGAGAACCTTCCGGTTTCTATTGTGCTGAAGAACTTGACTGAAGATACCTCTTGTCTTGTGTTCATCCAGAGTATTCTGAATCGCTCGATGGCTGTCGTGTCAAACGGATCGATCAACTGTGTTGGCTCGTCACCGTTGCCAAAGAGGCCCAACTCCCGAGCTTGCTCGTTGGTAGCCCGGATACAGACGGTGTGCAGGGAGATAATGCATGTCTTCAGTGCACAAAGTACTTCCCATACCAATGACTTTGGGATATCGGGCCTACGACGAAACCGCAAAAAGGGTGGACGACGTCCGCGCTGATAGAAACCTTTTTGCATAGAATTGGAACTTTGATCAAGTCGAGCAGGTCATCCTCCAGTCTGTGTCTTTGTGCATCTGTGATAATCTCAGGGGCATTGAAGTGAATAATGTCGGTAGACTTCCACCACCACCGAGCGTCTGTCATGCAACCCGGCACAACAGAAGCACCTGTGGGGAGCTTGAATTTGGCTAAAGCAATCTGGCGAGATTCCCAACAGACATGAGCAATGACTGGATACTTCCTGTTGAGGATCCATGCTTGTCTGAGGTCTTCCTCTGGTAAGATATCTGGGTCGCAAGGTTCTCCAATCTCAACGACTCGCCCTGGAACGGCAAACTCCCAGATCAGCTGGCGCAACTCGGCTGGCAGGGTGGAGAATCGCTCCATGATGAGGGAAATTTGGTCACTGGAATACCAATATCAGTTAGAAGAGAACAGTACAGAGAAGCAGTGATGCAAAAAAATCACCAAATGAAGGTATTAAGGCCACATACAAGAGTATACGAATTGAACCGAATCAGAGGAGATGTCAATCGTCGAAGTGAAGTACCTAGATGAGTACTTGAGAGTTTGAAGTTTCAATCAGGCTAGCAGAGAGCAAGCGTAAGGTAAACAATGGATTCGGAGAACTATAAGATGGAGGAAACTCGAAGACTCGGGTTTTTATGTGTCTGTGGAAGGCACCGATGAGGGTGAAGCACACTAGGCAGTAGAGGAAAGTACGACGGCATCGGCGACGGCAATACGCTAGGAAAGAACAACCTCGCAGTGCATTGGAAGATATAGAACAAACAAAGGAGATAATTGGTATGTTTGCTGCAAAGGCAGCAAACTATATAGTCTACTATGGCAAACCATTAATTGTTATTTCACACACGAATTTGGGATCTAACAGCCCAAGGCAATGATTGATAGTACATTCAAATCAAAGCCGCCAAAACTCCAGTTTTCCTGGATTCAGCAGCTATCTTCACACGCGATCATATTCTAGGACAACTTAAGAGATCATGCGGGACATGTCTCCACGGATGCGCTGGTAGTCGAGGATACCCTCGATGCTGCCGACAGCGCTCATGGCGAGGTCCTGATCCCACAGCTTGCGGGTAGCGAAGTCCATGACGTCCTTCTCGGTGATCTGGCTGACAGTACGCTCAACATCCTCAGCGCTCAGGCGGCGACCAGTGGTGATGATCTGGCGGCCAATGTCCTCAGCGACGGCGGTGGTGCCATCGAGAGACAGGAGGATGGAAGCCTTAAGCTGAGCCTTGGCACGCTCAACCTCGGCGGAGGTGACGCTGTTGCACAGGCGAGACCACTCGCGGAGAGTGAAGTGGATCAGGTCATCGAGCTGAGTGAGGTTTTCGCTGACAAGGTAGATACCCCAGAGACTAATATCAAGTCAGCATATTTTCGATCAAAGCACATGGATTATCAAGAAACAAGACTTACCCAGTGTCGCTGTAGCTGGTGGAGAAGCTCATGAAGCTGTTAGCGAGGTTGTGGTGGCTGACGTGGGAGCTGAGCTTGCTGCCGAGGAAGGGCGACTGGCCCATGGCACGGTCCCAGTTACCGACAATGGCCTGGGTGACCAGAGCGGTGAAGTAGTCATCATCCTTCCAGCTGACACCCTCGACGGCGAGAGCGATGTGAGCGGAGGGGATGGTGTCGTCGCGGAGACGGACCTCGGAACCGATGAACTCGGGAGTGCGCTTCTGCTCGGCAGTAAGGGCAAGGGCAGCGGAGGTAGGGGGCTTGCTGGGGAGACCACCGAAGTGCTCCTCGGCGAGTCTGACGAGCTGCTGGTGGGGAATGCCACCGGCACCGACCAGGACCATGCGGTCAGCAGTGTAGTTGGTCTTGATGTAGTCGGTCAGGTTGTCCCGGGTGATGGTCTGGATGTTCTCCTTGGGGCCGAGGATGGTGCGGCCAAGGGGCTGGGCCTGGTAAGCGGTGGCGTGAAGGTGGTCGAAGACAACCTCCTCGAGCTGCTTGTCGACCTCCTCCTGCTCGCGCAGAATCACATCACGCTCACGCTCAATGGCACCAACCTCGAGCTTGGAGTTCTGAAGGATATCGGCGAGGATGTCGACGGCCTTGGGGACATCGTTGTTAAAGGCCTTGGCATAGTAGACAGTGTTTTCCCTCTGTAGTCGCGATCAGTATTTGTTTTGGTAGACGTTGATGGACGGATTCCCGGGTCGTACCGAAGTGTAGGCGTTAAGGTGAGCGCCCATGTTCTCGATTTCAAGCTCCAATTGGTGCTGGGAGCGCTTGTTGGTGCCCTAGTGATATTTATCAGATAAAAGCGCTTCGTAGTCTGGGGTTTCTGGGGTCGCACCTTGAAGGCAAGGTGCTCAAGGAAGTGTGCAGTTCCGTTGGTCTTGTCAGTCTCTGCCCGGCTACCGGCATCGATCCACACGCCGACCGTCGAGGTTTGGGCCCATGGCGAGTGATCAGTGGCGATCTAGGATGGAGTTAGCTAAATTGCGATGTCATTGAGATGAGTTGCTTGGTCGTACAGTGAATCCGTTGGAGAGGGTGGTAGACTGGGTGGTGGACGGCAACGCAACCGGCGACGCAAAGCCACGCTTCACGGGCTGGATGGACTTCAGGGCCGCACGAGTGCGGAGAGCCTGGTTTAGGTTGAAAGCGAGGCGCCGAGAAGCCATTGAGAACGACTTGTATAGGTGGAGGGGGAGGGAAAGGGGGAGAGATGGAGAAAAGAGCTGATGGAGACACCCTGAGGTTGAGGTTCCGAAGTCTGAAATTGTTCGCCCAGCTCAGCCAATTACATAACCCGCTTTTCCAAACCGCCCTTGACATCCCGAATACTTCCTTACTCTGCATTACTTCGTGATGTAGACTTGAATACAGTCTCAATGGGTCTAAATGGGTCTATATATTGTTTTTATCGATCCTTACGATGTGAAAATACGATTTGCTTGATGTTGAGGTACCCCGATACGCCTTGTTCTCCGATCATCCAATTTTGGTCATCCAATTTCGTGCCTATTGATTGGCTACATACCCTGCGTCTCATACAAAGCGGCTTGCAAAATGTCTAATGTTCTCCTCCATCGAAATATCTGCGGCAAAGCCCAACTTGAAAGCACGAGCAGTATCAAAACGAGGAGTCCATGATTGCACAATCTTGTCGGTAGCAGCATCATACTTCTCCTCCACAAGATCCCGACGCTCCTTACCACCAACTTCCAGCAAAGCATCCAACATCTGCTGAATACTAACCTTTAACCCAGGAAGATTAACAGATCTTGAGTCTCCAAATGCCTCTTTGGGGACGTCGCGCGCATGAATCAAGTTTTTGATGACAGTATGCGGCGAGCAAATCCACATCTCCGTTTCCCTAGCTACAGGCAGAATAGCCTTTTTACCATGGAAGGGCTCACGGATGATATCACTGGCGAAGCTACTGGCAGCCTGGGTGGGCTTGCCCGCTCTTACTGTCACGGTGGGCAGACGCACGCACCGGCCATCCAGAAATCCGCGCCGCGAGTAGTCGTTCAGCAGTGTCTCAATAATGAGTTTCTGCGATCCATATGAGGAAGATGGCACGGCTGGGAAGTTTGTCTCGTCAATGACGAATCCTGGTGGTGCAAGGCCGTAGACTGCCAGTGATGATGTGAAGACCACTTTCGCCCCGGGCATGGTCGCGCGTAGCCGGTCCAGAATGTATCGTGTTGCGTCGAGGTTTACTCGGACGCCCAGCTCAAAGTTGGCCTCCGAGCCGCCGGACATGATACCGTGGAGGATGTAGACTGTCTCGTAAGGATTGGATGCGTTGATCAGCTCGTCGACCTCTTTGGTGGAGGTTAGATCTGCCTTCACACATCTGAGACGACTTGCGTTTTGTGCAGCTGACTCTGGGACCTCGGGTTCAACGATATCGGTGATTGTCACGGTTGTTGTGGCTGGCGTGCTTTCGAGGAGGGAAGCAGCCAGTTCCTGGCCGACATAACCTCCCGCGCCGGTGATGAGAATCGACATGGTGGTTATATGATAAATATATGGTTTGGGTAAGTAGGTCAATTGATCAGATCAATATGGCGATTGGTAAGAGGGTGGTACAACGAAATAAGAGTATATTCCACTATATAGAACGGAAAATGGATGTGTTACCATTATATAGTAACCTAACACACCTTGCGGGGTTGAAGCGGACCTTGTATCTCCCCCACGCTCGTTCAGTCACGACAATTTCCCCATTAGCCAATGGTGTTATTATATCCCACGAATATGACCGCTTAATGCAAATCTCGCGCATCAATTCCGAGTCTTTTCTTGGTGCAAGCCTCGGTGAGAAATCCGATTACCGGGAGGCCCGGCGCAAGTCCGAGAACAGGATTGGGACAGCGAGATGACCTAAGGAACATGTGAGAGACCCGAGAGACCTCTTTTGCCTGTTAGACGATAATAATACTTATCAAAATGTTGCTTCTTTATTCGGGGTGTTCTGGTTCTACTTTATATATCCTCTACGTGGGTCGAGAGAAAACTTCTTGCGGAACAGGCTTGGAAACCTCCGAGCCTGGAAAGTACATCTAAAACAATTGCTCAAATGGTGCCGGCGAAATGTTAGCAAGAATAAAATCGCTTATATTGGCCACTGGTTGCTACCTAGGTACGGATATCATACGCTAACTAGAGCTATCTCATCACCTCAGATCAAGACACTCAGTATGACACATTCCAGCGTGTAAAAATTCATCGAAAAGGAAAACTAAATTTTAAGACGCAGCCAAAAGTACATAGGCGGAAATACCTGTCACAAGAAAGGTGGAAAACATTCGATACATCACAGAACACGAGACGCCGAGGGGAACATCAAAAGGGAATGGACATGACCAGAGACCAGAGATTAAGACCTTTATGCGGCGGTACGCTTGTAGACACCAGCGACAATGCAGTGGTCACGCTCGAAAGGCTCGAGAGTCAGCTGCTCCTTGGGCTTAATCTTCTCCTCACGCATCTTCTGGACCTCCTTAGCGAACACAACCTCGGGCTTGGCTGTGCTGTCAATACAGTTGGCCTTGATGGAGACAATGACACCACCCTCAGCCTTGAGGAACATGTGGGCGTTCAATCCAACAATACGGGCCTGATCGGGCTGGGCAACATCGGCGAAGATGACATCAACCATGGGCACGAGCATACGGTAACGGAGAGGGTGACGGGCATCCTCAACGATAGGGATGACGTTGGTACGGTGAGTGGCCATGCCGATCAGATCACGGCCAGAGCGGTGAGAGAACTCGACGGCGTAGACGTTACCAGTGGGTCCGACAATATCAGCGACGTGAGAAACGGAGGTACCGGAGGCAGCACCAATGTAGAGAACCTTGGAGCCGGGCTTCATGTAGATGTCATCAAGACCACCCAAAACACCAGCAGCCAACTAGAAAAAGGAAGAAAAATGTCAGAAAAAAAGGACTGGATAGCAGGCAGTCATGGCTATCGGGGCGATCTTGAAGAATTCTGGAAAAAAAAAATTCGATAAAACCGGCAACGATGCCATGTATCTTGACCCAGGAGAAGAAGATATTTACCTTAGAACGGAAGGGGTTCCAGACACGGAACTCGTTCTTAGTGACGGTACCATCCTCAGTTGAGGGGCCCTCAACGGAGATGCGCTTCTCGCCGTAGACGGCAGTTCCAGGTGTAAGGTTCTTGGTCACAAGCATGTCCTCCTTACCGCCGCGAGCGACGAAGATACCGGCGTGACGGTGAGGCTCCTATTCGCAGGGAAAAAAAGATTCCGTTAGTGGCTGATATCCATATCCATGAGAATTTCCAACACTTACAATGACAACCTTGGCACCACCACGAGCACCGCCGCCACCGCGGGGAGCACCACGGCCACCACGAGGAGCACCGCGACCACCACGGGGGGGCACCACGGCCACCTCCACGACCGCCACGATCGCCGAAGCCACCACGGCCACCTCCACGGCCACCACGATCGCCGAAGCCACCACGACCACCTCCACGGCCACCACGGTCGCCGAAACCACCTTTACCCAAGTCAGCAAGGTGAACTATATTCTCGCAGCAAGAGAGGATCATGGCCATCGGTGCGATATAATCACCAGCGAGACTTTGGACCTGCATGCTTGCTGCTTCGGATGGACTGGACTGAACAAACCTCGACCACCACCACGGCCACCGCCGCGGTCACCACCAAATCCACCACGTCCACGAGGAGCGAAAGAAGACATTGTATATGTTTTGAGAAATATGACTCGGTTGTAAAGGGAGTCAAAGGGGGAGGGAGGTTAAGCTGTCGTTTCCGAGTGCTTAAACCGGTGTAGTTGAAAATTGGAATAAAAGTTCCGAGAGAGTCGATAAAGATGGAGAAAAAATGGGCAACGTATCTGAGATAGTTGGATCAAGCAATTCAAACAGAATTGGCCGCTGACTATCTGTCGGATGCGGATCGATACCGTTGCTGCTCGTTGATGCGGTCGAGATTTTTTTTGCGCCTTTGGGATCTTTCAGAAAATCAGAACCGCGCTAGGTTGTTTAGGGCTTAGCGTATCCTCCAAGTGAGGACATCACGTGAAGAATTTATTCGACGTAGACGGCACGTGACCGGTTAAGCCCTGTATTGTTTGAGAAGCAAAACTATGCTTGAAAATAGACAAAAGATCCTTGAGTGTTTGGTGGTGGCATTTCAAGGGTTTTGGAAACTGTGATTAAGTGATGGGATCGGTCAAAAAGTATGATTATATCATGCAACCCCGGAAAATGGCGTGCGCTTGCTCCTGCCGTAAAAGCCCTACAGTCCATGAGATGGGACACTACAATCGATGATAATAGAGAATAACAATTGATCATTGGTAATACCAGCTCATGTTTGATCATGGAATAAAATAATAGTAAGAAAGTAAGACAGAGCCCGCCCCGCAAATAGAAAAATGGCATCCTCCAATCGAAGTCCCCTTTCTGTATGTACACAGATAACAAAAGCGACCAATTACTCCCCAAAGAAGTAGTAATTGGCAGCATATGGCATTTCAAATGCAGCTGGCATACCCTTGCAGGTCTTTGGTGGCGATCCAGCAGCAGTGTTGACTCGATAGACACTCTTATAGTTTCCCACCGTGCCGTCGCTAGTAGTGAGGTAGAGCCAAGGCACAGCACCGTACTTCCCTGGTACTGCACCTGGGGGTGCGTCAATTGCACCTCCCTTCTTGGTCATGACAATGCCATCCTGCTGGTTGGGTGTGGTGTTCAAGTTGAACTCGGGGGTTGTTGCATCAAAGAAGAAATGGTGACCCAGCAATTTAAGGTTGGCGGGAGGGAATGAGGCATATTCGTCGGTCGGTAGGGAAATCTTGTAGGCAAGGTTGGGAAGATTTGCCAGGAGATCGGGGAAGTTGGCTGCAATGCATGTGGCATTGTAAAGTCTTGCGACGGCTCCTGTCGCCGCGGGCGTGGATTTGGAAGTAGAGTTGGCACATGTATAGTTCTAGTGCTATAATGAGCGATGGTAACGTAATAAGGTATATCAAGAGCTTGTCATACCTGGGTACCCCGTCCAAGTGCAACGTATTTAGGCTTTAGGCCTGACGGACCGGTCATTCCCGAAGCATAGGAGGGCAGAGCAATCTTAGAGGTTTCGCAAGCCCTTGGACTTTTGTTGTTGTGTTTTGCGGTGTTGATGTACTCGCTCACTTTTCCGTAGAAATCTGCCAGGTCATCGGTCCAGTCGTATGCATCGTCAAGGAAGTTTGTTGGGGCAGCAAGTGATATTGCTGCCAGGCAGATAATGAGAGGAGCAAAACGCATTGCTACTATGTGTTTATGCTAGTAGTAGGTAGAGGTAGAGGGATAGCAAGGATATAAACGTAAACGGGGGGTGAGGGTTTCTTTTTTTAATCAAGGATTGTCCAGCAAGCCTTTGATGTAGGTCGCCTTTGATACAGCTCGGGTATGAACAAAGGAGAGAGAGATAAGCGAGTTGAAGAATGGAATGACGAGGGAGGGATTGACATGATAAAATAATCCGGGGCCGAGGGGCAGGTATACATATAGAAGTGGTAATTGCAACTATCCTGCAATTCAAGCATATATCAAAGATAGTAACACAGGTCGGACTCGAAACAACACTTGTGCTATTAACAGAGCGATCGATGCAACCTGCAGGTACTAGCAGGGATTAAAGCTCGACCACAGGCTGTCATTGGTGGATGGACGCGCCCAGGGCTGACCCTCCCAACCTCTTCGGCTTTTGATTTGTCGTCGACTGCAAACAACTTTTGATTGAATCTTGATAGCGACGCGCTAAGCAAAACAACGGGGTTTCTCTTGGTGGTTCAGTTAGAGAAGATTGAACCGAGCCAATGTGATTAGCTCTATAAATTCCCCGGAGCTATTAATAAATCTGACTGAAGAACAGTGCCATGTGTGTTGGGCGGTTAGATATGCCAGATTATTGCCGTTACCGGCTAGTGTGCAGAGAGACAACGATGCTGGGTCCTAATCCTAGGATTTGTGCTACATGGGTCCCGGCACTTATCAAAGATAGCTTATTCATGTTTCCAATCATGCTATATAGTCCTAAATTTGTGCAATGAACTTATTTACAATATGTCTTTCAATTGTTAGACTGTGGAGGCTGACATAGTGGGGGTTTAGCTTTCCGTTCCGTCTTATTTTTCTTCGACGTTACAGCCTGCTGGCGCGTAGATAACGCCATCTTACACGAAGTTGCTCTGACCGCTTGGTTTATTCTTGTACCTACTAACTATTCAGGTGACTGCTGATATCTGTTTTTATCATCTGTCGGGCATTTTTGTCTATACTAATTTGACGTAACCAAGCCACAGATGAAATATATATATAACTATATATATATATATATATATATACCTGCTAAACCATAATTATCCGATACTAAGGCACCACATCGGAAGCAAAACCTGAAGCAGCACCGATCTGACAGGTACCCTAGTACCCAATTAATACATATGATTACTCAAAATAGAAATTGGCGATGGTCAAGAGAATGTTTTGGTATCTCAAGCATGGTGCCTTACAAAACATCATACATCAGCCACCAAAACCACCTGGGCAAGTGTTATTGCGCAAGTTCCCGCGTTCAATCCGTGGCTCGGCCCTTAATCATTTTTGTCTTCTTGCTTCTCTTTCTTTACTCGTGGCGTTGCTCTACATATATTTCTATTATTATTATATTCTTTCCAATTGACCAATCCAATGGAGTAAGTGTTGACCATGTAACAAAACTTTCAAACTTAAAAGAAGGGGCTTGGGAAAAGTGCCATCCTACCCGAGAGGCAGCATTGGAAGGGTGTAAACGTAGGACCTGGTCTATTTCGGACACACGTTTATAAATGAAACTGCACTAAACCCATTCATGGATGATATCCAACTTGGGAAGGTCCGAAATCCACGTTATCACACTATAACTATTTAGTCACAGACACATGATATTTCAAATTTACACACGATGCAGCTCGAGGCACACCCCAGAATAGTACAACGTCGAGCAACGATCAACCCCGAACACCAGGACTTATGATGAGTCATGAGGAGAAAAAAAAAATAAAAAAAATAAAAAAAAGGAACACCGGAGTTCTTCGCTGGGTAAAAATCAGACAAAACCTTGGAACATTAATTGAAACCTTCCTGCTGCCAGTCATCACCGTGCAGCTGGCCCCCGCTACTCGCGGTGCCTCCGCCCCCACTGTTACTGCCGTATGCAGCAGCAGCAGCACTACCGACGGCGCCCATAGCGCTATGCTTCTCAATCTCCGTCGTGCTCATCATATAGAGCACAGTGAAAAGCAGAAGATGGAGGGCAAAACAGTAACCAGCGAACATGTTCCGACTCGTCCGGTTGGCAAGAATGACTCGAGTGAGAGAGAAGACAATCCGCTCCGGTAGGCTCATGCGTTTGTATGCCCGTGTTGATTCGCGGCCCCGGAACGCGGCAAACGGTGAGATTCGAGCCTCATAGGCGTTCTGGTATCGGTCGAGGGACAGACCTGAAGGCGTATCTGCAGAGGTATAGACTGACGTCGAGCTGGGGGTGTTTGCAAACGATGATGCAGATGTGGAGGCACCCTGACCGCGACTATAGGTCGAGACATAGCGAGTCTTTTCGTAGAGACTCAGGTTGTCCTTTTGAAGTGATGCAACCTCCTGTCGGAGGGACTTGACAGTGGCATATAGCTTTGACAGCTCTTCTTCGAGTTCGGCATTCTTCTTCTTGAAGCGGTCTCGTTGGGCCTGGATCATGGGTAGGAGGCCAGAACCACCGCCAACGGCTTCTCCTGCACGGATGGATTCCATGGTGTTTGCAGACACGGCACTCTGGTCAAAGCCAGAGATGATGGATGAGGTGGGCGATGATGCGCCCCGACGGGCAGAGTGGGGGTATCTTGATGTGTAAGTTCCTGCAACAGACATCGCTGTGGACGGGAATGTATTTGCAGCCTCATCTTGCACGCGAAGAAGGTCATTTTCAAGAGTAGTTGACAGGGTTCGTGACTTTTCCAGCTCTCCCTTCGAAGTCGAAAGCTCAGTCCGTAGTGCTTCGAGCTGCCCCTGGATGTCGCGGTGCGACACTCGTAGAAGGGTGAGATCATCCGTCAATTTCTTGTTCCGGGCCATAAGGAGTTGCTCCAGGGAGTTCTTGTCTTTGGACTTGGCCCCCTCGCCATTGACATCAACCGCAGTACCGTCGCCAGCACCATCTCCCGCCCCATCATCATCGTCAGCTGCAAACTCAATCGACCTGATCATCTCCAGCTCCCGGCGGATCTCATCGTAGTCGGCTACCTTTGCTAACCGTAAACGCAACTCTTCTCTTTCCACCGCTGCCTTTGAAGCTGTTCGTTCCGATTGAAGCAGTTTAGCTTCCCAGGTGTGTCGTTCCGAGTCTTTGTCAAATCGTGTGGCATCTAGTTTCCGAAGCAAGGAAGAGTTCTCTGACTGGAGTCGTAGATACTCGGGGTCGTCCTCAACAGAAACTGGACCAGACGCATGTGATGCAGCCTGAGCCAGCTCCAACCGCATTTGTTCATTGCGTGCTTCCACATCAGCCAATCTCAAGCTTGTCTTCTCTAAATCGGCAGAAACGAGCTCGAGCTCAGCCGCAGTAGCGCCACTCCGCGAACCCTCACTATCATCTCCTTGATTCTCACCCTCGCCTAGGCGCTGGGAGACTTCATAGCTTGCTTTGAGCTCCTTAATCAATCGATCCTGGTTTTCCACTTTCTCCTCTAAAGTCTTCTCCTTTGCCGCCCAGTTATTTGTCTTTTCTGTTAAGACAGCTTCCCACGATGCTTCGATCTCCTTAGCTCTTGATTCCTGATTTTCCTCTAGTTTCTTCCGTGCAGCACGTTCCTCCTGCAGGCGTTTCTCGGTCTCCTCTTGTTGCCTGGTGAGACGATCCACCGACTTCTGCAATTGGTCCCGTTCTGAGGTCAGTTTGGGAACAGTATCTTCGGACAGGACAAGGGAGTCGACAGAAGCTTCTAGGAGTGGGTAGGGATCTGGAGCCTCGGATAATGAAGAGTATAGTTGTAAGAATGAGGACGATGACGTCTTGCCTTGGTTGGTCAAGAGATCGATGAAGGACTGATAGGACTTCAGTAGTGATTTATATTCCGAGAGCTTAGATTCATCATCTAGCTTCTTGTAGTCTTTTGTCTTCTGCGCCAGGTCCTTTCTTTGCACGAGTGCATCGCGCTGTTGTTCGACGAGATCCGTAGCGGTTGCATCGAGTTTTGCGATAGTGCTTGCCAAATCAATTCCTACTATATGTCAGTAAAGTCTCGGCAATATGTAAGATTAGATAATAATTACCTCTCCAGGCTGAAATGGCGCGTTGGAACTTGTTGGTCTCTTCGGTCAATTTGCTGGATATGGGTGATTCAGGTTGGCTGTCATGTTGGTCCTGAGGAACCAAACCCTCTGTAATGGCAAATGAATCCATTGTCGGTCCTAACCCCAAGGGTCTGCACTGTCACCCCACATCAAATAGTCCACTTAAGGGGAAAGATGGAGATCTGCTATCGCGAGGAATAGGACACGCGGCGCACGGGCCGATATTATTCCGACTGTATGTGTGAAACGTACGATCTGGAGTTGAGGTTGTTGGATACAAATTTATGACAAATTTGAATGCAAAGGGTGAGAGAATACCTAGTGACCTCAAATATGCAGGCTGTATAACGAGTGTGTGGTTTCAAGATGACAGCAATGGACCCGAGGCACCCGTTTACAACAGATGTATGGCACGAGATAACGGCCACTAACTGGGTTGACCGCCTTGCTGACCGCCTTTATATCCTAGCTTAAGCTCACATTCAAAGCTCCATATTGTGTAAATAAAGACATAAAATGGGAGTAAGCAACATCCAGGCACATAATGAGCTTAAATACCAGTAATTAACTTTTGATACCAACGTGTAAAGTCAGAAATATACCCTTAACAGCCATCTGTAGATCACACCAGATTCTGCTGGACAAAAGCCACAAATGCAGTCGTTCTCACACCCCATCAACTGTGGTCCCCTGAGCTTTGGCCCCAGCTACTGACCGCCCTCACATCGTCACTTCTCCAAGCTTGCGGGGAGATGCCTGGAACTACAGCCTCATGATGGCTTCAGACGATGGAATTGGTCCCCGCAAGAGGCGCAGGACCAGTCCGCCAGGGACAGTACCTTATTTGTTACATTCCCTATTTGAAGATGTGCCATTAGCGACCGAGCATAGCTCCGACGTCTACATCACCTGTGTTGAGTACTGGAGTAAGCTCA